TGACACACCCAACTGTAGGCGCAATTTATTTGAATATACAAGTGAAGAGATAAATAGAAAAGAATTTACGTTTCTGTACTTCTCTCTGTGACTTACAGCTATTATAAATTTTTGAGCATTATGAAAGTGTCTGCAACATTTCCAAAATATTTATTCATTGTCATCAAAGACTTAATCGATGCAACCAAAGAGAATGTTTCTACTGGAAAAAAAAGTGGCAGGCATTATTTTCAACCGGGTCAAGAATCCTCACTATATACCCAATCATTCGACTTGCTTGAAAAAAGCTGTTATCATGTAGAAGAGATAGGTCAACCCGAATTCTAACATATGGTGACTCAGCCTGACTGGATTTGGATTTTGAAAATCGACAAAATTCATTCATGAAAATGAGGACAAACTAATAAAATCCCATGCGATGATATAAATTTCTAGATAGAATCAAAAAGGATGTAAAAATAGCGAAACATATCTAATGATTTTAGTTTTTTTAATCGAAATTACGTCACGATAGAGAACATAAAAATCTGCTCTATACTGATGACTGTAAATTGTTTAACAATATTTGACTTCAAAACGACAAGCATTTATTTGTGCTATACTTGCAGTCATAGCTTCAGCTTATTAATTTGTTTTGATAGGTGTACTTCATTCAATAGCAAGGAAATCGATTTTTATTTGTATCACCCGTATCCATGCACTCAAAAATTGTTCTTTGGTGGAAAATCAAAATAAAAGAACAAGTTCTTTTTTTCTCCATAAAAAGCAAGTAACGACATCTATGGATTAATGAACTTTCTTTAACGTCGAGGATGTAACTTGGATACCCAAGTACCAAATGGTTATTTTTTGTTTGAAACATTATCATTTTACGATTTAACGATGGCTGACGACTCAGATGAAGAACAAGTAGGCGAAGAACAACTAAAAGAAGAAGAAGCACTGCCACAAAAGCCCAAGAAAATTTTCATTAATCATATTGATTCGTATCATGGAAAAAATATTGCTCGTGTAAGTATCTTTTTTTTTCTCTAATCAAATCGAAACTCTTCGTTGTTTGAAGATTTTCGCACGAGCTAAACCAGGTGCAACTAGTGAAGCTGTCGAAGAAGAAGAAGCTCTTGAAGAAGAACAAGCAGAAGAGAAACAAAAGAAACTGTACGATGAACATCCAATTGAAGATGGTTGGAAAGTATCTGGAACAATCAAAAATAGTCAAGGTTATAAACGACCACCATTTATTCATGAAATTATTCAAGTATGAGCATGGGAGTAGTTTGTTCGAATCGATTTTTATCAATTTTTGCTTTTCTAGTACAAAGATCGTAACCAATTAGTTGATTCGCTAAAAGAAATGAGCGTCATCATCTACGATATCACTCAAGATCCTGAACAAGTATGACATTTTTCTATTTATTACATTTGAGTGAGGCTCGTTTGTTAACTCGTAATTGAATATTTTTAAAGATTGATGAAGCTGTATGGACTTGCCAAAAGTTAGAATCAATGATCAACGAACTTGATCATCCAATCACATTTATTCTTCTTTCAACTGTAATGACATGGGCAAAAACGCAACCAAACGAAGTAACAATTTTACATTTTTTTCTCTTCATACATTGAAATTATTATCATATTTTTCATTAGGATGAAGTTCCATTTTCAGACGATGAATTTCGTCGTCGTCGAGCTCATCCAAATTTCAAAGAACATCATAGTGCTGAAAAATTAATTACTAAACTTGGTTTAACAAATAAAAAGAAATTAATTACTTACACTGTTGCCACCGGTTTAACATACGGAATGGAGGAAAATGTCTTGCATTACATGTTTAAAGCAGCATGGCATAATGCACCAGAAATTCAAGTGTTTGGCAAAGGTGGAAATTTCCTACCGACAATTCACGTTATTGACCTTGCTAGGTACGAATAAGAATTATAATTTTCGGCTTTAAAAACAATATTTATCCTTGTAGTGTCTTGCAAAATTTGGCTGATCGTCAATTGAAAACACGCTATATAGTTGCTGCTGATACAAGTAAAGATTCATTGATACGTATCACACGTAAAGTCAGTCAAACACTTGGAATGGGTAAAATAAAAGTAGTCGATCAAGAAGATGCTATGCTCAATCGAGATATATCGGTAAGAAATTTTCTTTCAATCTAAACGAAAGTGCACACTTGAAGGCTAATTGCACTGAAAAAATATCCGACTCGGCTTTTTGCCGGGATCTCATAATTGTCATGGAATCGAATAGTTGATGTTCAATACTTTATGATATATTTTTTTGCTTTCAGCAAGCTGACTATGATATGTTACTTGCCAATATGCAATTCGAACCCATCTTTATTCGCGAACAAATGAATATCAAATGGCATTGTGAAAATGGTATTACGGAAAATATTGTCAAGATTGTCGATGAATATCGTGCCCAACGAAAATTAACAGTAATTCAAAAACAAAAAAAAAAAACGTTGCTATTGAATTTCTTTTCAGCCTATCAAAATTTGTATTCTTGGCCCACCGGCATCAGGAAAAACGACAATTGCAAAACAACTAGCACAAGAATATAAATTACATCATCTTCAAATCAAAGATGTTATTGAAGATACAAAAAATGAACTTGTAAGAAAGCAAAAAAAAGGTGATTTTAACTGCTGAAAAATATCCTTTAGGACCAATTAGTTAAACGTGACGGTGAGAGCGAACAAACTGAAGAAGAAGCCGACGATCAAGATACTGATGAAACATTAGCTGAACGTATTGAAGAAGCGCGAAGTATTTTAGAAAAACTTGAAGAAATTCGACGAGATTCCAAAGATGGTAACGAAAGAAAAACTTCATTTTTCTACTAGAAGCCTAATTGTTATCGTTTACAGCTCGTTTGGACGATGAAATTTTAACACAAATATTTAAAACAAAACTCATGTCACCACCATGTCAAAATCAAGGTTATATTCTTGATGGTTATCCAAAAACATTTGAACAAGCACAAAGTTTATTCGGAGGTAAACTAAAAATATCCTGCAAACTTATGTTTACATTTATTTTTATTTCTTGCTTTCAGCATCTGGCGAAGAAGGTAAATAATTCAATATTTTATTAGGAAAAAAAATTTCTTTTTTCTTTTAAAACATAGAAGAAGAAGAGGGTGAAGATAAAAAACCACCAGTCAACGAACGCATCATTCCTGGTTTGTTCATTTGATTTGATTTTAAATTGAAATTAAACATTTTCACTTTGTTAGAATATGTTATTATACTTGATGCAAGTAATGAATATCTTCGTCAACGTATTATGCATTTGCCAGAAAAAGTCGTCGCTGGCACACATAATACTGAATTAGAATTTAAACGTCGTTTGAAACTTTACAACGAACTCGGTGATGATGCACATCCGGCTAAATTTTTCGAAGATGTCGATCGACCAGGAGAAACAATCAGTAAGAATAAAAGAAAACATCTCTTTTGAACTTGAACCAAATTTGAGAAGGTCTCTGCCATCTAGATGCTTGTTGATTATCTAATATTGCAATCTCTCGACGAGGATATAAATATCAGTATCAATGAATATGATCTATGATCGTTTAGATGCGAAGACCTTCGTTGCGGATATATTTTCATTTATATCTTTGTCTATCATCTACGAGCATTTTCTTTGTGTTTGACAGAGATCGATGATGATCGAAGTGTCAATCATCGAAATATTGTTCACAAACTTATGGAACGAGTTAAAGCACCTCATAATTATGGTCCAACACCGGAAGAACAAGAACATGCCAAACGTAAAGAATTGAATGAAAAAGAAAAGCGTGAGCGTGAAGATCGCGAAGAACGCGAACGAGACGAACAAGAAGCGGCTAACGATCGCATGAAAAAACAAAAGGATTGGACAACAAAATTAGAACAAATAAAACGCGAAGAATTTGAAATGCTTGACGCACAATCAACACCGTTGAGAAATTATCTTATGGCACATGTTATGCCGACATTAACAAAAGCTTTGATTGGTATAATTAGTTAGAAAATAAAATTTTCCTTATAATCGATTCATCTATTTAGAATGTTGTCAAGTACGACCCGAAGATCCAGTAGATTTTGTGGTGCGTATTTGTTTTTTTTTTCTAAATATAATTTCTCGATAGTTAATGTTCTCTGATTCTTTCTGTTTAGGCCGAGTATCTTTTCAAAAATAATCCTCAAGTTTGAAGTTCTTTTCTTTTTAATTCTTAATAAAACTATAAATAAAACTCAACTACAACGTACATGTAAGTCGTTTTGGCGGCATGTGGAAGTGAACCTTCATCGATCGAACGACTCTATTGAATTTAGTTTTCTTTTCGAGAGTACTAAGCAAATATAGCATCTCATGATGAGAAAACGTTGTAACAACATTTCAGGTCAACAATGAATATTTAATGACAGAAGGGAAGAAGAAGAAAAAAAAGTGAACTACTAACAAGTCATATTTGATTAATCATTACGGAGATGAACGTGCAAGACAATGTGTCTGACAAGAGGAGACTTGACTCTCGCTCTTATTTCCTCTTATTTTCTACTCTTTGTTTGAGAATCTCGTATATACTAAGTATACTTTTTCTCGTCGGCGCTGCTGTGTTAATACGATGAGAGACAAAGATTATTTTTTTTCCTCTTTTTCTTATATTTCTCGTTCGTCCCCTTGCCCCATATCGTGTATTACTTTCTGGATGTAAGAAGAAGATAAATCAAACAATAAAAAAAAGCCCGACGCCATCATCGACCAGTAAAGCAAGATATTTAACTACATATACAAAACTAACATAGACCAAAACAGGTCCCATTTACGAAATACATTACTCCATATATCGCCGTCGTTTCTTTGTTGGTATCTAGCGAAGATATTTTGCGCATACGCATATCAACATGTAACACTCGACTTGAATGAAATGTGCAAACAAATAGTTAAGAAAATTTGGTCGATAAATTCAATCCGTCAATCAAGTTACCAAAACTAAACATGTCGATGGAATCTTTTGAGCGTAAGTGATCGAACTGACACCTGATTCTACGTCATGCTGAGTGTTGATCTGATAATTGAGACATTAGTAATATCTTAAAATAAGTATCTTAGTGTCAAGTAGATAATAAATCGGAAAGATGGTTCCATATGGTTGTTTTGAAGAATACGACCATTTTCTATCTACTGACAATGTATTGCTTGTCTTTGTGTAACAACAAAATACTATGGAACATCTGTTGTTTATCGACAGAATAGCGTAGAGACCAAGAATAATGAGATCTATGTTGAATCAAGTTTTTTCCTTTCTTTTGTATGCTTTTTGTGCGTTATGTACGCAATAAGACATCATAAAACAATAATGAAACTGGTTATATATATATATATTGAAGAAATAGAGAATGTTAAAATGATGTTGACATAAGTTAGATATATGCTGATGTTGTTGATATTTGTTTACAATAGAGGATGTTGATGACTCGCCGATACTGCCCGCGGAAATACGTAAAGTACCAAAAAGTATCGAAGAAATCGTCCGAATTACGAAATTTAGCAAATCAGAAATACGATTACTTTACAAAGGATTTAAACAGGTATTTGTTTAGAACTATTACCAAGTTGAAATCTATCTTGATTGTTACATATAGGAATGTCCAAATGGCGCTGTGACTCAACGAGAATTTCAAGCAATTTACTCACATTTTTTCCCTCATGGCAATTGTCAAAATTATACAACTTTTTTATTTCGTATTTTAGACCGACGGAAGCGGATGTATTTTACATTTGAAGTAATTTGTTCATATAAATAGAAGAAGAATCAACACGGAAAGTTTTCCGCTTCTTTTTTCTCTCCCCTTTCTTGTCGCTTATTCGAGCCTTCATATTACGTCGGAATAGGGAAGCTTAGCATACTATCAATTAATTCGGAATTATTTCAGACAAGAAGAAAGAAAAAAACACGATTTTTTGAAATAGTAGTTCTATAGGAAAACAACATGAGAGATTCCGTCGGAGAGGAAACATAGACTAATAGATACGTATTGAGTTTTATGTATCTTAAGGACATATTTTCTTCGTAAAATTTAGTTTCTCGTTTGCCTTGATATAGGATTATATCCAAACGTTATCAGTTTTGGTACGTGGTAGTATCAAGGAAAAACTTAATTGGATTTTTCGTTTCTATGATATTTATGATGACGGCAAATTGACAAAACAAGTATGATATGTTTATGTCATATTCGTCTATATTAATATGTTTATTTCTCTCAGACATTCGAAACTGTCCTTCGTTCGCTGTATGATCTGCTTGGATCGAATACATGTGTTCATCAACCAGTCACCGATGAAACCATTCAAAAACATTTAGCTCTTTTATTTGACAAACTCGATTTTCAACGGTCGGGAAGTATTAATATCGATGATTTTATAAAATATTGTTTACACGTATGTATATCATTGATTGAACAAGCAGCAATATGTTTGATTTCGTTTTAGAATGAAACATTAGTAAACGAAATTCAACTTCTCTCGTCTTCAGCAATTTAATTCAACATAAACATATTTCGTTCTGTCTTTTGTATATATTTCACCGTGTGACGCGCTATTCTTCTTCGCTGTTCGTAGAAATACATCATATGAAAACTGCATGTTTTTTTTTCACAGGCCTTCATATGTGCATCATATTATAACAAATGATGAAATCATATGATGCGAAATTTTTTCATATATTTGAATAAAAAAATAAACATTTGGGCACGTGTAATACATATAGGTTTAATAATTCTTTGCCAATCCGTGTTTAGTATTAGATATATCTTAAGAGATGTAAACAGCTTATGCGGATTTCTCTGACCGTATTAAAAAGGCACATATGAAAAATAGATTATCTATATATCTGTCTATATTATAGATCAACCGAAACAATTCATGGCTCTAAAAGAGCAAGATTAGCCTATGTATTGTTTTGTTAGTGATGAAACAAACTCTAAAGGCATGTTTTCCCTATAGATCATTGGTCTTAATAAGATTTGTGAACTTTATATAAAACATGTGATAAGTATGTCATTTGAGAGGATTAACCTTGAGCAGAATCTTTTTTTAATTACCGGGAATTGCTTTCATGCGGAGCTTTACTGATTAGTTTCGTCAAGACTGCAAAGCCACGAGCCAATAATAAAAATTTTTGCTAACTGATTTCCGGAATGATTTTAATAATGTATTGTGTTAATTTAATCGACCATTTGACATTCCGAGAAGAATATAGAATGAAAAAAAATATCTGATTATTTTCTAATAACGCATGTTGTATTTTCACAATGGATAGCCGCATCAAACAAAGTGATTGTTGTGATGGCGTTTCATTTTTGATCGAGCGACGTAATAATTAAGAACGATATGTTGGAGTCATAGAGGAATAATGCTTCTATTGTATTGAATAGGCGAGATTGTTATCTACATCATCGTGTAACGGCGTTTATATTGTTTTGTTATCATTATTAAGAGGCCATAGTTGAGATGAATTCTTCTCCAACTGTATCTTGAACAAAATGATTAAGTAAAAACAGAAGAAAAATAGCGAATTGCGTCATACGACAAGAAATGTGTGTCTAATTCTTTTCTAGAGAATGACATTATGCTCGGAAAACACTTAATATGTCTATAGTTAACGATTTTAGGATTCTCTAGCATGCAATGAGTTTATCACACGCATCTTTCATTACGATCAATGACAAAGTATTTCCCGACCATCCAATAAATCGTGTTTATCAGAAAGCAAAACTTTTTTTCAAGCTTAGAAATATGTTGTGAAATGTGGCTGCTATGATTTACGATGTTAATATTTTAAGGTAATATTCGTAGGTACTCATATAAGCCTTTCTTATGATTTGTTCATCCTTCCAAAGCTCTCAGTGAAACATTGCCCATTAAATCCTATTTGGCAGAAATGAAAGTATACATACGGACGTTTGTTTTAGTTGCTTGCAGAAAATAATTCACATAGCATTCAGCGCAGTCGAAAGCCTACTACTTCTCATTCTGATGACTTATGAAAGTAGATTTTAAAGGGTGAACATTATGTTCGATAGGACTTTCGGTGCATGCGGTCTAGTTTTTCACCGGGAAGTCATATAAATATCGGGTTTGCTTTTTTTAATGAAAAAAGTGTGAGCTATCGATTTGCACCCTGAAATCTTTAAATATAATTGAAGTTTCGTTTTTCTTATGCATATAGATGGTAGTCCAGTTGAACTCCACCTAGAAGCGAGATAATATCGATTGATCATTTAATTATCTATAATCAGTGGTTTTTATAGCCAATATTATTTGTTTCTTTGCCAATAAATAAATTCTGTAATGTGTTACTTCGACTGGAATAGCTATATGATTGATGTTTACACTTCGTAGTAGCACATGACGCTGACATTTGATCTGAAGTTAAAGTTGATGTGTTTTGTCACTTGTCAATAAAAGAAGGAAAAACATAATGTGTTATTATAAGTCAGTAAACTATTCTCTATGTTGCTTTGAGAAGAATCGTTTTTTTCCGTCCAATATGACAAATATTCAAGTTTTTTTTAAGATGTCAGAAGATGAATGATGTTCTAGGCAACTGTTGGCTCCATATCCAATATGATATTCCGCAAGCTTAAGAGAAAATGGGATAGCGATGAGTCTATCTTTGGCATAAATCATTAACTAAATTTGATTGAGCTGCAGAAGGAAATTCGAATGACGATACTATTCGTTTTGAATCAATGATTGATCTTGGCAATTAGAAAAGCTATTGAGTATGAATAGATTTTCCAGACCTTCGTCCTTATTCGCATGTAATATAGTATTTTACCATTGATAAACAAATCGCAGATGATTAAAATAAGTTCCTGACACTAGCAGATAGTACATCTGAATTAATAGAAACTCTAGTAATGTCGAATATACGTCTGCAATTGTCTTCAAGTTCAAGTACCGATCTGATATATCCCGTTCATTAGTTTGATAATAAAAAAAAAGCGTTCGTTTGTTTTTAGATATAAATCAGTACCTCGATAGAGGAAACATTTGTAGACAGCTGTTCGTGTTCCCGAGGTAATTTACTCGGGTCAAATAACATTCGTATGAGGAACATTGTACGTAGCAAAGATTAATCTTCTAATATCATGGATACTGCTTGAATACATATCAATAATCGACAGCAGAAGAAAACAATTTTCAATGATTACAATAGATTTATTTTTTCGAATTCATATAGCATTTTGATAATTTTTCAAAACAGATTCTATCCGGTACAATTGCTCGATTTATGATTATAAAGATTTTAAGAGAAAAATGCGCTCCGGAAATCATTCTATATCCTATGAAAATTTAATCCAAACTTTCTAACCGATACCGCCAAAATGTTCGGGCCGAACAGATGAGCAAACCAAGGAATTTCATTGTATGCCAACATTGATTTGATTTGTCCATCTTTCGCAATCTGTATTAAACGTTGGTTCTCAAAATCAGCTATAAGCCATTCATCATTCATTAGCGAGCAACATCGAATTACTTTTTCTTGAGCACATATTATGCCAAGTTGAAATGACCAAATGCAATCAAATGTTATTGAAGATTTCAAATCCATTCTAACGGTTCTATTCGTATAATTTCTCGTTAACAACAAAAGTTTCTCATTGTAGTACTTCGCACTAGTGATATCTTCAGTTAGCGCACATGAGTCTGGACATTTCCACTCTCTAATTAAATTCGGTGTAGCGGATAGACTGAATTCTACAATCGATGAGCCATGTACTCGTGTTGACAGAAAAAAAGATGTATCAGAGCATGTACACGATGCCCATTTCATTTTTTTACTTGTTTCTATACGATTAATCGACATGGATTTTTCATCGACAAAATAAATATCATTCAGTTCGATCACGATAAATTGATTGGTTGCTGAAGACCAGCACATATCGAGAATTTTTCCGTGTACCCATAATGCGTTTTTGACTAATTTGAAATTTCGATCAACTAAACATAGGTTAGGTACGTCATGAAATAATAAATATTTATCACTGCTCGTAATTGCTCTATTTGATCCATTGGAGCGAACAATTGTTTTACAAGCTGGGGAGACCGTAGACAGATCAAATTCATTGGAGCTTCTTTCATTTATACGAATAGAATTTTCATTAATTACTAATGGATCTATATTCATATGAATAAAGGTCTGATCAATTTTGTCTATTTCATTTTGAAGATGATGAATATTCGCTGTTAAACTAATAATATCTTGACGAGTTGCTTCTTGTTCACGAATAAGTTCAGTTAATCGTAATTTCAATCGTACCATTTCTTGCTCTTGTTGCTCTAGTTTTTCGGCAGCAAATCGATCAAGTTCCTGGCATTTCTCTGCAAAAACTAATTCAATTTTCTCGTGACAATCGATACGCCATTGCTCGAGTTTTTGCCGACAGTTATATGTATGCTTTTCTATATTAAAAGTCTTCAGCCGATCTCCGAGTATATTAATCTCATCGACAAGAGGGTTTAATTCAGAATTTAATACATCATTATGTTCATTTAAATGAGGTATGCAAACATTCTGTTGACAACAATGACACACTGCGCGTGATGCACGTTTGCATTCGTCGACAGAACACGGTTGAGACATTGCATGAAATTCAAAAACGGGTTTTTATTTACGATATCTGCAGAAACAATAATAATAATAAAAAACAGTCTCGTTGTTTGACAAAGAACAAGAAAAAACAAATTTTTAAAAACCTATCACTTTTTTTAAGAGAATTAATCGATGTTCCATAGTAAAAATTTTATAATTTCGTATGCATTATTCGAAATACGCAAAATAAATTTTTTTGGTTAGATGTCGCTGCTCAATGGAGGACGGTAGATAAGATTGCATTCGCTGAAAAACATCTGTTCTCTAAAAGAATCCTGCTCAGGCTTCTACTGATTGGTTTTTTGAAAAGCACATGCTACCGAGAGAGAGAGAGAGAAGGTGTGCACTCAATTCTCAATAAAAACGTCCTCTATCTGTAAAAATATACAATTATGTCACATGATGAAAAATGTTCGATTTTTTTTATAGATTTTCCATGTATATATTTCATATTCGGCATCTTTTTCTATGTGTAATTTTTATTTCTATCACTAATATCAATGGTGATGGTGTTCTTTATCCAGCTATATTCATTCCGGGTAATGCAGGATCACAAATATGGGCACGCTTAAATCGTACAACACCCACGCCACATTTCTTTTGTACCCACCATTCAGATTGGTTTGAATTATGGCTTGATGTTCGTCTTTTATTGCCTGAAATTATCGATTGTTTTGTCGATAATATGCGTTTAACATACGATCCAGCAACGAAGAAAACATCGAATTTAGAAGGTATAGACACGCAAATACCAGGTTTTGGAGAAACATCAACAATTGAACATTTTGATTCTTCGGGATTTCCTTATTCGACTTATTTTGCACCAATTATAAAAAGTCTTGTAGCACTGGGCTATAAACGAGGATTGAATTTACGTGGAGCTCCGTAAGAACTTATTTAATTTGAATTAGTAAAGTGAGCTTATCCTATGATTAGGTACGATTTTCGACGGGGCCTCGATGAACAAGATGACTTTTTTACGAATTTTACTCAATTGGTACTCGATACTTACGAACAAAATAATCAAACAAAAATTGTATTAGTAACACATAGTATGGGAGGTTAGTTATTCTTTCAAAAAAATAATTTTCAATATTAATTCAAACTATTCGAGGACCCTTTGCTTTATACTGGCTTCATCAACAAAATCGTAGCTTTAAAGAAAAATATATTCGTTCAATGGTGAATATTGCAACACCATGGGGTGGTGCTGTGAAAGCTCTTCGTTTGATGGCTAGTGGTGATAATATTGATGTAAGATATTCTGACTAGTCTGAATCTTTTCAAAATCCATAGAAGTCAAGAAGATGTTCCTCTGTAGGAAATCGTAACTCTATTCTCTTTTTAAATTCCGTTGAGTCTATAATATTGCGAGGAAAAATTTGAACCGATAAATCCTTGGTCATGTGTGACGAAAGCACTGAATATTCTTTAAAATTTGATGAGCGTTCATTTCAGATACATGGCGTTTCACCGATTCGTATTCGTCCTTATCAACGTTCTGCACCTTCGACTGCATTCGTAATGCCAAGCGTGAATTTTTGGGGAGAAGATGAAACAATTGTAGTCTCACCCAAACGTAATTATACAGTCAATGATTTCAAGGAATTTTTCGATGATATCGAATTTCCGACCGGATATGAATATTGGCTTAATAATAAAGATTTATTGCAAGAATTAACGCCTCCTGAAGTTGAGCTGCATGAAATCTACAGTTTACAAATGCCCACGCCGGGTGTTCTTCTCTATAATAATCGCACGTTTCCAGATATTCAACCAGTTATTTTACCTGACGATGGTGATGGAACAGTAAATAAAAGAAGTTTGCTTGGATTTAAAAACTGGGAGGGAAAACAAGAACAAGATATTCTTTCATTAGAATTGGTGGGTGTCGAACATTTAGCTATTTTAAGACATCCGACAACTGTCAATTATGTCAAACAAGTCGTAACAGGTCAATTTGACCAAAAATGAACTTTTTAATTTAATATTTTTTTTTGTATATTTCCGACTATAAAAATTGCCATGTCTATTTTTATAACCACTCCGCTCTGTTTGTATATATTTATTTGCATTGTACATAGGAAGAAAAAACGCCTGCATAATTGAAATCTCCACTTTTTTCTCGTGTTATAAATTTTTTTTGTAAAATAAAAAAAAATGTCAAATTAACATAGCCTAAGAACTATGGACTAATATTTTACTATGATTGAACCAAGAGAAAAGATCATGCTTTTATGCAAGCATCAAGACCGAATGATTCGGGTTAGATTCTTTTAGCTTTTCAAGACTAGTACGGTATGTTTCAGCTATTCAGGCGAACAATGATTTCTCTTTGTAATCAAAAATCTTGACCGGAAATTTAGAATCTTACTTTTCAGATGTTTATCCACGATACACCAGCAGCATTTTACGGAAGAGGTATCAAAATAACACATGATGCACTTGAAGTTCGTTGCTGGCGCGTTAGATTTCATAAGTGATGATTCTGTTTTTAATAGAAATGGTATTTAGAATTTGATAGTAGTAAAGAAGAATTTGAAAAATATCTACTAAATCAAACATTCGATAATCCATTATTTGCCTGTTGGTCTCTTCGTGTCAAATATCGAGAAACATCTATTAAAACAATAATCGCGTGGGTAAGATTGTTTGACTTAAACTTCTATGATTAATTATATAATTACCAAAAGAATTGTTTCTACAAGCAGAATTTTTGATATGTGAGAGATTGTATTTTAAATTTAGCTTGAAAAACGTGATAGTACTGAAGTTAACAGTCGATGGTATGACTTGATCGTCGAGCTGGCAAGTCGAGGAGCTTGCGAACAAGATTGGTGTCACACTATTTATATTCTTGTAAGTAAGCATTAGCATTCAAAGGAAATCTCATATGAAAATATTAGGATAACAATCAATGTGTGATTCATCGGCAAACTACAGCATTGCTTAGTCATGGTCTAACTGGTCTTTCGAATTGGCCTGCATCAATATCTCTTGGCGATTATCTAATGAAAAGAATCGACCGTCTCGGAAATAAGTAATAATTTTAGAAATTATTATTGAATGATTTTTATTGACTTTTCTAGACGTATTATTGAGTTAGGTGCTGGATCGGGTCTACTTGGTTTAGCTCTATTGAAATCTTCCGATAAAATTCTCTCGTATACCTTTACTGATTATTCTTCAATGATTTTGAATTTATTACGGCAAAATGTTTTATTGAATTTTTCAGAAGATGTCGAACTGAATGTAATGAGAGGAATTTAATATAAATGATTTGCGATAATTTATTTAGTTTAGGAACGAGTCAAGATCGAAGAATTAGATTGGAATCAATATTCAGCTGACGAGAGTAATCGCGATTGTTATGATGTGGTTTTAGCTACAGGTAAGTTCGCATATTGCTGTCTATCACATGAATCCTATTTTCTTCACCATCAGATGTTGTTTATGATCCATCGGTAATTGAAAATTTAGTCAAAGTACTAAAAATTCTTCTAGAAAATAATAAACAATCTTCTGCTTATGTCGCCAATGCTATTCGTAATGAATCAACGTATGATCAATTTCGACAAGCATTAAGTATTTCATTTTCATATCAAAAGAAAATATTCTTGTTTTTTTTTCTCTCTAGACCAATCATCATTGAATATTTGTTCGATTGAAACAGACAATTTACAATCTATTGAAATTCTTCAACTAACTGCTCTGCCTTGAATTAATAAATAAAAGTCGGTAGTCTGATCTACGTAATGCAATAGGCGATTTGCAGCTTTTTATGCTGCCAAACAGTCAAATCATAATTCCTCAGTTGATATTCAAAAATAATAAGAATTTTTGCGAAACAGGCTCACGGAATCGAGCGATACTCAGAAATAACACCAACTAAGAATATCACCGCTCGTGTTCTCAAGGAATACCAATGCATTTTCAAGATCTACCCTACTAATATCGAACTGACTTTTCGAGTTCGGTTCGTTTTCGCTCTCTGGTACTCACGGCCGAGTAGGGATGCACCAGTAATATTAGTTTTCTACTTTCGAAAATAACTATTAGCTAAATAAGTCATTTTCTCCGTCATCACTTCATTCGTCTATATTCAAGTGAAAAATTGAGTTTTGCACCAGTTTGAAATAGTATAAGATATTGTACACTCAACTAGCTGATAACGTTATTTAGAACATTTTTCAATAGTTTTCAACGTTTTTGAAGTAAAAAGATCGTTAATTCAGGTCATAGTCATGGTAAAAAAAGAAATTGTGCTCAAAAATCTATATCGAACATATTATATATGCATTAAAAGTCAGTCAATGGAGAAAACAATAAATGTATACGTTGTAAACAATGACGATTGTCACTTGTATTAGTATTAAATAAGAAAATACTATTGGTACGAGGGCAACTTATGCACTGATTTTATTCAATACTAATAGAACTACTATATTGATGTTTCAGGTTCAACTTGTAAGTATAAATCCAAAACGATAAAGAGTTAACGACAGTATTTTTGATTACACAAGTTCAAAGATTCTCTCAAACTATTGGTATCGTTACAAAATTGAACAGGTAATAGTGACATTGCTTGTTTACCGTGCTGTAATTTTCATTTAATATATGTATTATCTGTTCCATATCCGATATCGTGAACTAAAAAGGTCTAGCTTTATCTATGCAACTTATATACATAAGCTAATGCAATAGATATGTGAAAACAGTGTCATTCGGCTGAGAGAGAAGTAGAAAAATCAAGCCATTTACTTGTACGAGATTTATGTAACTAAAAGTTGATAAAGTTCACTAAATATACAATTATTTTTTTCGCAATTCATTAAACCTAAGTTCAAGTTGGTATGTTAAACACAGTATCCCGATTCATCGGTTTATCTCATAAGATTGTTTTACTATCTGAGTAAGTCCATGAATGAAATTCTTTTTTTCTTCAAAAACGTTGAGAACTATTGAAAATGTTCCAGATAACGTTATCAGCTAGTTGAGTATACAATATTTTATATTTGTTTCAAAATGCGGCAAAACTCAATTTTTCACTTGAATATAGACAAAGGAAGTGATGGCTGAAAAAATGACTCATTTAGTTAATAGTTATTTTCGAAAGTAGAAAACCAATATTGCTGGACCAGTAGACCAGTATAATACTGATACTGGTGCATCCCTACATCCGAGAGATTATTTCCTTGTAGAAAACAGTCAAACAAAAACTGAACACATGTGCAACACAAAATGATTCATCATGAAATTGAATTTTATTTTTTTAGCGTTCTCACACAAGCCATGAAAAGTATATAAAATGCATCAATCAATAGCGCGGTCAATGTCTTCAGTCCTTGTGTGATACAGTCCTATGATAATTACTGATCTTGCTTATATGGATTAAATAGGATTCGTAGTTTCAGATATTCCCATGAATATTTATGATGAAATTGGCTGTGTACCTCGAGTTGTGTTATCCGGCATCGGTACTGTTACTGTTGACCCGTTGACCCGCTGAGAACAAACACATCGTACGATATAGCAGTGTTCCCAATACGTAAGTCACTACCGGAGAAGACTATCTCACACGTAGCACAATCGAGCGATTCAGGATCAAACATGTCTGCCGTATCAGATGTGTTGACGAATGAGCGTTGACAAGTTTCACGTTCCGTTATTTGACGTAATCGCTAGTCTACCTTTCTGATTTAAGAGAGTTTGCGTCATGTGTGTACTTATATACGTGTGTTGCGATTGAGTCATCTGACATTTATGCTGACTCATTTGTGTATTCAGGAGAGGAAACCAAGTAAATGATATATATTCACTATTACAAGAATAAGCGGAACATTATATGAAAAAAGTCTACGTAAAGGTGTGATTTCAGATTTCGGTAGAAAAGTATCTTATCCTGTGACTACATTGACACCCACACCCAGGGCTTGCCCGAACTTTCCAACTTGAGGGGGTGGTGTAATAACGTTGTGTCAAGAAAATCTTGCAAGAAAAATGTCAAATTGGGAAGATTCAATTTTTCGCTGGTGGAAACTGCTATTTTTTAATTCTTGGGTGGTGTTACACCTCCCGGTCGTGGCAACCCTGCCCGCACCCTTAAAAGTTTTTCAATGACAAAAGAATATTGATCCATTTTTTCTTCTCGTTTTATGTGAAATTATGAATGGTCCCTGATCACTATAGATATAACTTTACTATCGTTAACAAAATTGTTTTTATTTTTGAAACAAAAACAAACGAAAAATTTACAATGTTTTCATAAAGTTCAAATAATGTTGTAAAGGCGTTTTCGTGACATGTTGACAAAAAAGATCATTTGTTTTTAAACAAAGATCTTTCAACGAAACAAAATTAGGCTTTGTTGGATCGAATTGATGACGTCTTAAATATTTTAAATACAAACAACGAGTGCGTAATTGTTGAAAACTTTGTTTAAGTATAGGTGGATAATCTAGTAGACGTTGTCGCGTTAATTTCATTTCATTGAAAAGAAAATCGAAATTTAATTCTATTAATTTATAATCATAGATAAATATTTTTGGATATTGCTGAAACATTTTCTGCAAATCGGCATGTTCAAAGTCTAATAATGAATTCATTTTAAAATACGTATCACTTATATCTTGTAATGGTAAAGTAAGAAGTTTCGGTGATCGTAAAACGAATTCATTTAGCTGATTTTCATTTAGCTGAAATTTATTCATGAACCAACTTAACTTTGAATCGATCATTTTCGTGCTGAAATTTAACAAAAATGGTGCACGAATAAGAATATCACTAATATTTTCTCCACTAAAATTTTTGCTTTCGAGATAATTTAAGCGTACGCGTAAATCTTCTATTGTTTCTTGGAATATCCATGGATTATAACCAAGAAATTTAGCAAGATATTTATTTTTAATACCTAATTCATTCAGAAAAACAAGATGTTGAACACAATCGCGTTCGAAATTAAGTGTTAAAATATATTTTGCTTTCGCATTCGGTTGATTCCAACGGTAAACGTCAACGCCCATTTCAACAAAACGCTTCAATGTTGGCGACTCATTTATTAAATAAGCTAAATCAAATGTAAATGGACGCATTGTTGGACGAAGTTCACTGACATAAAGATCAAGAGATCGATGAATATCTTCATCAGTATATAGATCGCGTAAATCAGGTTGAATTAGAACTTCAAGCGGAATATTTAAACTAAAATAAAGACAAAGTTAGGAAATATTATCTCGTAAAGCATCACAAAAGAATTCCGCATTCACAGCTTAGATATGTAGGGCCAAAGGATAAAATATTGGGGAATTTTTCAATCGACTTCGTAAAATAGTTTTTTTTCTCCTGATGAAATAATCGGTTAGAAAAACCGAATGGACCAAATAACATTAGCTAGCTATGGTAATATTATGTTCGTAATTTAAGGGCATGGCACAGGTTGGTGGATATCTGATTTACTCACGTTTCAGTCTGTTTGTTTAATGAAATAGCATTTGTACTTGGTTTTGGTACAGAGCTTGTTGACGATTGAGAAAAGGCTTTTTTATCTGTTCCGAGTATTGTTAAATTATCTTTTTCTTCAGAAAACATATCATTATCGTCATCTTCTATAGGTTTTGTATTGGATGATTTCTTCGAATTGAATCGAGTAGAAGTATATTTATTAAACTGAGGCTTTTTAATGTCTAAATGTTTTTCTTCTGTATCTTTATTTCGTTGTATTCGGTTTTTAGAATTAGGTGAACGTGGGTGAAATTGTGCGAATTGACGATGCTGATTATTGACTTGAGGTGAATATTCTCCATTAGCATCTCTTTTTTGGTGTCGATTTAATAAGCTTGTCAGCGAAAATAACCGACGATTGTTAAGCGTAACATAAAATACAGATGGAACTGTTCGTTTTAACATCTAAACGATATTAATTATTATTATTTTTCTTGAAAAAGACAAATTTTTCTTTTTTTTTATATCAATCATTCAGTTTTTCCGCACCCAATCAACAAACGGTAGTGGGCAGTCCAATAGGAATTGACCATTGAATTAAAGATGGTACTACATGTTGAAGAAACTAAATAGTCACTCTGAGACCTAAATTAGTTCTGAATATGCTTAACAGAAATTCTACTACTATGAATTCAATGTTTCCATGCTGTCAGAAACTCTAGGCAGCTCATTTTTGAATTCTTACTTTAAAATTTTTTGTAAAGGCAGACCCTAATGGCAATTTTTGATTGTTTGGATCTAAAAAAAATTCATCTTCTTAATAGACTTCCATCATCGGTTAAGTAGCTCATATCTCTACTTACGAGTGTTCTTGACGAACAATACAAACTTAAGTAGCCAAATCCGGCATCTACTATTCGCTCGTTATTACTCTCATGAGAGACCGAAATTCTTCAATGAACAAAACTAATTCGTTGCAGACATCAAAATTCAATATCGAAAAAAAAAGAACTTCACGAATCTTTCTCAACTGACGTAACTCTAGTCTAACTAACTATTCAGTGTTCGAATCCAGATATTCATGAGTTTTAAATGATCACTAAAAGTTAACTACGAACATACTTCTGTAACAGATCCTATGATCTCCTATTGCTTTCAGTGCTTACGCTAAAGATTGAAGAGAATTTTTGCGAAAAAATTGAAAAATCTAATATTATTCATTTTAAATTATTCAGAATCGTTTTGCATCTTAACATGTGCCGAAAGGCGAAAACAAATAGCAAATCTAAAAAAACATCGATGTATTTATGAAAGAGTATTGGATTTATTGCGCGCAAAGATTAAATGCATTTTATCCGTAGTAACTTTTGTTTAGGCATTAACTTTCCGATCTACTCTGTTAGTCATTTATTTCATCCAATCTATATATTCAGCCCATAGATAACTATTAACAATAGTATAAATCATCATTCATTCTTAAGGATACAAATTCGTATTATAATCCAATGAATATAAACTTTGCCTATTCGTCGCTATAATCTTTTGTTTTTAATCGAACAGAAAAACAATAGCGACTTATATTCGTCTATACTGACATGTACATAATATCGTTCTCGCTCTCATACATTCTTTTAAACCTAACGGATATTTCTCATACATTGTCGCTATTCTAGATCAACACTATTTCGCCGATCTGATGAATCAAAAAATGATTATTGCTATTGCTTTTCTTGTGGCTTTATGTATAGATTTTGGTCAAGGTAAAAGAAATTTTTTTCGGTCAATAGGATAATTCAAAATTATTATTTTAGGTCTGACATGTTATCAGCATGATTTTTGCAATAATCACTGTCCATCGTTAATAACAACTATAGTTCAATGTGACGCCGATCAAGATCATTGTTGGGTATGAAAAAAAGCAAAAGACGAATTTTTAGCAAAAATAATTTTATAATTTTTAGAAACTCCAAACACTATTCGGCACCAAAAGAGATTGTGGTAAGTTTTGAAAGAATTTCTTTTTCACGGACATCATTATATTTTTGGGTTTTTCTCTTAAGGCAACGCTAGATGTTTAGTTCAGGTCGATGCAGGTCCTTTAGAATTTGCGAATGTATGTTGTTCTGGTATATTATGTAATTCGGCGGTTAATATGGAAGCAAAAACACTATTTTTAATGTTGAGTAGTACAATGGCTGTTCTTCGTGGATATTTTGTTTGATACTAATTAATTGCTTTCTCTTTGTTGGTGTGGTAAAATGTACCGATGTAACGAAAATACGAATACTTTTTTTTCTTTTTGTATCGATCTATATTAAATAAATAGTAACATTTAGTAATGAAGCGCATAGAAATATGAATTTACTTGAGGTATTTGTACTTGATATTCGTTATACGTATATATATGTGCTACATCTACGCACTAATTATTAGACTAGGCTATGGAATTGTTTATGTTGTCATAGTAATACCATCATTACTATAAATTTAGAATTAAAGTCTCAAATGATGTAAACTTGCTGATGCTGACCGTTACCTATAATTCATTGCCAACATCAGTTTAGAATTATAACAAGGTCGAAAATTCCGAGATTTCGGAAAAAATTAAATGTTAAAAACTGCTGATTTATTCCATCAAAAATGAAGCACATCTTTTCGCTAAACTAATTAGGCGTTGCAAGCATCGGTACTTGTGATCTTCTCGATTGCCCGTACTTTCAGCTACATTCAAGAAGAAATAAGCGAATAGATCGAATCTATCTAGATCAATTTTTGTCATACGATGAACCTTCCTTCTCTATCTTATCCATTTACTTTAGTCATTTTCTCTTTTTTTTCTATTCAGTCACTTGTCGAGTTTTCTCCTTCACCACTTTTTGTCATTCATCGAGGTCGTTATAAAAGTTCTACTCCAGGATCTGTGAGAGAAAGAAAGATACATTCTGCCATTCACATCTCTTTTCTCTTTCCCTCTTGGGGAAAAATATAAATAGAACTACACACTCGTAATACATTTTTTGCCTCGGATACCAAAAGCAAATTGCAAAAAATTCAAACATGAAATCAATCATTATCACTGCAATTGTTTTTCTTCATTGCGCTACCTTTAATGAAGGTAAATTCTTTTACTAGTTTTTCGATTGTAAAATTTCATTTTACATATCAGCTCTTCAATGTTATTCACACGATACTTGTACGACCAATTGCCCTCAATTGAGTGACGCAGTTAGAACGTGCGCAAACGATGATAACCGATGCTATAAGCTCGCATTTCCCGGCGGTGTTAGTCGTGGCTGTGTTAGAGATCGATGCAGTGCTCAAGTAAGATTTAGATTTCCCATAGAATAAACAGTAAAACTAATTTTTTGTTGATCATAGATCAATGGACATTTCATGATGGCAAATATATGCTGCGAAAAAGATCTATGCAATTCAGCAACAACACCAAAAATGACACTTAGTGGACTTTTTATACTCATCGCTGTTTTAGTTTTTTCTCGCATTTAAAAATCAACAAACGGATGAATCTCGCTTTACACTCCCAATGTCTTCTCTATTTCTTTCTCGTATGTTCTATTTATCATATATAATCCATATTTTGTAAAAAAATAAGTACCGAACGTCTTTTCTCTATGTTTCTATTTGTAGTTTTTCTTTTTTCAAGTCATATCTTTTTCTTATAACGTAGTTTATTGTATTAGATCCTAACAAAACATTTAGTAAAGATCATAAATAGAATTTCTACGGCTTATCGCGTTATTTGGTTCGAACCGGGATTATTTTTAGTATACAAAGACGTTTTCTTCTGGCAGCTTGTCACATAATTCAATGATCTCGAACTTGTTTTCCCGTCAAAAGTTTCACAGTCAAACGAAGAAAATTCTATTCAGGAAAAGAAAAATTTTATTTAAAAAGAAAAAATCGAAGAATTTAAAGATTTCCACGAGCTTCTTGATCACGTTCGATCGCTTCAAATAATGCTTTGAAATTGCCAATACCAAAGCCCTAAATAAAATCATTGTTTTCTCTACAAAACAAAATTCATTGTCGACTTCATGAACTTACATTATTATTATGACGTTGAATTATTTCAAAAAATAATGTCGGACGATCTTCAACCGGTTTTGTAAAAATTTGTAATAGATATCCATTGTCATCATAATCAACCAAAATATTCAATTTTTCAATCTATGAAATGTTAAAATAAAAAGCAATTCGGAATAGATCGAAATATCTATTCATGACATACCACTGATAAATCTTCACTGATTTTTATTTTGGAATGTTTAAGTCGTTCATTTAAATCAACATAATAAGCCTTAGGTACTGCTAAAAATTGTGTTCCACGATCGCGTAAAATAGCCACCTAAAAATACATCAGACTATTTACTCTAGATATTCTGAATGAAACTTGTCCGAAAAGTTTGCCCTCTATCTGTTAACTTTATTCAAAGAATGGAAAAAAAACGTTCTTTTTTTCCATCATTTTTTAATCTTCTATTTAACCACGTTGATACTTTATCTTTACGATGTGCTATCGAGTGAAAGTGTGTGACCTATCAAACACTTACACTTGTTAAAATATCCGATGTATTCAATGCAATATGTTGAACGCCTGCTGAACCATAATAATCAACGAATTCCTAAATAGAAAATCAAAGAATACAAGTGAAAGGCGATTTCATCTTTACTTGAATTTGTGACTTTTTCGAGCCGGATGCTGGCTCGTTAATTGGCATTTTAATTGTTTCTTGTTTGTTCGACACAACAATCGAACGAAGTGATGAATATTGTGTATGCATAACACTATCATCAACAGACCAAAAACGATGAAATTGAAGCGTATTTTCGTACCTGAAGGTTCTAAAGACGATTAAAATTTCAGTTAAAATTTACCTTCTCGAGAATATCTAGAAAGAACGTACGATTCGTATCGCGGTTATGTATCGCAGCTTAAATTTCTCAAGATTTTGTTCGTTCACGCTCGCTTTGGAGATACACGGATGTCGGAGTCAAAACATCAATGAACCCTAATGGCTTAGTTAAACTGCAGATTTATCGATCGGGATAGAATTATATCAAGATAATGATAGAGTTTTTAAATCTTTCCTAGGTGCTAAATAATTTACGTTCCGCTCAGAGATGGGCAAGTCGGCGATCTTTTGACCGAAGTCAAGTCCGATTGTAACCCGATTTTCACCAAAATTTTCGTTTGCTGACAGTGAATGGCGGGAAAAGTTGTTTCCCGCAGTCCATAACGTAGTTTAACTATCGCTTGCGATATTATTTATTAATTGAATTATTATAGAAGCAAAGAAATCAACGTACCTCTGGTAAACAGAGTTTTTGGAAATGAGGTGACGAATAAAAATTGAGGCAAAAGATTTTCCATCAGCCATCGATTTATTTCAATGAGTGAAACCGAAATTGAAGTGAAAAAGCGTTTGCATGTATGGACACATTTTTAGATTTGACTTGATTTTATCTATACGAACAAATCAAGTCATTGTCGTTGAAAAGAATTGAACTGGGCCCGAATGTCCTTTATGCATAACATCATTACCATTTTGTTGTATTCTCCATTTCATTATCAGGCATATTGCCGACAATATGATCAATAAAATCAAGTTTAACATCAGGTCTACAAATCAACTATCAAATATGAAAAATGAAAATATTTGCCTTGACGCTTACAATTTTTCTAACAACGGATCTTTATTTTTCAATGGATGTACTTGAAAATTAGGTAAGAATAAACCAGAATAAGTAGTTCTATCAACTAATGTATGCGTTGTATCACCGTACTATGTATAAAACAAACTCATACTTTACATATCAATAGGTAATTTATGTATTATTTTACTGTTTGAATACAAGCCATTTTAACTGAACCATGTTCATCGGTTTCTGTCCAAATGTCTTTAACAATTTTCCCGCCTTTAGCTCGAGCTTGTTCAACAACCTCTTCAATATTATCAACAGTAAACGCAATATCTTTAACTCCATCACCATGTCGTGTAATATGTTGGCCGAATTCCTCATTGTCAGGTAATAATGGTGATTGGAAAACAAAGAATATTTTATTTTGTTTAATCACATGCGACACAACGTCGCGCGAACCAGTTTCAAGACCACGATATGCAAATGGTTCAAAACCAAAACGAAGGCAAAACCAAGCAGAAGCCTACGAGCAAAAAACGCCGTGTTTTTCTTAGCCGAACTTTAATCTCGATGAATGTAAGCTTTTGTTTTATTACTTGTAATGCATTGCTAACCCATAAGGTCACATGATCAAATGCTTGAATGCTTTTACCGATCGACTAACAAAAACAAACTTATTAAAAACACAAACGATACCTTCAAAAAATATTTTACCATTTTTCGATTTTAAGATAATGGCCCTGAAAAAAAAAATATATATATATTTATATACTGCATAGCGAATAGAAGAAAAAGAGTCAATATGGTCCGGTTGTAAACAGGATACCGATAAACGCAATTTGTCAGATTATTTTTTCTTCCCAAGATAATAATCGTTGATTTCGAGAGAAAAAAATATAAGGTTGCCGAAACATTTTTATTCTTGATTTTTTTAGCAAGTCTTTGACAATTGCAGATTCATGTTTTTTCGACCTCGGGAATCAATCGAAATTTATTTACAATAAGTCAAAATATATAATTTCAACTATTTCAGCATCAAATGAGACGAATGTTAAACGACAAGTTTTTCTTAAAAGAAAAAATAAATCCTCAATTACAGTAATGCTTCCGTGCTGAAAATTAGTCTGTAGTAATAAGTATCTTCTTCCATAGAGTCGATACTTAAAAATTGGATATAGGTCACGAAAAATACTTAGATGTAAACCTATTAATTTAACCTTGAACTTCTTTCTTCAAGGGATTTTTTACCTGTGTACTCTTTTTTTCGTAAATTGTGTTTGTCGAAATAAAAAACGGAATTTCATTCGATTCGGTGTCCTTTTAAACACACCCTTTCCTATTGACTTTTTTTTATCAGGTAGCTTGAATATGATAAGAACGAGTAAACTATTTTTCTCTTACGATTCTCGTGTAGGTGATAGAATATTCTTTATTCTAGAACGAGATAATATCTACCATTGTTCATCTCTATGCTTGAGAAATTGAAGCAAAGACGCAATTGACCGATGAAATAATTTAATTCTGTTGCATACATCCGTTCTCAGTCTCAAACTTTCTTTTGTTTAACAATTCTATAATGATGAGACTGCATAGTAATTAGAGTATGTCTTCCGCTTTGACGACATTCTATTTAGTTTGATCAATAGACGAATAGTACGAGTTGATTTCCTTTTGTTTTGATGCAATGCAAATTTTATAATCATGAAGAAGAAAGAAATATTATCTCATTGTTATTATTCTTAGTTTGTTCCAAGAATATTTTATGCATTTATTCATGACCTTGTAAGACAGTTCTTATCTTTCTTTTTTCGATGATTATTTTTACACCTGTTGCTTAAGCTTCAAATTTTCTATCGATCAATATTTCACATCTTCTACATACATACATATGAATAGCCGCTTAGGGAAATTAAAATCAATTGTCCATTGAACAATTAACTACGTAGATGCGGAACTATTGCTGTCGTTTTTAATCGATTGCGAATGAATCAAATGATAATATAGAGTAGCTCTTAGAATAGTTAGCAGCTAAAAGTTTGCCATCAGTATCATTATATCTAATAGTAGACTGACCTTTTCAATAGTGTCCCTGTACACTAGTACAAGGCGCACGCAGTATGATGTAATTAGAAGGAAGATTTTCCATGCTCTCAGATTGCATCATTCATTTAGTTTTTTTTTCTTCGTCGTATATGTATATATATATATATATTAAATTTATGCACCTCAAGAATCAATTTCGATGAGGTCAACGTTGAGATGACACAACCGGAAGGTTAAAATTTTCTTAGACATAAAAAAAGAGTGAGAGAAAGAAAATGACCATTGTAATTCATCGATTAGCTTTTCTTTATCTGATAATTGTTTATGCATATGTACAGAACAACGAGTCTTCTCGTCTGTTCATAGCAAATAAATATAGCTGATGCATCAAGCCTAAGGCAAAAAGTGAAAGAGACGTGTGATGAATAAGTACGCACAATTTTAAGATCGATAGATAAATCAAAAAACAACATACTCAATAATGTCAATTACACTCAAACGGTATGGTGACTTTTTTTCTTTGTTCACATGTACGAGTTTTTCTTTTGCTATCATATCATATTGCCACATATTAAACTAATCTCTTAACTTGATGTCTCGACGAGTATTTTCTTGCATAAACATTACTTAGAACGTACATTTATTCATCATTCTTATCGGTAGTAATAACAATTCCGAATCACGTTCATATCTAAGCTACTTATATTTTTTGCATCAAGACGTAGAGTTAAATGCAACTAATGACGACCATGATGATGATGATGATGATTTGTTGTTGTGCATCAACTCGTCTCGACATCCTCTAACATCGACTCATTGTTGTATTTTCCTTCCGTGAATTTATTTAGCTATAAGTTACGTCTCAATGGCAGTAACATAAATATATCTTAACGATTGGATTGCCGTATCTATGTCTTTCTTTTGTGTTAGTTTGAAAATAGCCTTACTAGATGTTTTAAAACGATGGATCATCCCTAGTTAATTATATCATATTGAGCAAGCGGCTGTTGTTCGCATAGGGTGGTATGTCATCGTTGTTCGGGCTTTTTTCTTCCTCGCTCAATTAGACAATAATCTCAGTTGCTTCCCTCAAATATGCATAACATTAACGACATCGTATGTTTTGTCTCTCCAGCTAAATCAAGTAGTAAAGCATATAATCTTATTTCACAATACATATACTCAACAGCTGAACAAGTTCTCATATCATTGTATGATATCTTGTCGAATATAAAACAGGTGAATGATGCAACTGTGTTGATGAAAGAGATAAATGAACAGTAGAAGAGACCACCTACTGGCCAATTTTTCTTTAATATTTAATATCCTTTTTTCCTATCACTTGTTGTTTCTATGATGATGACTATTACGTAAAAAAGAAGGAAGAACAAAGTACAATTCACATATATCATTTTTTTTTATATATATATATAAGCATGAAAATAGATCATTTCATTGTTTGATGTAGAATAAGTATTACATTTCGAATTGTTGGCCGCAAAAAAAGAAAATAGTCACAGCTGTGTTTTGCTTAGAAGAAGAGACATGTCACTTGACTGTTCTCTGTTACGTCAATTTGTCTGTCTGTACTAATCTATTTTGTATGAATGCATAGTCTCTTCTTTCTTTTCTTCTTCTTCTTCGTCTCATCATTATTGGTACCACATTGTATATGTATAGAAACGTAATCGAAGTGCCTATATTTAGTTAAATAGTACATAAGAGATGATCGTGTCAGATGAGCACATCTTTGCGGATAAAAACTGAGTTGGCATCGTTTTTGCATGTTCAAATCTTCTATTTGATAGACACGCGTGTCCAACAAAACCAATGACAAAGAAGCACGTAGACAGCAAAAAAGAAAGAAATTTCATGTGTTGTGCGAAGCAGGTGAGAGACGAAGCCTAGCTGATTAACACTTCTATAAATGTGTATGCTTTGCATTCTGAAAAACATAATCACATCTTGTAGGTAAGCAAAAGAAGAGTCGTGCCTAGTTTTATATATGTGTGTGTGTGCGTGTGTGTGTTTTTATAATAGCATGTTATCAAACAACAGTTAGATTGTATACATTGTAACTATAATTTGTGTGCATTAGCAGATCAAAACGGAAAACATCTACCCAAGAAGAAGAAAAAAAACATGATGTAACTACGTCTGATAGTTCACTTATTGGCAAGGTCTATTATTCTAATAAGCAAGTTCATCTTTCTATCTGCTTATTAATTGTTCGTATGTCCTTGTGTATATGTTGATTATGATGTTGCGTGTACGATAATGATTGACGATCATTGATGCACATGAATCGAACGAGAAGGAGTGCATCTTTAAAGCACATAGAATAGGAAGAAAAAGGGTGTGTGTGATGATCCAAAACGTCCTTGCTTAAAGGAAGCAATATATGCCATTTTTCCTCTTTGAGCAGTCTCACGCTTGAGTATCTAATAGTGTTATTGTTTATAGGGCATCTTTTTGTTAATAATGGATCTTAACTATATAACTCACTGAAATTGTTGACGAATGATGATTGTTTCTGTAAACTTTCCCTTCACAATTAAGATATTGTTATCTTGAAAGGATACAAAGAAAACCTATTTTTGTTCCTTATTCATCGATATAGATCTATGATGAAATTGTCGGTGAATCGAGAAGAGAAAAGTCAAGTAGAAGCATGTAAACAAAAGACTGGCATGGCATCTCTGGTTAATATCTTTAACTTCGAGTTAATTATTCACTATTGCTTCTGTTCATTAGAAAGAATAGCAGACACGTAGAGAGATATATTTGACTATGATTGATCGCGAACATCGATCTACATGTAATACGATCGAAAAATAATTGAAGAGGTAAATACATTTTGTTTTTTTTATTAAGAACCACTTGAAAATTAAATATTACATATTCCCCCTTTGCGCTGTATCATCAAAGAAAATGCACAGAGAAAGAGAGAGAGAGAGAGACAGAGAGAGAAGGAGAAACATCATGGTGGTGGTGCTCATTTTTCTTCCTTTCCTCTTTCTCTCTTCTGCGAGCACGAGAGAACATATACGAGTAGCTATATGTTCGTATACATTCATATACATATAAAACGGCAGTGTCTGTCTTTAGGAGTTGTTTTTAGATGAAATGCAACCATTTGTAGAACAACCACAATTTTTACTTGAACCCAAATCTTCGTTTATATTCGAAAATCTTCCTGTTAAACTCGAATGCAAGGCGATTCGAACAAGACAAATATTTTTCAATTGTGATAATAAATGGGTACCGGAATCGGAACATGTCAAATCTACTGAAACAAATGTAAGTTGGTGTTGTTTTTTCTCTCTCTATACATGAATTTTCTCTAGGAGAAAGGCAATACCGTTATTGTAACGGCGATTCAATTAAAAGCCGATCAAATTGAAGCGAATATTTATAAATGTTTTTGTCAAGCATGGTCAGCAACAGGTGGAACGCTTAAATCTCGGGCAGCAACGATTGAATTAGCTTGTAAGTATATGTTTTCATATCACAATGATATGTGATAAGAAGGAAGATTAGCAGTTTACTCTCGATCAATAGAACAAAGATTAGCTCGATGCCGGCGTTTACAATTCGTATGATAAAACGAGAGCCATTCAAGGTTGTAAAATACATAGTTTACATGAATGAGTTGACATTATTTTGTTTTTTCAAGTAACAGTTATTAAAGAAAGTTTATCCACTAATCGGATCAAAGTGAGAGAAGGAGAAAAGGAAAAGTTTGAGTGTTCTAATTTATTGATGAAGGTTACATACTATGTATACATACTCATTAAAAGAACTCGACTATATAATGATTAGTATACTATCCTTGACGGCAAAGAAAAAAGACAAAGAGAATATTTTTTGATAATGTAGATTGACACTCAAACGAAAGAATAATAATACTTAAACATACATCTATGACAAAGAGAATAATAGAGTAGGAAAACCCATTTATGTTTGACTTTAGTTATTCTCTCAGATGTCAAATCATCAATTTATAAAAAGAAACTACCGCTCATTGAACATATGTTCTTTCGTTGACATATCAATATAAATATTTGATTATTTTAGATTTAGATAAAATATTCGAATGGGAACCATTAAAAACCGATAGTATAATTAATAAATCAGTCGAATTACGTTGTCGTCCGCCAAGTGGAAATCCGTATCCAAAAGTAAGACATATTATATAACGTAGAAAAAAAAGAGCTTTCTTTCTAGCCCATCGATATTAAACCCACAAATAAATAGATCATTATCGTTCTTCGAACAGACATATGGAGGTTAATAGGACACAAGGAGAAAAAAAAATGAGCCTTATTTGTATACATCAGTCGCTGTCTTTTCTTCTACACACTTGATCGATTATTCAACCGATATTTGACACCTTGTGGAGGTGGTATGCTTGTCAATCTTAGAAATTCTCTCGTGTCGCTTGCTATTTAGGACATAAGATAATTGTTCTTTGCCATTTTCGCACCTTCGCGAATGAAAGGGATAATTAGAATCAACAGAGAAGAAACGGAAATGGACTCTTTTTTTTACTTTAAATGCAAACAAACATGCGAATGATTATATTGGGTCGGCATTTTTCTCTCTCTCTAGGTAACATGGTTAAAGGATAATCAACCAGTTGAAATAAATCGTAATGGTCGTTTAATACTTTCGAATGAAAATTCTCTACTGATTGCACAAATAAAAAAAAGTGACGCAGGAAATTACACTTGTGTGGCATCGAATATTGCTGGATCGTATTCAAGTGAACCAGCTGAATTGATTGTTCATGGTACTGAAAAATTTCTGCGCGGAATTTCGAAGTTTTTCTTTCTTCTTCAAATGTAGATGATCGCGGTTGGTCGGAATGGCAAGCATTTTCTGAATGTAAAGGTATACCATGCAGTATTGGTCGTCAACGACGTTTACGTACGTGTCTTAATCCGCCAACAATTACGAATAAACCGAGTTGTGATGGCGATCAAATACAAGAAAGAGAATGTTCTGTACCATGTCAAAAAAATCTTTCATCTCAACCGCCAGGTTCGAATTGTTTGTGTAAACGGTTGCATAGCTAAATTTTGTTTTTCAGATGATGATTTTTCTGAATGGTCATCATGGTCAAATTGTATTGGTGTTCCATGTCAAATAGGCACGCAACAGCGTATGCGAAGTTGTTTTAGACAATCCGTATGTAATGACAAACAAATACAAGAACAAGATTGTTTTGTATCTTGTCAGAATAAAACTCAATCATCGTTATCGAATGGTAATCATAGGAAATATATAAAATGATTATATATACATATTCTTTTTCTCGTTGTCGCAATCTCAAGGTATCTATTCGAATTGGACACATTGGTCTGCATGTCGATCAATCGATTGTACATCTGTACGTACACGACACTGTCTAGAAGAGCCATGCCGAGATTATTTAATGGAAACTCGTCCTTGCGATGAAAATATGTGTTCGAGTAAAGATTTATTTCGTCGTATTATCAAGTAATTTGTTATGCGTTTTCTTTTCTCATAGGTATGAAGAATACGAGCACGCCGCCAGTACCTACATCTGCTTTCAATATGATCATGTATTCATCGGCTGGTTTCGGTGGTCTCATATTTCTGTTATTAGCCTTTTTATTTGCTGTGATTTGTTGTCGTCGACGACGACGTACAATAAGAAAAAAAGGTAAGCGACGAATAATGGTTATATAACCTTCATATCAGACATTTACCTTCTTTTTTTCTTCTCTCACTTCATTCATGTGAGGCTAGACTAAACAGGGTGACATTCGAGTGTTTTTCTCCCTATCGTTAGCAAGGCAACAGCTGAAGTTTAAAGAGAAAATAATTCCTTGCTATGCTTTCTGACGAATAAAAGAATAAAATCGAAATTAAATTGACAGATAGCAATCTGCGTGTGTGCGAACACAAGAGAATGCCACGGCGATAATTGTAGTATGTGTTGTTCAGCAGCAGCAGCAGCCGGACACTTGAATGATTAACGAATTGAAAGGAAAACGAGGAATGCTTATCGCACAGACCATGTGTATTAATTTGTTCAATAAGTGAACAATTTTCTATAGAATATATAATGAGAAGAAAACGAAAATGAACATATGCAAGTTATTTCTCAGATCACGCACGTCCGTTTAATTATTTAACTGACAAAATATTACCTGAGGGTAACAATAGGCTGTTGTCAGTTGACTGGAATTAATTTGATAAAAGTCATTAGCAGTCAACCTATGACTATTCTGATTGCTGATATTTTTTGTTTTGATAGGTATATCGAATAGTATCCCAACAAACACAACATGCAGTAATTGTCATATAGAAAAAAATGAATATCCATTTTATTATTCAATACAACAAGATACAACATCGACAAGGTCTTGTGCATCGCAGAATAATTCTATATCATTAACAAATGCTGATCTTGGAGTGGAAAAAGAAAAATTAATTTTTCTAAATGATTCACCATTGAAATCATCGAATTTAAATCTCATCTATGAAAAAATTCTTCAATCGCTACCGGAAAATATCGACCTACGTTATTTTGCCGTATCGATAATTAATAATTCAGGTTGTCATCTTGAAATACCTCGTACCGGCATATCATTAACCATACCGGAAGATGCCGTTCTACTTGATGAAGACCATTTAATTTTTATTGCTTTACTGACCATCGAAAATCACATGCCGATATTAAATAATAATCAAACACGTCTATCACCTGTCATACTCATCGGCCCATCAGATATAACGTTGGTTAAACCGGCTGTACTTTCGTTTGAACATACAGCTGTATTAGATTCATCGTGGAAATTTAATTTAATCTTTTCGGATGATATTATCAATTGGAAATCAATATTAACCTATGGACAAGAAAATATTTCAACCCCCGTCTATCTACAATTTAACAATGAACAAAAAGCATCTATATTAGTAAGAGAAATATTCGGTTTGATTGAGTATTATCTTTTTGATTTTTAGTTCGAAACGATGGGTGCCTATGTATTAATTGGCGAATCAATTAAAGATCATCATGCATCGAAATACCTTCACATGGCGTGTTTTCATAATCAACTAACATTACGTGTTCGGTTTTTTGATAGAACATTAGATGCGTTCGAACGGTGTTTGAACGAAGAATTAGCGATGAAAAATGCCCTATGTGACCAACCCAAAGAATTTATTTTACACGATTATCAAGATCAAGTATGCATTAATGTTGATTTAGAACTCTCGACCCTATCAAGAATTAATATTGGTTATAAAGAAGTTTCATCGATATCGTTTTGGACTAATCGTATTGATCGATCATGCTTTATTTTTGTTATACCAGATTTACAAATGAACAGCGATGATAGAATAAAAAATTTTATGGATCAATTTGCGATCCATGTTGATGCTTATCAACCGGCCATGCTTGAAAGCGCGCTACATACACGACTATTTATCAATACGCTTCATGTAAGTTTTGGAATTTAACAGAATGAACTTGGCATTTATTAACCGTTTATTATATTATATTTTTCATAATGCCTCCGTGTGCCTTAGAAATAATCCATTGAATAACTTCTCCCGAGAAACTAAGTGCGAAATTTTGATGACTTGCTGAGCACTGTCAAATAGGCTTAGTCGCCTACTGACGAACACTACTATTAATAAGAATTATCATCGAAAAAAATTTCTTTTCTAGTTACAGCACAGTTCTGGATGGAATACAATATCACTACGGCATCGACAAACGTCGAAATCATCTGAAAAAATGAATAGGTAATTTTAAAATTCTTTTTATCTCACTCTAATGCTCGTTATTCGTTTAAGATTACCAAAAGTAATTCGACAAAAACTATGCCAAATGCTTGATCCACCTACTTCACTAGGAAATGATTGGCGAATGTTCGCAAGTAATTTAATTGGTATCAAGTAAGAATATTTAGAGTGAAGGGATATAGAATATTTCCAATGATATTTTTATTTAGTTATCTGCAATATTTTGCTACGAAAGCTAGTCCAACTGAACATTTGTTAACATTATGGGATGCTCGACAAGAATCACTTGTTCATATGATCAATGTACTTAACCAAATAGGTCGTAGTGATGCTGCGTGTATTATTATTACACATATGAATATAGCGCATTGATTGAATAATAAACGGTGCAAATAGACAGGGCAGCAGCGATATTTTCATCTCTTTTTTTAGTCTTGTGACGAACTCTTTTCTTTTTTTCTTTTTTTTTTGGTATTTTTATATGTCTTTATTAATGTACTATACGTCTCGTTGCTTGCTTTTTTTCTCAGTAATAAAAACTAAGATATTATATCTATGTCGAATAATTTGAAGTCAACTTTTACTTTTCTATAATGAAAATCGTCGAGATACAGATATCTGAAGTATTGTTGAATTTGATAGGAGACATCAGAGCAATACATATTACCCTTTAGTGGTCGTAGTAGCAATGTAAAGTCTAGCATATTTATGAGGCATGCTGTATCCTCTTCAAATAGTGAGTATTCCGATGAAGTTCGGCATATAAACTTTAACCTCATGCAGGCCTCGCTGATAATTTATGTATTTTGCTTGTTCAATAAATAAAGTTCGTCGCTATCAGAGAGGTATGAACAGTCTTTTATCAATTGTTATTTTACTCGAAAATAGAACAAAGCACAAAAACCATCTACTGTAGACAAACAAAATCACACAGAATCCACTTTTATTTCGTACAGTAACTAATAGAAAAAAATCAAATGAACGCAAAGTGTTGTAGCAAGAGTATTAAACATTTTATGCAGATTAAAATTATGCCGTCCGGTTACGTATTGCAAATGAAACATATTCAATATCCGAATGGAAAGTATAGATATGCTGCGTCGATGCTATGACAGTTGATTGTGTGAATATCGTCAAGTATGGATACATTCAAATACACACATGTCAAATTCTACTTTATGCCCTGCATACGTTCTTGAAAAGCATACACTACTACTAATATTCCGTCAATACCAAAAACCATGGCTCTCATCTACATGACAAACCAGAAAAATCAAATGAAGCAAAAGAAAATTTTTTATTACGAACTCGTCAAACTCAACGCTACTGATACACCTCTCAGATGCTTTCAGTCAAGAACTTTTATGATGCTTTTCGAACATCTTCTGATTTTCGACAAATAATCGTAAAGAGACCATCTTGACAGTTAATTTCTGTCTTGTCAGTCTCAATGTCACACTCAATTTGGATTATCAATTCAAATGGGCCAATTGGAATTTTCAGTTGATCAGGTGTTAAATCAAAGTGTGATTCCATGAAGTCATCGCGTATTCCTCGAATTATTACACTTGATTTTTCAGCTTCAATAACCACGTTAGTATTGTTGAATCCAGCCAACTCAACGACGATAATTATACCATCGGTTTGGTCGTATTTACGATATCGAGGTTGCCATTTCTCAATACCTTCAGCAAAAATTCTAATTAAAAAACCGTAACGGTCATACATAAGTCTAGGTGACACAGAAAATGAAGGTTGATACTGCACACGCTCATCGAATGGTACATCTTTCAGCTCTGAAAGCACGATATACGGTTCTGTCTGATGCTGAATGATTTCTAGTTTTCTTAAGTCAGTTTCGGAACCATTCACACATGTAAACAATTGAGGTAGCTTCTTGTTAACATACGATAAGACTTCGTTCAAGATATGGACATTACGTCTCTTTTTAGTATCTGCTTGCAAAATTGTCATGATGCCGTCAAGTGATTGACTATTCCATCGTTTAGCCGCAGCAGAGTGTTCTTTCGCCATAAGGAAATGACGCAAAGTGGTTTGTTCAAATTGAGATGTATACATTTGAAATGATTTACCATCTTCAGCCATCCGTTGTTGTGTAGTCGCTTCTCTGGCACCGAGAATGCCCTTGATTTCCTTCTTAATTACGATTTGCATCTCTTCTTTTTTCTCAATGTCCACCAAATTGTGAACAAAAATAATTTCTGGCCTCTTTGAAGGCGGCAACTTCTCACAGTACTCCAAGACTTCTCGTATATATATTTGATCAGTCAAATGTAATCGATTCAATACAATTATTATATAAGAACAGATATTCAAAATTATTTCCCGTAGAAGAGCGTCAGTAGCTCTTTTGTCTTCAAGTCCGCTTTGACTTACTGGCGTGTCCGTACCAGCTGTGTCAAGAAAAATCAGGTTTGCCATAGTCTCTCGTGATGCGGTGATTGATATGTCATCTGTCGATAATACGCTACCGTTAGGAAACTGAGTTTTACAAAGCTGATTTAGCAAATAGGATTTTCCACGATTGTACGAACCGAGTATACCAACTGTTAGACTGGCTTCATATTCTGTCAGTGTTAGAAGGTTTTACCATTTTTGTTGTATTATTGACTGTAATTTTCCAGCCATGCTTCACTAAATCTTTAAGGCTTTGAATGTGTATAATGACATCATATGGAGTTGGAGCCGAAGACCGAAAAAAGTTTTTCGACATTATGGTATAAGCAGCAAGACGAATAAATATAGTGCTTTTATAAATCGTACCACTTGGTTTGGAAGAGAGCTGAACCTTTATTCGTGCTCTTCAGTGATAACAGGTCGTTTATTTTTCTTCTATTGTTATCTGCTTTTCAAAACATGAAATTAACAGCGGCCGATACTAATTTCATCCTTATGTTTTTTCGCTTTGTCTCTGAGTTGGCAAGAATTCTTGTATTCAGGTATTAACAAACATATACTGATAAAATAGTAAAAAATGCGAGTCAGCTATATTTGCAAAAAGCTAAGAAAGAAGACACTTTTTATGGCAGTGCGTGATTTTCTGCACGTACGATAAATAAAAAAGTTCACATCCCTGGGGGTAGACAAGAACATGCCTGCACTCAGTTGCTATTTCGGCACACGTTATCAGAATGTCTATCATAATTATAATATTTACAAGAAAAGAAATCAATCATATGTTGTCTATGTTTTTTGCTCTTGCTGGTAAATAAGGAAACCTGATTTGAGAAGAATTACGGAGAAAACATGAAAAATTCAAAGAGAAAAACCATGTGACACGATGACTCTGGAGTGTTTGTATACATACAAATACAATCAATGCAATTGTTGAGTTTTTTCTCTTTCATTTATGGCTGGGAACGTTGTTTTCAATTCAATAGGAATAATGATTTCTTCTTGAGTGTCAGGAAAAAAAAATATGCATATGTCCTGCAGAAAAATCGAAACAAATAAAAAGTAACGACAAATCCTGATAAGAGGCGAAGTACTGGTGCCAAATGGGTGGAAAAGAATCAAAACAAACTGTTTCGAAATTAATAACAAGTGCAACTGTACCATCGACTGCAGCGCGACCTAGTCGCCGCATAGCTGAAAACTATTTAGTCATATGGGCTGATGAAAGTATAGACTCGAAAAATACAGATTGCCAAAATACATTAGATGAATTGCGTAGTGTAGTCAATGACGTTAATCCATGTACAACATCAACAGAATGCATTGGATGCCTCAATGACAATAAAGAGAAGATATCATTTGTCATCGCTTCTGGTGCTTTAGGACAACATCTAGTGCCCGAAATTCATAATATGCCAAATTTGAATGCTATTTATATTTTTTGTGGCAATAAACAGTATCATAGAGAATGGGTTCAAAAGTGGACCAAAATCAAAGAGTTAGATTCATCCATCAAATCAATATGCCAAGCGTTGTCACTGGCAATTAAGCAATGTAATCAAAATAATGTATCGGTGACCATTATCAGTGCACACGAAGAAGACTTGAGTAAGAACTTAAATCGAATTGAACCAACGTTTATGTATTCCCAAATATTCAAGGAAATTCTTCTCGAGATGAAGCACGGCCACCAAGCTGTGAAAGATTTAGTCAAATTTTGCAAAAAAGGTGAATACCATGATAATAAAACTGAAATGAAAATTATCAAAGAATTTCAAGATACGTATCAACCATCGGATGCCATTTGGTGGTACACACGTGAATGTTTCACATACAAATTGCTCAACAGCGCATTACGAACACTCAACGGTGACATCATCATTCGAATGGGTTTCTTTCTTTGTGATATACACCGACAGATCGAAGATCTACACAAGACACAAGTCAGTCTATATCGAAGGCAGCCATTCAAAATTTATCGAGGGCAAGGATTATCAGCAGAAGACTTCGAAAAACTCAAAATAAACAAAGGTGGACTTATTTCTTTCAATAACTTTCTATCGACCAGTATCAAACGAGATATTTCTCTCGAGTTCGCCAATCATGCAATAGATGAACCTCATACAGTTGGTGTCCTTTTTCAAATGACAATCGATCCTACTATCTCATCGAATCCATTTGCCTCCATACAAGAAATAAGTTATCACAATGAGGAAGCTGAAATTCTTTTCTCTATGCATACTGTTTTTCGAATTGATGAGACTGTCAAAGTTGATAGCAAACGTCCACTTTATCAAGTTGATCTTAAACTTACGTCTAATGATGATAACCAACTGCGCCAGCTCACGGAAAGTATAAGAAGAGAAGCTGTAGGACCGACAGGTTGGGCCCGATTGGGTCAGATGCTGCTCAAAATAGGTCAATTCGAAAAAGCTGAAGAATTATATACTGCACTACTCGAACAAGCGCCTACTGAGAGCGATAGAGCACTTTTTTATAACCAGCTTGGATTGATGAAGTACAATCAAGCAAAATACAAAGAAGCAATTTCATTTCATGAAAAATCACTCAAAATCAAGCGGAAAATGCGCCCAGATCATCATCACGAATTAGCTATTTCTTACAACAATATCGGTCAAGTCTACAATAGCATGGGTGATTATCCGAAAGCGCTTGAGTTTTATGAAAAAGGTGTAGAAATCAAGAAGAATACTTTTCCTTCGAATCATCCTTCATTAGCTACTTCCTACAGCAATATTGGTTCAGTTTATAACAATATGGGCGAGTATATGAAGGCACTTGAATTTCATGAAAAGGATCTTGAAATAGCGAAACAAACTCTGCCTCCAAATCATCCTGAATTGGCTGTATCCTATAACAACATAGGTCAAGTGTATAACAAGATGGGCAACTATCAGAAAGCCCTTGAATTTTACGAAAAAGCTCATAAAATAAAACATTCAGCTCTACCTCCGAATCATCCTGAACTTGCAATATCTTATAACAACATGGGTGCAATGTACAAAAAAATAGGTATCTACTCGAAAGCACTTGAATTTTACGAAAAAGCACTGAAAATAAGACAAGAAATACTTTCGGATAATCATCCAGATCTAGCTCAATCATACAACAACATCGGAAATGTATACTGCGAAATGAAAGATTACTCTCAAGCAAAATCATTTCTAAAAAAGGCACTTGCTATCTGGCAAAAATCGTTACCTTCAACACATCCTTTTATTAGAACAGTCTTAGATAATCTTGGCTATGTTAAAAAACAGCAGTAATGTGGGTGCGGGTGTGCGCACATATAATAGCTTGTTTCAGACCGAGAGCACAGATGCGACTCTTTACTTTCACATCCACATTCCCTCATTCCTTTTCGAATTTTGTTTTTCTATTCAGATATTTTTTGTATCTGTGTGTATTTTAAATATTATTATAACGTAGCAATAGATTCTTGAAGTACCTAATAATGACTATTCGAGCAGCAATCGAAACGTGTCGTTTCACGCTTTGAACCTATTTGAATTCATAATAAGCACACCCACATCCTTGTTTTAAGCGATCAATCAGTTACAGATGATCGCCGATTTCAGTGCAAAAAGTCGATTTTGTTGAGCGTGAATGATTGATAATTTCTGGATGGGGTGCACTGAGTAGTATAATTATACAGCGCCAACAATTCCAGAAGACAATGAACACAAGTCACAAGAGAAAGATCTCCGATTTGAATATTACAGATGTTCCGAAACGCACTGTTTCGCGAAGAATGAATCTTGTTGATTTATTTTTCAACTATTATTACTTGAAACAGTCAATAGGATCTGGAACGAGAGGGATAAATGCGAGATTTGTTTTAATAAAAGTATTTACAAAGTACTCAGCAAATAGATAAGTATTGTGAAGCACTTACAACGATGAGGCATATTAATGAAAAGCAAATCAGTTGATTGTCTGCTAGTTTGATCATGATTAACAGGCGACCGAACAAGAAAACTACACAATTCTGCCTTTGACATATCGTACTTCGGCCATCTATGCATTATTGTGATGTTTTGAAAATTGTGCCATGATAATCAGCACGATATTTGATCTTCTGCCTTATTATTTCATCAATCAATACGCTTCTTCATAAGCTAGAAAACAAACAGCATTGATGGGTATTGCTTTTGAGATTCCTCAAAGAAAAGCACGATAAAATATGCGTTCACTACTTTCAGATTGAATTTCAGATCGAAACCGATTCAATGGATAACAAATTGACCAGGCGCAAAGTTCTTTATAAAAAACCACGTAAACCACCATTATTTTCATAAACATATTTACAACAATCTTGTACATAAAAATCGAATGCGTGTGTATGGCGAACAAACAAATGTCCTTTAATCTGCCCATTAACTAGGCCAGTAGGTGTTTCAATGAACGATGATCCGAAACCAGTGAGAACACCAGCCACAAAAAAAAACTTTTCCTATTGTACTCTCACCATCATTCTGATGGTTATGGAGATGTCGACTGATTTGTCCATAGAATAAATACTGTATTGCCATAAACAATGCTGGACTGATCAATGGTAAACTTAAATTACTTCAATAGAATCCATCGATGAAACCTTGTTTTTGGTAAATAGATAGAATAGAAGAGATTATGTATTGATTACAGTCAAATAAATTGCTTTGCAGGCGAATAAGCAATGTTTCCCAAGGATGTGAAACGATAGCACCTGTCACACCACAAACACCACCAGCAATCAAATCTGTCATTATAGAACTCGAAATTAAGGATATATTTCAGGTATCCAGATTTATCGGTTCTTGTTCATATCAACAACATCCTCACTTGATTAGTAACTGATTTTGTAATATCAAGTATGCCGAGAAATGACATTCATCTTTGTTTAGTTTTTAGTTTTATGAAACCCAAAATGATTGGATGAAGCTCTCACACGGAATAAAGCTAATATTTTTTATTTCAAAAATTTTCGGTATAATTTCTAATTAAAGATCTTTCCGGAGATATGAATAAGATGTTGTTGTAGATGGCGGCATTTTTGAAGATATTTCGAAAACTGCTGAACATACGACACCGATCCATTTTTTATTACAATCAAAAAAATTAGACTGATTTTTGTGAAAATTTTCTGCAATAAATTGTAACTTCATCTAGCTCAGAAAAGTAATAACAATCTATCGGCCGACTTGTTTCAGTCAATCAAAATCGAAGAAATAAAGGTGGCGTACACTCCTAAAATTGTAAGAGCAATTGCGTAAAGTATTTTGATTTTGATGGGTATCAGTGTGGATTCGAGTTCCACTAAGAAATGCATCATAGCCACACCACGCGATTAAGCACTCAATTGGGAACCGTGATTGTGAATCATTATAATTACTCAAAAAACACCGCGTTACATTAATTCCTTGCTCAGAAAATATTCTAGATTTAAGCATCAGTGATCAAACATTTGTCTAATCCTCCGAACGCATATGTTTCTCTTAGTTTTAGTATTTGAGTCGAACTTGTATATTTTATATTAGTTTTTTTTCATTAGAAAAATGGAAACAATCAATATAAAAACAAGAATTATATCATCATTATTTAGGTGTTTGTTTAATAACGTAATGGTTATTTTTAAATGCTTCTCGAGCACCTTCCGCTTCAATGTCATCAAAAAACGAACAATTTCGATTCCATATTTCAGATAAGAATCCCTGATCAGGTGTGATATGGAAATGTCTAGGTGAAGATGGATCATAGCTGGACCATTGGCTCAATGGTCTTCCTGTTGTTGCTATATTAATCCAATGAGCAATTATTTCATTAGAAAATACTCTTGTTGGATTATCCCATGTACAATTGAATAATTCTTCTGAATGAAAATCACTAATAGTCCCGAATACAAATGGAAGTTCAGCTGAATGTCTGCATATGCCCTCTTCAGGTACAACAGGACATTGAGGATAACAGTTTAGATGATACGAAAATAATTTATTTCGTTCGTATTGTGGACCATATTTTAAGTAAAAAGCATTGAATATTCGACGAATGTCACAATCAAAAAGTTTATCCGTTGCCATCGAAAGAACGATATAACAGCAACGACTATTATTAGCCATTCGATTTGATGAACAATTTTGCAGATGATAATAATCCACGAGTGACGGTATCCATTTTTTTTCTATAGATTGACTTATTAAGTCTATAGCCTGAGTATAATTCATATCAGGATAGTCAAGACATACTGTTAGGTCATAATCATTGTTACCCATAATAAGACTAATATTATTGTATTGCCCATTTTGAATTGCTAAAGGTGGATACAACGGAAAGAAATAATTATCAATGATTGGTTTTGTATAACGATCACCATATATTGTAAATATATCTTCAATCGAAGAGTTGCGTATACATGAAAGAACTTTTTGTTTGTCTTCATTAGTACAATTCAATCGCTGAACAACTGAATTAGAACAATTGAGAGCATCATTCGTACTGTAGTAAGACGTATACGTTCCAGGTGAACTTAAACCAGACTGACTTAATGCCGTTCGGTAAAGATCAGTTGATCCTTTCACTGCACCAAGATCAGTAACAGAAAGTCCTCCGGAACTTTGACCAAACAGTGAAACATTACTTGGGTCACCTCCATAATCGTGAATATTCTTCTTAATCCAACGAAGTGCAGATAGCATATCTAAGTACATATAATTACCTGCTGTTGGCCATTCTGGATTCTCTTCAATTAATTCCTTCAAAAACATATCTGCTAATACGCCCAATCGGTAGTTGATTGTAATGATAATAACAGGTTGATCTGATGGTGAATTCGCAATCATATTAGTACCATTATAGATCAATGGAATACTTTGTGATGAACATCCTATTTTATGAGCACCACCATGAATCCAAACGAAAACTGGCAATAAAGAGTGATTCGATGGAACTATGGGTTTGTAGATGTTTAGATAGAGACATTGTTCATCTTGTTCAGGAATATAAGTATCAGTTTTTGGTTGTGGACAACATGGGCCAAAGGATGTAGCTTGTAAAGAAAAATTTGGAAACATTTTTGATGCAAGATCCATTGGTGGTTTCCATCTCACTACTTTTGCATATTGAATTCTAGGGAACAATGGCAACAACAAAAGTCATTAAACTTATTAGTTTTATCGTACCCTAAATATTCAATTGAATTTTGAGTTTGTCGACCATAGATGATTCCTTGTTGAGTGCGAAGACCAACATTTCCAGTTGCAGTAGTGATCGCAATAATCAAAAATAATATGTAGTGTGACAACCAAAAATAAGTCATCTAAATAATTCAATGAATATACATGATCTGATATATTGTGGTGAGTGTCTGACAGGCTTTTAGTTAGGACAACGGAATAAGTGAGAAGAGTATGGCCTTCGTTTATCGAGTAGGACCTCAAAAAACCTTGTTTTACAGTCGTTTCCCTTACACCTTTGTTATTTTATGAGAGACAATGTAATAAAACTATCTATGCTGTTTAACAGCGACTAAATAGTGAGGCATATTTTTTTATTCTTTTCTAATCTATGCTTTTATCTTCAAAAACTGCCCCATCACATAAATGACAGAGTAAAACAAATATTCATATGCTTAATAAAGGTGAGCTATTGATTTATTTCATATCCAAAAATGACGGCAGTAGAGTTTGCCTCATGTCAAATGTCTTCATATTGATGTCCTATTGGCTAGAAAATAGTCAATCATCCGATCAAATATTTACATTTTGCTAGTCAGTTGGACAAATCATAGCTCTTTCAATAAAAGGATGCTCTGTGAAGTAATTCATAATTTTTCATTTTTATTTTGAGTTACGTCGCAAAAGTGTATATCTGATAGATACACCTAAAACGATTCTTTATCGTTTCAAAAGCACGTTATACTGCATTCCTTACCCTAACTAGTCCGCAATTAAACATACATACTTTTCTAGACATATTTGGTCTTTCAACATACGGTGTAAGAAGAGGTGAATTTAATGTAAATCAGAATCTACTATAATATGAGCATATATGTCAGATTATTATCAATAAGATAATACTTTGTATATATTGAATTTCGCATTAACACCGTTTAGCGTTGATTTACTGTAAATGAAGCTATCATTGCAATGTTCAGATGCTCTTACATTCATGTATGTAAACATTAGATTACTATTGGCAACGACTAACATAATCATCAGGGTGGCCAGATCTTCTGAAAACTAGGGAAAATTTCTGAATTTTGAACATGTTTCTGATTTTCTTCTGATCTTCTGATGTTTTTCTGAATTTGGAATCTTTTCAGATCGTTGCTTTGCCACTGAAATTAGGTACGATTATAACCCATTACTATAATAAAACAATAGTGTTTCATCAATTTTTTGTATTAACCATCTTTTATATTCAACATTCGAATTCTGGAGTAAAATTGATTTTCGGTTATATGAAGAATTTATAGTCCGATTATCGTAATCCAGTAATATAAAACCAGATAATGCTCAACTTAAAATAAAAGTGATTGATAATAATTCTTGAGAAGGTTTTTATTAGCATATGTTATCTTAAACAAACTTCCCAGAGCAAATTCCAAAAGATACGAAATATGAATAACAATACCGAGATGATGGAATTTAACGTTTTTTTCTCGTTGGATTTCTTAATCTACGCAGAATGTATGTGATTTAGTTCTGCTCGTTTTTGTGAACGGGTTTTAAATTTAAAAAGAAGCTCAATATTAAGTATCTTGTATTGATGTTTGCGAATTAGCTAAACGATATATTCACTATAGTTTCTTTCGTTTTATTTAAATACCTTCGAAAATAAAGTTCCAGTCAGTGAACCGAAATGCAGCAGAATTTTAGATGCCAGTATTTTAGCGGAAGATCTACTAGTTTGCCAAAAACTGCCATTTTCTGATTAATTTCAGATTTTTCAGAGATTGTTTCTGATCGTTTTCTGATTTTGAAAAAATATTTTCTGATTTTTCAATTTTTGATCTGGCCACCCTGATAATCACCGAGTGGAACTTCTTGTAATTGTAATTATCGGGTTCAGCACCAGCAGGCGGCTTAATTTGGATGCACATAGCATCTAGCAATCCTAAACATGATGGATAGTCAGACTTGGTTAAAAATCTATTCATCGTTTCACGTATTTCAGCATCTTTCCTTGGACTAACCAGTCAAATGAAAGATATGCTATTGGCATCATATGCAGTAATTACAACCCTGACGCTACAACCTAGTGTACTGAATTTATTTATTTTTCTATATTTCTATCAAAATTACAGATTTATACCTGACTATTAAAAAAAAACTCCGATTAATAGTGATTAATCGATTCGATTTTCAAGAAATGAATTTTTTCAAAATAAAAATACTCTATGATTTAAATTGTTGGCAAGAACTTGTAAATATAACGGTAGAAATCTAGATTATACTTTGTAACGACAAACTAATAGATGACAAGTTTATCGTCAACCATCCCAATGACGTTTACATTTGCACTTCATACAGCTAAAATGTGTCTATTTTACATACACCTCACGCTTATGTAGAAGAGAGACAGAAATGAGCACAGGATACAAAAAAGGAAGTGAGGATAAAGAGATAGGAGGAAAGAGAACAGAATGTCAATAGTAGATGCAATATCAATACTAGCACATGTGTAGAGTTTGCTTTTATTTGTGATATAATAGGCGAAAATAATCGATTACTAAATCTTGTTTTACAACGGTTCAGTGCACAATTATATTTTCGATATGTAGTGATTTTGAGGACATGAGTCAATATTTTAATAGTCGTCCACAGGGATATCAGATCTTCTGAATTTGGCAGAAAAGTTCTAATTTCTTGCTTTTTTTCTGCTCGATTTCTGGGTTTCTGAATTCTTCTGAATTTTGAGATTTTTTCTGTCTTTTTTTCTGAGTCCTGGTATTTGTCTACATTATCACTTTATAGTAATTTTACTATATATTTTACTGGTTTGCTGTGTCACCTTTATTTTCGCATTATTATTGGATAATTCATTGTATTTAGAATGATTCAGTAATGTACACTCGCTTCTGTCTAACCGTTAGACAGAAGCGTTAGACTCTAACGTTTGTTCGCGTTCGCGTCCGACCGAATCTCATTACTATAAATAATATTTTCTAAGGTAAACTAAATTTCAAAGAAAGATGAAGTTTTACTTATTATTTCGTACGTTTTAAAGTGGATTAGAGTAACGATGCATAATGAATCTGAATATTCAATTATGATTACAAGTTCAATTGAAGCAGAACAAGAAATTATGGCAGTAAAAATTACCATCCAAACAATAAAAACACCAGTTTCTCGTAAATTAAAGAAAAAGAAAGGTGTTTTTAAAAAAGATGGGCTAAATATAAAAGAATATTCATTTTGGTTGCAGGAAATAAAAATGATTCTTCACAAGCTCGATGTAAATTTTGTTTAAAAACATTTAGTGTTCACTATGAAGGAAAATCAGCTGTAAACAAACATATTTTTCCAATAGAAACCTCAACATTTAGATCAAAACGTTTGACAATTTTTTTCTGAATTTACAGAAAATGGATTCTGAATTGGTCCTAATGTCTCAGAATTTCAGTACGAACATTCCGATTTCTAACTTTTTGATCTGGCATCCCTGGTCGTCCGTTATCTAGCACGTTATGATTATTCGTTAGTAATTATAAAAAAAAGATCTTGGAAATATTTAAATAATATTCAAAAAGTCAATATTCATCTTATTATGGGTTTTATATCTCACTTTAAATGTAAAACTGGTGAAAGCGAATAAAAAAAAAAGATATAAAATACAATTTAAATTTAAAATCTATTCTATTTTTATTGGGATGTATAAATTCTTTGAGATATTCCTCAAGCGATTCATTTGTTGATTCATTACCAAAGCCTGTACAAACTCCATTAGGAATTTTTCTCATGATTGCTTGCGGTGTATTTGGACGGCACTGTCGCGCTGAGAGGAACAGATTAAAATTTCAACGTCGTAGACCTGTCCAACAAAACATAAATTCATTGTTTTATACAGGTAAACGACTATTATGAGTATCTGCTGTTGTTCAGTCGAATGAAACGAACTTACCGATGGATAAAACAAATTTAAGAAAAATAGATAATTTCTTGAGGGTGTGGAAGTACAATGAAAAACATATTTCAAAATTTTCGCCTTATGATTGGTCAAACCTAGATTTACTGATAATACTTTCTTTTTATTTCTTTTTAGTTATCATCAAACAAATCGAATACAATTGAATCCTGTCGGGCGTCTTCATCTGATTCACCTTCACATGAAAAATGTTTAAAAGCGAACGACTAAAATATGTTAGAAAAATAAACAAAAAAGAAAATTGCTTAGCAATAGTTCTCACTGAAACACCATTACATACCAATCATGAGAAATGTATTATTGTAAATCAAGATACAATGTTCCTCTTAATCGCTAGATTTTTTGTTCATTTTAATATGTTGGTTTCAATTTTTCTTTAAAATTAAGTTCATGTTGAAATAAATGCACTAGTAGGGTTTAAATTGGTGATTTACTGAGGAAAACGCATTTTTTCATATGCTATATTCCGTATTCGCTGTTATGAGTAACCTTCTCCTCTGTACTATTGTTCGTTTTTGTTGCATTCGGTAATATTTTTATTGTCAATCGAAAAGTGCACTTTTTCATATTGGGTCATCCCGTGTGAAATGATCGTTTACGTGAAGCAACGCGCTTATTCTCATATTTTCTTGGTATTTTCTACCTCAATTCGCCTATTCATCTCTGCTATTCTTCTTATTTTTATTGTACTGGATGCCGGATTTTATTCTAAATTCAGTTGTTATGTCACAAGATTTGTGTCATGACTAAAAAATACTATCTCTATTCTGATATAACATTATTACGTTGGATTGGAATTGTTCTTTTGTTCATTTAATATTATTCGCTTGGATGGATAAATGACGGTAGATAATAGAAAAGAGAATACAGGTTTGTTGCTTTTTTTTGTATTCATTCAACTGGTTTTTTGGTAAAAGAGGAGTCGTGAATATAAAAGGAATAAATGTATAACAAATGGTACAAGAGGTAGGAATCAGATGTGACCAGAGTCAATTTTATTGCCCTGCCCTGCTAATTAAGAAGAATTTTGTTCATGTTTTAATTCAAGTTTAAGTAATCTCTTTTATTCGAAAAATAGTTCAGCAAATCGATAAATGATCAACAAATAATAAACTAGCCTAATTGAAAAAGTGTATATGATGATATTGCATCATCACTGGTGATCCATCAGTAGATATATTTAACGAAGAGAGAATAGAAACGTCATTTTCATCGCCAGGAGGGATAGATGAAATATTAGCTCATGAATCTATCGACGATGATAGCAAGACATAGTTTTATTGAAATAATCAGAACATGAGCAACTATTACAATTATATTTTAAATATATGTGCACTATTATCACTATTATGATTCCTTTATTATTTCCTTTTGTTTTCTTACAAATTTGATTGGTCATCATGCAGACATAAATATAACTACCTATTTTACTATTTAATAACGCCATCTGAATTTTTTAGTTTCTTTCACGCTACCGAGAAAAATAAAATTGCTATTATTTTCGAACTAAAGTAGGTCTATGCAGAATTTACAGGACATGAAGATATAGCTCTGCCCTGCCCTGTGGACACCTCTGGTAGGAAGCATCATAGAGCCCTTTCACGTTACAGAGAGGTTCACGAAGAATAAAATTTATATCGTTTTACTTTTAGATCTCCCAAGTTATCCTTTTAGTAACTTTAACCCTTTTATTGCCTTTAGTTCGTCTTTAGTAAGTGACAAGCTGTAAACATTTCAATGGTTGAAAATCCTCCGCCCGAATATCTTGAGTACCTAAAAATATAACACTCAATGCGTCTTCACGTACAGTATCAGTCTATATTCTTTTTGCTCGTCATCTTGATCTCAACAAATACGAAACAGCAAAGATACTAAAAACAAAATAGTGTAATCTAAAGAGACTGAAGAGATTATGTGCACTGAAATACTCTAGCATATCTTGCTATGTATCTTAATATAAAATTCTTTTCTCTTGGACCTATGAGTTAAATGACATCTAGTAAAATTGACAAAATCAAGCGAGGTATCATTTTATTTTCGGATAATATTTTAGTTTAATTCACCATGAGAAATTGAACACATAAACCTTAATATCATGGGATTGAATCACAGTTCTCATGTTCGTCTAGCTCAACTAGACTAGGCTTGGATTTGACATACGACGTCATCCTTTCGATGCAGAGAATAACTTTTGATAGTTTTCTTATTTATCATTGGCATTTTCTAGAGCATGCAAGAGTTCTAATTAGCAATGCAATAGTTGTCTTTTTTTCCAACGATCGAATGTGAGGACATATGAAATATAATCGAGTGACGACTAAGGGTGAATAATTCTCCTATGAAAGAATTGCCATGTATTATTTTATTTAACTAGTACTATTATAAATGAAGGTATAATTACCTGATTACATGTCTCTAGAGACGTACTAAATAAGAATTACAGTATTTTGATTTTTATCTGTTACAATTATTAGATTGTTATTATCACTATTTTATTTTCACTGTGTCAAATATTAAACTCAAACAGTCGATTTCAACGAAAATTTGAGACCCTTATTGATTGATCTAATAATGATGAACAAGAAACGAAAGAGGAACACTATCAATAGTTACCAACTAACAGAATATGAAAATTTCATTAAATTTCAACAATTGGTGCGAGCTTATTCATCAGAAGAACATGCAAAGTCTGCTCCTATGTTTTATGGTCTCAATGCGTCGCCGCTTGGTTTATGTGCATTTGCATTAACAACATTTGTTGTATCAATGTACCTGGCCGGTGCTACAGTGCCAGTTGGTGCGTCTATGGGCGTCGTTATGGGTGCTGCTTTGTTCTATGGTGGAGTAGTTCAGATCTTAGGTGGCTATCTCGAATATCGTGAAGGAAATAATTTTGGAGCTCTTACATTTTGCTCTTATGGAGCATTTTGGCTTAGTTTCGCATCACTTGATGTTGCAGCTTTCAATTTTCTAGTTGGATACAAAGATCCAGAGGTTCTCAGCAATGCATTTGGAGTTTTCTTTCTTGGATGGACAATTTTTACTGCGTTAATGTTTCTTTCCTCTCTGCGTACCAATTTAGTGACAAGTACTCTTTTCTTTTGTCTCCTTATCACTTTTATTCTTCTTACTAGCAGTAAATTTCTACTAGGCCATCAGAATTTACAACGAGCCTCTGGAGCATTCGGTATTCTTACTGCATCATTGGCTTGGTATTCAGGTTTTTCACAATTACTTAACAAGAGCAATTGGTTTTTTAAATGGCCTTTATTTGCAATAAGACATCGACCAGCCACGGACGCTGAAAAACTTTTAGAACCAGCGTAGTAAAAACGACAATGAAAATGAATTGATATTAATTGCTACAAAACTCCTAAGACAATTTTATAGACAGAAAATCATTTTTAAGCAATTGATATAAATTAAATGAAATAACCGAAAAATCATACGATAAAAGTCTGAATCAAGTATAATAAAAAAAAAAACAGTGTAAGTTGTCTCCTGGACGTTGCTGCTAGATGTGCGAAGAAGGGTGTGGGTGTACGTGTTGTTATAGTCGATAACAAAAACTACAAAGAATATTCACTTTCTTTCGCCCACATTCTTCACAATTGTGCAGCAAGCCCCGTGAAATATGCATACCCATTATTTTTTTCTCGACTGACATTCACCACTGAGAGCTACAGCTTTTCGATGAACTCATCTAACTATTTATAGTGTTGATGATACTAAAAATGAGATTATCCTTGTTGTCATTGCTTAATCAATATAACTAACGGCATTCTGCTTGTGAGCCACTGCATAAATACAGTAGTCATAAATCATGAAAATATATAAGCTAAGCTAAATGATTCGATTTTTATCATAATACACAGAATATTATCGACTAGATTAATGGAACAAAACGATACCAAACAAAATCAATCTATTCACTTTACTATAATATGATGCACGATAATTTATACACCATAACTAACACAGTGAGTAAACAAAGAAAACAATATGAATTTAGTTTTCTAAATACATTTTGATTGTAAAAAGCACACAAGCAATAGTTGGAACAATGAAGAAAAAAAAAGAATTTGTTTTCTTCGTGTTACTTCTGTAATATCTCTGACAACTGTCGGGCTAAATAAAAAATTATTTAAAGTAGTTTTCTCTGTTTCTCTGCTAAAAAATAGTTAAAGTATTAGTACAATCAAGAGCAGAACAACAAACAAAAATATCTTCTGTGTGTCGGATAAATTTAACCATCATTACGGACATAACCAAATGATGAAAAAGGAGAAAAAAATGAAACTAATCAAGTAGGATTGTTCACATGGTGAGGCTCAACTAAGAGAATAAAGGATCATCTAATGACTGAATTCCGTTGCTAAAAGTGTGGATATGGGTCATTTCTACACTCACATCCATCACTTATTGGTTAAACCGTATGATTTTTTTCGTGTTAAAAGCGAGCGAATAAGGAAATCTATTTTATGATGAATCATATTTACTCGATGATGTAAATTGAGTCAAATAGTGTGATCTTAAATAGTGAAAAATTACATGTATGTTAGTTTTCCTGTTTATGTGTTGCCTACTATGAAATGATTCGTTCCTAATGGCTCCGATTATTAAATTATGTACATTATTATCTAATGCATGCTAATGATGGAAAATTACATCCATAGATTAAGAAAAATTGTTTAGTTGAACAAAGCCTGCATCAGATTATTATCTAGAGAGACAGAGAGAGATATATAATTAGTACGTGTTTGCATGACGCATGCTAATATTTTCCGAGAAAGTTGAAGACATACCATTGAAGAATATATTCCCTTTGCTATCATTCTCCTAACTGAATTTAACAGAAGACACGTTTACTTGTATAGACGTAGCACAGCAATGAACGTCAGTAGCAACTTGGAAGAAATCATTAAACTTACGAGGGCATCTCAAGCTCTTTTTATGTCATCTGGTCTTATTATTTTCATTATTGGAACATTTGGAAATTTAGCCAATATTATATTGTTTATTCGTCTGGAAAGTCTAAAAACATTAGCAAGTTCAATGTTTTTACTAGCATCGTTCTTTGGCAATGAGTCTGTATTGATTTTTGGCTTATTACCCCGCGTCATTCAAGGTTTCCAATACTATGATTTTCTTGGCTATTCAGCATTTCTGTGTAAGGCACGTTGGTACTTGAGAACCGTAAGCGCTACATTCGCACTGACCTCTGTATGCTTTGCTTCTGTGGATCGCTATTTAGTTTCATGTGTCAACGTACATCTTCAACGATTTACTACTTTAAACCGAGCTCGTTGGACTATTTTGATTGCTGCTATCTTTTGGCTCGTCGTTCTCTCGCCATTTACCGTATTTTATACAACAACAGCACAGTCATGTTTTATTGCCGATGTAATCTTCGCAAAATTTGCATCGTATTACAGTTTATTTTTCTACAGCATACTACCATTCAGTATTTTATCGATTTTCAGTGCATTGACTTGGCGAAATTTAGGTGTACAACAAGCAATATATGTGCGCGCAGGTGGTCGTTTATACGATCAAATTACTCGAATGCTTATTGCACAAATTATTGTCCTTGTTTTTACAAGTTTCCCGAATGCCATATTTCAACTATATACCATATTAACAAGCACATCATCGACATTTTCATTACATTATGCACAAGATAATTTGGCCAATGACATATGTTTGGTCGTTGGTGATCTTACTTTTGCTCTACCATTCTATGTTTATTGGATTGCTTCACCAATCTTTCGAAAAAATGTTAAATCAATGTTGCTAATCCGTCGTCGAATTACGCCACCAACGAACATTCAAATAGCGTGAATTTTGCCTATCTAACAGCAACCTTAACTTCTGAAAAGAGATACTTTCTAAATAAACATTTTTCTATTTAAATATCTTCATGACTGTGACGTGCATAATAATGCTTACAATGATTTTTTAATTGTAAGAAACAGTGTCCTTGAAGATTTTCATTCATCAAGTTTTTCAACTCAGATTTAATACTTGGATTGGAAGTGTCAATAAAAATAGTTTTTCAGAAATGTTATTGTTTTTCTATTTCTCACGAATTCGAATGAAGTAAGAACTATATACATTAATTTTATAGACAAAACGTCACTGAACAATAATAATACTTCATGAACATAATGATTTAAAAAAAGGGGTGTGTGGTAGGGATGCACCAGTACCAGTATTGTACTGGTCTAGTGGTCCAGTAAATACTGGTTTTCTACGTTCGAAAATAACTATTAGCTAAATGAATCATTTCCTCATCCATCACTTCCTTTGTCTATATTCAAGTGAAACTTGAGTTTTGCCGCATTTTGAAACAGCATAAGATATTGTATACTCAACTAGCTGATAATATTATATAGAAGTTTTTTCAATAGTTTTCAACGTTTTTGAAGAAAAAAGAATTTCATTCATGGATTTAGTCAGATAGTAAAACAATCTTATAAGATAAACCAATGAATCGGAATACTGTGTTTAACATACCAAGTTGAACTTGGGTTTAATCAATCGCGAAAAAAGCAATTGGATATTTAGTGAACTTTATCAACTTTTAGTTACATAAATCTCATATAAGTAAATGACTTGATTTTTCTACTTCTCTCTCGGTCGAATGACACTATTTTCACATATCTATTACGTTGGCCTATGAATATAGCCCATGTCGCTCGGACCGCTCAAAAACCGACGGTTAACCGCAGTTCTGCAGCTAGATTTTTTTAAACATAATAATGAATGAAAATCTTTTAATTCTTACAAAATTGATAGATGTTACTCAAAATCGCTGGCTCTATTAATTTTAAGCGAGCTGAAGCCGCCGGTGCAAGCCACATCAACCAAATTTGCTTAGTTTTTGAGTTTGGTTCTTATTAAAGATGCCGCCATAAAAGAATAGCTATTTATTGTATTACTTAACCAATAGAAAAATTAGTCGCGCCATATAGTATAATTGAATGTGATATAAAAATAATCATATTTTTGAGCTGCAATCGAGTTTTTCAATACTGAAAATGTTAATTTATGCGCAAAATTTAAAAAAATCGATTAATAAAGGGTGAAACCGCTCAAACCGCCGGTTTTATTAAGAACCCCCGGTTACCGTTGGTTTTGATGAAAAATGAACGACATAGGAAGTTACACAGCTAAAGCTAGAGCTTTTTCGTTCACGATATCGGATACGGAACAGATAATACATATATTAAATGATAATTACGGCACGGCGAACAAGCAAATCAGTGCAAAAGCTGCCCTCGTATCAATGGTATTTTCTTATTTAATACTAATACAAGTGACAATTGTCATCATTTACAACATATACATTTACTGTTTTCTCCATTGACTGACTTTTAGTGTTATATAATATGCTCAATATAGATTTTCGAGCACAACTAAACTTTTTACCATGACTATGATCTGACTTAATGATCTTTTCTCCTCAAAAAATTTGAAAGCCATTGAAACTAGATGGTATTCGAGTTTCACTCGCATACGAAATGCGATGCGAAGCAGGAACCCATATCGAACATTCCGGTCACCGATCCCTTAGGATGCTCCAGGGAATATGCTGGAAAGTCACCATATCCTGCAGGAAAACACTGGAAATCGCTGGAACATGGAAGCAGTATTCCGGTCAAAAATACGGCCGGACTTTTCCGGCGAATTCCTGCCACGTCCAGGTGCTTTTTGGCAGGAATTGATCGGAAATCACCGGAAAAATTTCCAGCCGGAATACTGCTTCCACAAAATCAACGGAACTACTCGGAACCGGCCGTTTCCAGGCCGGACTTTTCGACCTGGGAGTCTGGATCCACGAAAAATTTTTAATTCGAAAAATCTTGAGTGCATTTGAAGTATCTCAAGACAGTCGATCCTGCCTCCGGATTCTACCGGAACCCATCGGAACCAGCACCGGATCCCTCCAGAAGTCGACATGTTTCCCACTCAAATCTGCCAGGATACGACAGGAATTTCGCCGGAATCTCTGCTCCCGGAATCCGAGCCGGAATTCAAAGAAAAATGGTCCGGTCGCTTCCTGCTGGAAAATACAACCGAACATTGTCGAAAGTGATCGACCCAGACTACCGGATAATACCTGGTTCACAAGGACTTCACCACATATTTGGCCGGGTTCCATCAGATTCCGATGGCAAGGACCTCATAAAGAATCTCTCATACAAGCGTCCTTCAATCACAAGATGAATCAATTGTAGTCTTCAAGAAAACGCATAGCAACCGACCCGATCATGCCGCCTGAATGATCGCACCTAATCCATATCCTCACCACCAAACAGATCACCAACAAGCATTTACCCCCACAACAACAACTCTGAGAAAAGTTGTAACCCAGAACAAACAACATCTTGGCTCACCAATACACACTCTTAGAATGATCCAGAACCATTCTACTATACATCGTATTCATTTAACAAATTATAAAAACGTTTACTGCGTCATCTTGTTCCATTACAGTTCTTGAAAACATCGCTCCACACATCATTTTGCACCCATCGAAGTCATCAATAGTTCATAGATAATCCATCTGCATATCATTCTGGGCCATCACGACTTACTCTTTCATCAATTAGTAACATTCTAAAGCTAAAAAATGAGTTATCTAGTTGCATAATAATGAACAGAAAATCACTCCACAGCTCAACCTCGACGTATCGAAAAATTCACTAAGTAGTAGAGAATCGTTGAGATAATCATTCTCGATGGTTCAAACTTACATTTGCTTCATGAAACAGGATTCTGAGCGACATCCAAAAACGATTTAGTGGCATATGAAGTAATTAATATTATGTGTAAGCAAGGTTCTGGTGTTCGCAAAAGCGTTTGTTGGTTTTTCTAATGATGCTTTCGGTCTTGTCAGGCCGAGTAAACACGTGTGTAAGACGTTTTAGATTTTTTCGAGTTACATAGACGAACAACATAGTATGCATATAGCAAGTTTATCGCGCCCTGGATAATCATTAATGGCTCTGGATTTCGCGTTAGACCAGGGGTCGATCGTAGAATTAGTTTACATTACCAGGAGTTATGATAAACGACTGGAGTGAGATTGATTCGGGTCGATAACGGCGCTCATCGTAAATAAATACGCGATCCTATCGCTAATTTGGATCGATTTTTTTATAAAAAACCTATTAGATCGACTATAATTTTCAATTCATGACTATCATCGTTTGTATGAGTTGTTAAGTATCAGTATGAATGAATCACACGATGCTCCTTTAGTATCTGTTAATTACACGCAGACGCTTTCAGTCGAAGCTGTGTTGTAGGAAGCGACTTAGGGTGTGGGTGTGGGTNTGTACATATGTCATTTGTCTAAAATTTTTATGTCTGATGAAGTATCTTATCGAGATACGAAACGTCACAATTTGTAAATTTTAAATTTAAATTAATAAACTATAAGATCAAATCAAATCAAATTAAATTGATTTAAATTTAAAATAAATTAAAATAAAATAAAAGAAGAGAATTAAATCATGTCTAAGAATGGAACCCATACCCACACCCACCCACACCCCTATTAATCTAATATGATATTTTTTTGTTAGTGGAACAGAAATAAATTATTAAATGAATAATATTTCCCTGGTCGAACTTTATTGTCAATATTATAAATAGAAAATAAGGTTTCAACAGAGTGCTATCTATATTGAGATAAGTTCACTTCTTATTATGAGCGATATTATGTTTTATGATCTATATTGTAACTCAAGATAGTACGGAGACTATTCGAATTCTTAGATTTGCTGTGCAGAATCGAATTTCGTTTATTTCATAGTGTAGTAATTAGAACCTTCAGTTGATGTTTTATAAAGAGCTAACTAACCATTTTCAACAGACTACCTCGATATGATACTTATCCCGTATCTACTCTATATTCCAATGAAGAAACGACGTACTTTGTACTCGAGGTTGGTTTGAGCTACTTGAAAGTCCGTACATCTCAGTAATTTTAAAGTAGTTCATTGTAGTTGAAATGTGCCCCTTCTCTCGTGCCCTACACATACGGATAATATCCATAAGGGGCCAAACACAGTAGAAAAAATACACTGAATTAAGAAATGTGATTGATTAATTCAGATTTAAGTCAAATTTTTTAGGTGAATTAGTGGTTAGGTGAAAAGTTGTTGACAATTTAGTATGCGTATTCGATAGAGATTGCATAAAAAATTCAGCTTTTTCAAAGTTCTTGACGAAAAATTGATGCTTTCAACTTGTTAAAAACAAACTTTTTTTTAGAAAAAACTTGGCAAATGTCCCTGAGAAAACTTTTCAGAGAAATCTGATATTCAAGATTCGATGTTGTTTTGTTGTCCCTTTCAAACGGCAAAAACCGAGTCTCACTATCTATTTTCTATCAGATGCTATTCAAAAGCGACTCATTCTTCCTTTAATTTGAAATGCATATTATTTGTTCTACACTATGGTACTTTCCTAGTCAGTTTCGAACACAATATCTTCTATCGAAAAATAAATCTAATCATTTGAATAAAATTCTCTAGACTCTGAAGCTGATATTTAAATTAGAAAACACGATATCGAGCATAATAATGAACTGAAGTTATACCAAAATCAAATCATAATTCATGAGTAAATGTATTCTGGATCAATAAGTTTTCAATATACATAATGGTTTATTTATATCACTTTTTCAATTCACGGTTTTGGCTAGAAAATGTTATATAAAATTTCTATTGATCTAACAATTCATTTCTATTTAAATAATAATAATATAGCTGTTCAATTCATGAGCAAATAAAATCTTAGAGATTTTTAGATGCCTTCAGCTCATTACAAAAGGCAAACATTTATTTTCATCATATATTATCTTATACTTCTACCAAAAATGACCTAACAAACATAAGATTTGTCAAAAGCACAAAAGGTTTTTACAAAAAAACACAATTGAACTAAGAGTCAAACTTGTGTTCGTTCACCCAACTTTAATACTGCAATTAATATAAATATTGACTGGCCCAAATTAATCTCCACGTCACCACCTAAGTATCCTTTTGTAATTAGTAGTAAAGCGTTGCCATTAATTTGGAATTTATAAAAAGTTTCAGCGATTTCATCATCAATTAATTATGAGATAAAATTTTTAACTTCGACTATAGTCCATTTGTTTGGATTACTTGATAACTATAAATGCTCTGTTTCCTATTCATTCGAATTTTCATTTTGACCAACAACACTATCATTTTCTATTTGACCAATTAAAGCACGAAGAGTACTTGATCTTTGACAGGATGTTGTTGTTACATTTGGTTTTTTGTACCTTCAAGTGATGAGCAGATTTTTATTCTGCTACTTGATGATGATTTAGATTCATTTAATCTAAAAAGAATAAGAAGAAAATGTAATATTAAAATCTTCATGTTTTACCTTCGTCGCCCCGTCTTTTATCTGATACAGTTGATTTACTATAACTAAAAAAAATGAAAGAAAAAAAAAGAAAATTTCTTTTACCTATGAATTTGTTGATGATGATAAGGTGTATGTACTATTTGTGTATTTGAAAATCCAAGACAAGCATCTGTTTCTGTTAAATGATCTAAATTTATTCAAATAAATTTGACTTCATTTGTTATTGCATATTTAACTAACTAAAGGTATTGCTGTATAATGGTTCATCATAAATTGCTGCTGAATTAACTGTTGAAAATAACTGTGTATGACTTGTATTTGGCTGTGAAGGTGTCATCCCTATATTATTTGTAAATGTATCAAAAAATCTTTTTCGTATAAAATTTTAATAAAAATAATTTACTTGAATTGAATTCGTATTCCACCATGGATTTTCAGGAACGACATTAAATGTTTGTAAAGAATTGCTATATAACTAATGAAAAGACTTTCTTATTACATAACATACAAAAACGTTTTCTTAAATTTTACCTGTTGTACCGCATGAGATGATAACGGTGTTTGTTGATTTTGCTGAAATATATATATTCGAGAATAACTACAGTCTAAAAAGCAATCAATACTTTTTGTTTTCTTTTTCGTTAAATGACTTGCAATTGGTTGTTGTTTGTAGCATAAAGTATTCTAGACAAAACAAAAAATATATATATCTCAATGTATGTTTTTAATTCTAAGACTAATCCATTATATTATGAATCGATTTTGTGTTGATGATGTTTATACTGGATGTCGAATGAAGCGCACCCACACCCACACCCAACTGCACGCACAAGCTGATCTGAGTCTGAGTCATGGCACTGTTAAACGAGTGTGGGTGTGGCTGGGTGTAAATGCTTTAACCAGGCCCAGGCACACATCCTCTTTTCAAATTTCTCCTATCCTCGATCTTGCTAGCTCGAAGATCAAACAAATGCTTTTCACATCTATACTAGAGAAAGCATATACTGACTGAGTCAGTGTGAGAACACTACAATTAGAATAATTGTGGAACAACTGTTTACTTCTTCCTTTCATTCTTCTATTGACGCAAGCCATCTCACATACTCGGCATACCAACTTCAGTTTGTTTTATTTTGTAATTAAAATTTTCTCTCCTGATTAAGTAAATGGATAAAATGAAAAAAAAGCAAACGAGCACGCAAAAAAATTAAAAGAACTCGAATTTAGTCTGTCCTACTACATGAATTCACTTGCAATGATCGTGTTAACTTGTTGCATCACTTCGTTCAAGAGTGATGATGTATCACTTTTATTTAATTTGACTCGTTTAACAAGGTTCTCTTTCTTATCTCTTTTATAGATCGCTTCAATGTTTTGTAGCATCGTTTGAACATATGTAGTGAAATCAGATAACAGTAGAAATATCCCACGATCTTTGATTTGATTAATAAGATTTTCCATCAGTGGCACATCTGGTAAACCACCAAGATAGCTATCCCAACCTGATCCTTGGTCATGACAAAACGGTGTGTGACCAGGCGCATCACCAACCCAAACTAGTATCTGTGCTGCTCGTGAACTACCATCTTTTGTCCAGCTTAATTTCAAAGCTTTATCTAACCCACCTTGAACATCTTCACACATATCGGCACCACCCGTCGCTCTTTGACTAGCAATTTTAGCTTCAACTGGTGCAATATTAGGCGCTTGATGAAAATCAATTAAATCGAAACGATTTGAATCAGTATAGTCACGATAGGCAACAAATGCCATTCGTAGAACACTATGTTTGTCAAATTTTTCTTGCATGTCCTTCTGTATTCCATCGCCGATCGCCTTGATATATTTTTTACAAGCTTCAATCCAACTTCCCATGGAGCCGGTACAATCCAACACGAAACATATTTCAACGGTTAGTGGTGCATTATGAACATTGCTGGAGAATGTTAAATCGATAGTACGTTTCGTGCTTTGTGTGACAGCATCAAAGTGTGTTTTCATTTCTTCGTTCCATACTTGGTCTGTCGATGAATAGGCCTTATTATCATCTCCAATGAACGTCGATGTCTTATCTACATGATAAAGTGGATCATTCGGTGTGTGCCCATCGCTTAGTTCATTTGACCAATTAATCAATGCATCACAGACTAGACGTGGATTTTGTGCAACAATCCAATCATTGAATGACAAGCAAACACCATTCGATTCAAGCCCAAGTCCAATTCCAATGACAGTAATCGAACGCTGCTCTGCATGAGCAATGATACGCTGTATGAAACTGCCACGTTTATCATAACCATCAGTCAATACGAAAATAAACATTGGACCATGATTATTGTTGTGTGCTGATTGTTGTTGTAGTAATTCTGAAGCTGCAAAGATAGCGTCACTTAACAATGTTGTTTCACCATCGATTTTCAATGCATTCAATAAATGGTGTAAAAATAAACGATCATAGCTTTGCTTGTAACTCTTCACTAGCTCTATACACTTTCCGAACGTTAAAACACTAAAATCTTCGATACCTGTTTTGTTTAATGCCGCACAAATGGAAAGTAATATGTCGACAGATGAAAAGTACGTTGGTCCAGTCATTGATACTGATTGATCGAGGAGAATTGCTATACGATATTCTGGTTTTTGTGAACCAATTTGATTTAAATAGATTCGATTGTATTGCCCCTGTGTACAAATAAATTTAACAATACCTGGTATAAATAATCGATTGCCTTTCGTATCTGGTAGAGCTTGTGTAGGCTTATAAGCTGGAAGAACATTGTCTTCCATGGTTCGTACTAGTTCACCAATATATGTTTCTAGGTGTTGTTCAATTTGTTGTAAGCGTTTATCTGTATCACTAAGAATTGTATCATGTAGTTCCAAATTCGAATAACTTTTCTCTAGTGCATCCATTGTTTTATCTAAATTTTCTATGAATTCATTGGAAGCACTTGAGAAATCAATATTCATTTGTTGTTGGAATGCTTGCTGTTCAAGTTTTTGTCTGGAATCGCTGACATAGAATTGACCGGCAAGAGCAATATCTGGATGTGTCCATAAATCAACATTTCTTGCATCCGATAAAGTGAAGGCACTTAATTGTTGAAATTTAATTGCATTCGCTGTCGATGTTTTAGTTTCAGGTGTAGCTGAATTGTTTGTATGTACTAAAATTGATTGTTCGATGATAGTGATAAGATCACCGACAACTGTTTTTGTTAAAGTATCAAGTTGCCCAATTTCAATTAACTGATTTCGTTCAGGAGCGACACGTTGTATGAATTCTTTTGCTTTTTTCTCATGTTCAACAGCGAAATTCCTATAATCATCGGAGAATCTGCTATCGCCGGACTTCGGCAATTCAGGTATAATGCAAACCATATAAAGATCAGCATGTGCCTTTTGTAATTGTGTTGTGAATAAGTCAACTTCTGTTTGAGCTGAGATACCATCAGTAATCATGATAATAAAACGTTTGACATTCGGTTTTATTGTATTACCGAAAAGTTCTTTATTTTCAGCGATTTGCTTTAAAGCTGTTGCAGGCAATGTTTTCTCATCGGTCGTAAAGGACTCGAGAATGTATTGTCCTCGTGCCACTTGTTTTTGTTGAAGACTAAGTGATTCACTGGTGGCGGTAGTAGTAGTAGTAGTGATTGGACTCGTTCCTGATTTAACAGTGTCATGCATTGATTCATGCCCTAGAGATTTAAGGATTTTTTGTTCGGCGCCAAATCGAAGAACGGCAAATTTCCATTCCAGACGACGAAATGTCTCCATAAGAATGACTAATGTAGTCAGTGCTTCTCGGATTTTTTTCCCACTCATGCTTCCACTATTATCAACGCAAAATACAAACTCAAATTGTAGATCGTCCTGTTCTGTTTGTTGTTTACTATACTGTTTTGTTAATGCTGAACGTAAACGCGTCAATAGCATACCTTGAATATTTCGTGTAAGTCGGGCTAATAGAGCATATCGAGGCTTATCTAATTTAGTATTGGGTAAATCCTCAGGATCACAACTTTCACTAATCTTTCCGATATCGCACTTGTTGACCGATTGTAAAAGATTTGCGTACATGTTGTTTGAGCGTTCTTTCAATTTATCTAGGTCATTTTTACTGATTTTTACCGTTTTACTTTCATCTTTCGATTTTGAATCGGTTGTTCCTGTATTTGAACCAATATTATTTCCAATTTGAACACGAACGACCCCAGCTTCTTTGATGTCTACTTTCGGTGAAACGTTTTCTGCGTCAGAATTTTCCACTCTCCCATCATCATCTATTACTAGAGAGACATCACGATTCGCGGCTGTTGAGCCTTCTTTTGCTAATGCTTGCTCATCAGTGTCAGATTTCTCAGGATCTTCGCTACCATCATCCAATGCAGAATTCAACTCGCTCTCGTGATTCGATAGAATATTATTCAATTGAATGCCTAGCTTGTGCAATATTGGATTGCCGATTATTTCACCTTGCTCAAATTTTGAATCTTCAAATCCTTGTAAAAGTTGTTTCACGTTATCAAGATTTGTTCTTTGCTGCTGACCTTGCATATGATCAGGCAGATCAGAAATATTTCCATCTTCAGGTATGTCGTAATCATCAGCCATATCGCTCTTCTTGTTTAATTTACACATTTTTCGCAACGAATCTGAGCCACTAAGTTTATCTAAAACTTGAATTAAGTCCTTCCTTATTTCTTGACATTTCTGTTTTATATGACCATTAATATCGCTTGAACATTTATCAATCTCCTCCAATGATTGATACAATTGTAGGGATATTTCGATAACTTGGCATAACGTTGTTTGGGCTAAGCTATCAATTTCTTTTTTCATATTATTCGCTACCATCTGTTGTAAAGTGTTCATAGCTGCTTGAATTTTATTGCTGATCGCAGTTGCTGTTGCTAAACATGTTATTGTTTCTGTCAATACTAATTCATCTTCCTTAGCTATACTGGACACTTGCTGCTCTGACTTTTTACTCAACTCGGCAGCTTCCGTTGCCAGCTTCTTTACTTCAGCTACTGCTTCTTCTTTAACTTCCTCACTTGGTTCACTCATTAAGAGAGGACTCGTTGGTTCACCAGAGTGATAATCAGTGAATTTTGTGTCGCCTGATATTTTTCCACGCCTGTTCGCTAATGGATTCTCGCTGGTGGTGCGATCAGAAATAGTCTTCTTTGTTGTTGAACCTTCACTAGGTCTGCCTGATGATGCAGCTGCCATTGACGACAGCACTTCACTACCATCGCTTGTACTGCTTACGTGGCTATCTGCTTCTTTAGTAGCACCACTTGGCGTCCCACTGCCTGTACTACCACTACTGCTAACACTTGCTTTGTCACTGAGTCCAGTACCATTACTGGCACCGCTGGGGTGGCTCTTAGCTTCATCACTGGAACCAATCGGTTTAGCCCTATATTCACTACCGATATCTGTACTACTACTTGCACTGCCGGTTCCACCAGTACGTGCACTGCCAGTTCCACCAGTACTTACACTACCAGTTCCACCAGTACTACCAGTTCCACCAGTACTTGCACTACCAGTTCCACCAGTACGTACACTACCAGTTCCACCAGTACTTGCACTGCCAGTTCCACCAGTACTTGAACTGTCAGATCCACCGCCATCGCCACTGCCACCGCCGAACAATCCACTGAATGCACCGCAGAGGGAGAGAGCTAAGCCTATGGCGGCTAGCACGAGACCTACTGGATTGGTAGCCATCAGAAGTGTAACTATGCCACCTATGATTGCAGAAGCATGTTTAACTGACTCTGGTATACCAGGTATAATTTCTGTGAGTATGGACATTGCAGCTGTTGCAATGGAACCTATTTGAGCTACTTTTGCAGATATTGTAGTTGCTTTAGATAGGGCCGAAACGCATTCAGTTATTTTTTGAACATTTCTGTATACAGTTCTGCCTTTCTCTAGTGCATTAACTACATCTTTATCTACACCAGCTGCAGTGAGTAGATCGGTAGCTAGCTGAAGATAGTTATCACCCGAAAGAGGCTTTCCAGACGTTAACGCTTTCACCAATGGTTTGCTTGCGACCAGTATTTGTTGCCCTTTACCACCGATCATGGAACCAGCAGCATCTATCATATCTTCGTAGCTAATCGATTGCTTGTTGAGCCTTTTCTGCAGTAATGGCATAACTGATTGAACGAACGGACGAACCTCGTCTGGAAGAATAGTACTGATGGCATTCAACGAATGATCAAGTATTTTTTGTGGATTTTTCGATTGAATAGCATCCATTATATCCACAACAGCATGAACTTGTTCTGCATATTCTGGGGGTAAAAATGATGCTCCCATATTCAATGCACACTTGGCTATATCTTCAGTTGCCATAGCTTTGTGCTTGACAATTGTTTGTAGCTCTTGAGCCATAGTATAAACACTCTTTAATTCTGGTGGTAAATATGACTTTAAATTGTCGTCATTCATTAGACTATTGAACAATTGTAGCGGATCATTTGTTTTCGAGAGAACTTTAGCAGCTGACTTTGCTATAGCCATAGCTATATCGATTTTGTTTGCATGCTCTGGAAAATATTCATTTGTTATCGAATGAACTACTGCTTGAAGATCATTATTTTGTATCTGATTCACGACATTTTGTGCAACAATCAATGATTTCGCCGTTTTCTCATCGACGATACCTATGGCTGCATCAAAAGCACAACCTAGTAGATTCTCTTTCGTTATTGGTTGTTTCATCAGTTGAGTTAACGATGACATGACCTTTTGAGCTTGTTCTGGCACATGTGGAATAAGCGTGAGAGCATCTTTGATTGCGTCAATTTCCTGATGATTTGTCAATTTTTCATAGATATTGCCAGCAGTTCGCAACATGACAGATGTTTTCTTGGGTGCAAGAACTGAAGCTAAGTCAAACGTTGTGTGGATTATATGTTTTAATTCGCACGTTTCTAACCGACTGAACTGTTCCATGTTTTCAAAAACTGTTTGAACTTCTTTATTGGGCATTAGTTGTGATAAATATTTCAATGATTGTAGTTTGTCTGTTGACAATAAATTCAATGCATTCAACGATACTTGTAGGACATTTCCTGTTTCCGCTCCGTATAATTCAGTTATGGTATTGACGACTTTATTTTGTACTGCATCTGAAGAAGTCAATTGTTTTACACCTTCGTTAAATCCCAATCGAAGATTTTCTGGAAGTAAAACTGAAATTGATTTCAGTGCTTGAATTGGTTCTTCTATTCCTCTATCGAGTATTCTTCCTAGACTGATCTCTGACGAGTCTATAGAGATGATTCCGTGTGCTAATTCAAGAATTTTTTGTTTCACATCACCAACAATTATTTCTGGAGTAGATCCTAAGATAGCTTTAGCTTGATTAGAAATTTGTTCATCAGGTATGAGATGAAGAACTTCATCAATGACGATCATCGTCGGATTCTTGTTGTTACTCAAACTGTCCAATGCATTTGAAATTGGTTTGAGAAATTGTTTCATATGCTCATCAGGAATACACTCAATCGTTTGATCGATAAAATTCGAAATATTTGCTTGTGTAAATTCTCCATTCATAGCTGGCATCAAATTTTTATAGGATTCCAATAATGTGTTAAGATGTTCGATTGGTTTCAATCCAATATCGCTATCGTTCAGTTGACTTGCTAGTTTAATACCCTGTTCCAATACTTCTAATTGTGTCATAGTCGTTGATGTCACATGCGAAATGACTCTTATTAATTCATCGTTAACTTTTTGTTCTTTATCGATTGGATTCATTAAATCGCAAATATCAGAAATGGTTTGCATTAAAGGAATTATTCTCTTGTTCTGAATACTATCTACTATGCTTACTAAATGATTATTGAGTTTTCTATGATCTGGTAATTTCAATTCGTCGATAAAAGATTCTTTGGCTGTTTTAACAAAACTCGTAATCGAATCTGGTGTTATTGGTCCTGATTGGAATCCTGCAAAATGCTTCTGTAATATTTCCATCCAAGCGATTTGTTTTGATTTCAATTGACGGCAGTTACATGTTAATGATAGAACTGATTCCAAAAGATTGAATGAATCTTTGGGTTCCATTAGTTTTTTCAAATCACAAGATAATAATCGGCAACGATCATTTCCAAAATTTAACATCGAAGAAACAATATTCGTAGAAATTTGATTATCACAAGCCGATGTCTGGTCCGATAGTAGCGTAATTGTGAGCACTGTTCGCAGCGAGTCAATAGTCGTTTGATCAATATGAGCTTGCAATATTGTACATATATCGTCAATAAACATTTTCCAGTCTCGACCTGCTTTGTCTGCTCGTCTAATTCCATCTGTCAAATTCGAAATGATACTTTGTAAACCTTGAAGAGTGTTCTTCTCGGTTGAACTCAAACCGGGTGATAGCGAAGCAAGAATACCCGGGAAGGCGGATACATCGTTTAATGATGGCTCAAACTCTTCATTCGAAATCCGTTCGCTTAATTTCATGAATTCGACGATATTTTTTGATTCATTTTTATCGTCTAATTGTTCTTGAACGTAATCGAAAACAGTAGAAACAGATAGCGTATTGTCCGATGTAGCTATCGCCTGTGTAACAAGTTGACATTCAGTCAGCGGTATATTCGACTCAAACATTTTTTGTAAAATGACTTGTTCATTGATCGATTCACCATTCGATGATAATTCTAATAGTCGATCGAGAAATTTCAGTGGATCGCGGTTCGTTTCAGTTGTCATTTCTGAGATAAGCGTACTTAATGCCTTTTCTGGATTTTTCGTTTTCTCCACTGTTTCAACTGTACTAACAACTTTTTCCATCAAATTCCTCAATTGCTGCTTATCACTGTTCGATAGTTTTTGAGCTTCCTCTTGATTCATCACTAAATCACTTGCATAATCAAGTAAGCGTTTGTTTGCCAAGTGTTCTTTACTAGGATCCTTATGATTATTCTTTTCATATTCAATCAAACGTGCCAATATTTGTTCGTGTTCAGTTTTTCCATGTTGTTCGAAAAGAATCGATAGTTTTTCAGCGCAATTAACTGCTAACGATAGATTTTCGGTTTGTGTCATTCCTTCTACGCCTATAATAGCCTGTGGCAAATGCCCATTCAAAATTGCGTCCATTTTTTCATACATAAGTCTCCACTCTACTGTTGTTAGTTTGCCAAATGTATATTGGATCTTTTCGTGGATATTATTTGTATATGTTGCTACTTGGTGACTATCAGACTCAATAGCCGACACTATCAGATCACATGTCAAATCTTCAGGGGTATCTGAACGTTTTGGATCTGAATGTACTAACCCATCGATTAGAATTATGACTGGAGCAATCGCTGTAGCTGCACGTTGACGATATAGATTTGTGGTGTCTTCGAGTAATTGCATCAATCGTTTTTCGATTTCGGATTGAGATAAATGTTTCAATGGCGATGGAAGATCAATTGGCTCTATCTTACCTGTCGATTTATCTTTAGGTTCAATGCGTCCGGTAATGATTAATTTATATTTTTTGATTGTTTTTTCTGAAGATCGAGCAACTAAACGTTGATCGATTTTGAAATTACCGATTGGTGCAGTTTTTTTTATTTCAACGTTACATGCAATTTTTTTCGGATGAAGGGGAGATATTATGAAGTTTTTTTCATTATTCGCAAATTTGAAACTGAATATAGAATTCTCTTCTGTTTCGTATTCTAACTTTGCAGATACATTTCCATCGTTTTTAACCGTAATTGAAAACGGTAGAATTTTTGATTCTGGTGCTCGTGTGCCACAATGAAGAATATTTTGATCGAATGAAATGATTGCAGCCATTCGTTTACAATGGAATGGAATACGATGTATTGGCTCTTTACAATTAGTTTTCAGAACAAATTCACAATCGAACGAGGCTGATTTCTTTTGAACTGTATATATATAATGGCATTCAATGGTTTGTTGAGGTAAGATGATAAATGGAAGTAGGACATGATTATTGATGGTAACGTGTGTCGATGTTGTATGTATATCATCAATTAGCATTTTTACTGGACCTTTGTTTTGCAGAATGAGTTGACCTGCGGTTTCGTTAGCTTCTTCAGAAACTTGAAGTTTCGTCAGAGAACCAAAGTGAAATTTATCAAATTCAGGCCAGCCAGATGTTGTCTTGAGTATTAATTTAAATGACGGACGTTGACTTGCATTTGGAAAAAGAAAATCAATTAGATTGTCAATAATTCGGTGTGCATCTTTGATTTGTAACTCAATTTTCAATATTAACGATGCACCTGGTTCGATGAGAACTTGTCCGTGAGATAGTCTAGTAACAACAAGTTTAGAAGAATTTTCGGGCTTTGATTCCACGACCATTTTTACTTCGCCCGTATTGCGTACTGTAAGTTCTTCGTATAGAGTGGTACCAGGAATACATGATTCTAAGTCAATAGAAAATTTTCTTTCTGTTAAAGGTATTGATCTATAAATGAGATCAAAGGAAATTCTTCGCGATTTTCCTAAACAAATAATTCGAACTTTGAAGTCTTTACTAAAATAAATTTCATAGACGCATTTAGCATCTTGAACTATATCTTGTATGCACCAATCAATATTCAATATTTTGGATTCGTAGGCAAGTAAAATAAATGTTGAATATTTACTATCGATCTCAAATTTCCCAATAGCACCACCTTCTCGACGTATTTTAACCCGGAGATCGAGTGCTGTTGGGTTTTGAAGAGTAAACGCACGTTTTTCATATTTACCAGAACAGGTAAGTGCTAGACCAAAATCAATTAAGTACGTTTTTAATTGATTCAATGATTGATCATCAACTGCTACTTCAAATAATGGTAGATCGATGTCAATTGAAAATGATTTTATTTCGCAACATAGAATAACAGAAATGATCAATCGATCATTTCCTAGCTTCAATTGCCAACGTTCTTGATATTTGCCTTCAATACATTGACTATTTGGTGTGATTTTGATAGTACTTGAATCATGTGGATCAACAACAGATGATGAGGAACGAATAACGAATGCTGATTGAGTATGCTTATCTGAATTCGATGACATCTCAAAATTAATTTCATCATCACTATTATTTACAATTTGAATCGATTTTGTATGTAATTGTGCATAGGACCAATTCTGAATGATTTGTCCTAGTTGTATAACTATTGATGAATGAGATCCGAAATAATCACCGTTCTGTTTGTTGATCGTTATTTTACTAGTAGATGGTGAGCCAGTTGATTTCATCAATGTTGTAACATTGACCTTTTTACTTATCTCATTTATATTATTTAGACGTGGTGGCTGTGTAATAGAACGCATTTGTTTTTTTCGTTCATGAATTAGTACTAATGTTTCATCGATAATCACTTGAAACGTAGTTAATTGTTTTTCATTCATCAATGTTTGTTGTTGTTTTCGAATAATATGGTGCTTTATTGTGTCAAGTAAAGAAATCGCTTTTTCACAATGTTCTTTTGTTTCGAGTGGATGAACAATCAATTGAATTAGATTTAATTCAATGGAAATTAGAATATGATAGATTTCTAAACCAAAATTCAGTTCACGTTGAGCCAGTGCACTTCCATCACGAAGTAATAGACGCATTCGGATTGTATAGACTTTGTCTATATTTTCTTTTGATACAATATCGTCGTTATCAATCAACTTTACAAGAACACCGCTTCGCTGAAAAGTTTCCAATGATTTATCGAGAGCCTGTCGAAACTCTATATTCGATTGTAAATCTTTTTCTATGGCAAGCGATGCGTCATGTAATTTGGATAGAGTGGTTGCTAATTTTTCGAAATGAAAGGTTTCTTTGAATATTTCTAATTCTCGTTTTAAAGTATCAGCTGAATCAAATCCTAGAAAAATGCCATGTTGTATTCGATTAAGTTCATTTTCATCAACCGTTGTATTTAATGTATTCACTGTGTGTACTATTGTTCTTTCTAAATATTCGTATTTCAATGTCAGTTGAGTCATTAGAAAATGGTGCGTTGGCGGAGATGAAATCTTTAATAATTGTATATCTTTTTCCAGTGCAATGGTAGGCGTTGCGGCTATACTTTCTTGTTTAGGTATATTGTAATAGATTGGGGATCTTGGCATTTCACAATCGTATACCTTTATTTTTTCAATGTTTTTGCACAGGCGATTGAGATCTTCTATCCAATTTCTAAGTTGTTTCTTTCTGTCTTCAGCATTTAATTCCCGATATTTTTCAAGTAATTCCAAATAAGGATGATCCACCAAAGTATCGGCCAACGAAATAGAGTCATATATCGTTATTGGATCTGTCGTTAATTCATCTGATATCGTAGCCATAGGCTCATCTTTTTTTACCGTACCCTCTTGAATCACAATATCACAGAGTTGTATCGACGTATTAGGAGTAATGCGTATCTTAATCGTATTATAATTGTATTTCCCGAACTTGTATAATACATCGATGTCTTCAAATGAACAAATATGAGCGTCTTGCAGCTGAATAATACCCATTTCTGTCCAACTTTCTGTGTCTCCATTGCCGGCCAGAATTTTTAAGTACCAAGTCTTTTTACAATGTATTGGATCCAATACTATGTGTGTAAATATATTTTCTACATAATTTGAAATTGTCCAAGATTTTAATGGTTTTATTGCGCTTTCGGATATGAGTGTGTCGGACTCCTTTGTAAAGAGTTGAATTTTATTATCCCACATATCGCGGCTTGATTGCTTATGTTTGGGTTTATCATATAAATATTCGACGAGTTTTATTTCGATTCGCACAGAATCGATATTTATCATGTTCATTAACTCTTTTCCTTCCTTTTCTCGATCCAGTTGGCAAGGCACTGGAACTTTTTGCTGAGCTTTCATTAGCAGCCGGACAAGTTTTACACAATCATTTGTTAAAATATCCTCGTCTATTATATCGAAATGGTTCGATTTAAATTTTGCTGTTTGCAAAAGTTTACCAATAAGTTTAATATCATGCAATATTTTTATTGAATCTGATTTGGTTTTTTCAATTGTTTTACATACTCGATCACGATTTAAATCATATTCCTGCTTTAAGCGTTCGTTTTTTTGTCTAATGTGTTGAGTTTTACTATCAAATTCATCATTCATACGTTGTACCCATCGTTCTCGAATTCGTTTTCTCTGTTGAAGCAATGCATCGATTTCTTTATTCCAATCGTCTATTGTCGATTGAACCTGCGTCAGACTTGGCCGCAAAGTGAGACGATCCATATTATTCAAATCGATTTTCAATTGATTTAAATTCATCATTGACATTCGCATTAATTCATAACGAAGTAATTTTGTTAATCGAACAAGATAAACTATGACGGGCTCATCATTGATTAATTCCTGTTGAGGATATTTACGTTCTAATTCGCCAATTGTTTGCTGTAGAAATACGATGATTCGTTGTCCTTCTTCATTTAATAATTTGAAAGCAAATGAATATCGTAATCGTTTCGCAGTCGATTGTTGATTGCTTGTTGTTGCTGATGTAAACGTACGAAGAAAGCGAGATGCTTGTGACCAGCCTTGAATGAGAAATTGTGTCAATTGATTGTACCAATCAAATTCTTCGTCGAGTTTTTCATCATAATGAAAGTAACGCATTAAATTTACCTTTGATAAAGTTTCTAGTAGATAAATATTATCGCGCTTTAAACGACTTTTGATCGTTGTACTATATTTTTTCTGTAAGGAATCAATTTCTTTTTGTTGATGCTGTTGTACTAATTGAATGAAAAATAAAATAAATTGATCGACGAAATTTTCTATTACTGATCGTATGTGACTTAATGATTCAATTAGTTTCTTGCGTTCATTGTGTAAAATATTAATTGACATTAAACCTTGATCTAATAATAAATCTAATTGATCTTTAAGAATATATTCTAAGAATTCTGAATACATTGTTTCAAATGACGAGGAACATGATAGATGAATAGATTTAACTAGATTCTCTAGAAACGGAGCGATGGCTTTAACTGTTTCAAGTTCGAATTTATCGGCATTATTTTCGAGAATTTTCATTAATAAATATTGTGTATTACTGACGAGTACATTCAAATTATAACTGACTTGAATAAGAGGATTTGTTTTCGATACTGATTCATTCCAATCGCCAATTTGTGAAAGTACTTTCATTTTTCGTTCGATATCATCCATGAGTGCAGCTGGATCATAGCAAATATTACCAAATGCATGTGTATATTGAAGTTTGAGACTATACTCTAACAAGGGAAAGTCGTGGCATAGACGTTGATGAACTTCTCTTAAGGAATATTCGTCGACAGGCAAACTTGTACCGGGTATATCTAAACGTTCTCGAAAACCACTAAGAATAACCAGTCGTTTCATATTATTATCCCATTCGAATGATTGTTTATCGAATTTAATGGGCATGGTTTTCAATTGCGTAAATACTAATGGATTTGATTGCTGAATTTTGAATAATTGGACAAGAAAAATGGCCATGCGCGCATAGAAACTGGAACAATGGTACAATAATATCGACAGTACTTTAGATCGATAACTAACTCTTGTCTCATTAGAAGACTTTTCAATATGAAAAGCAATTCGACTGAGTTCTTCTACTGTTTGATGAACGGTGTTCATGTCCATGGTAATCAATGATACTTGAGGAGCTTTAATTATAGGCTGAACAATATCGAGAGTTTCATTCAGATATGCACGTGTTTCATGGATTGTTTTCTCGATTTCGTTTACGAATGAATTCCGTTGATGAATCATGTCATTGAGCCAATTTTCAAATGAATTCAGTAGTTGAGTATGTGCTAATTTGTATGCTAATAGGAAACGCGTGAATATTTGATAGAGATTATCATCTGGCATTAACCATTTGAGTGCTTCATGATATTCATCATAGGACTTTGCCAACTCATTTCTCAGTTTTTCAATGAATTCAGTAACACGAGATTTCAATTGATTAAATTCGGTTAAATTCATCTTTAACAGGCTTGCTTTTGCGCTAAATAAAGTTGCATAGAATTCACTAGATGTTGTTAATTTTTGTTGCTGTTGTTGATTACTATTGGCTTCTGATTTTGGTTTGTCGAGTTTTTCGATGAGTTGTGACGGTAAATAATTGCCCTTCACTTGTAATTGACGATTGACTTCTAAAAGTCGTCGTATTCGTTCAACGGCAACTCCATTTAAAAATTTTTGATAGTCTTTTTCGAGTGTAATGTATTCATCATTGATTTTACTGTTTTCTCGTTCTAATTCTCGACGCTTGTAATCAAGCAGCGTGGGAGACATGAGTTCTTTTTCAATTGTAGCTTTTCGAGCTTTACATTGTTGAAAATCTCGTCCAGTTGCTTGAACAATGGAACTAGAGAATTTCAAATAATTAGTTGCTGTACAAGAATCGGACACACCCAGTTGCTTCGTGAATTGAGACAAATTGTCTTGCATTTCATCGAATAGTTTACTCAATAACGATTGTATTTCGAGAGCAAAAAATGAATGATATTCGTTACTTTCGGTCAACTGATAAAACCAATGATTTTTTAGATCCTCGATTTCAACTGATTCATTCATTTTATTAATTAAACTTCTCATGAATTCGACAAGCTTGTTTGTTGCTTGTGAACTATCAAATGACAATAGAGATAGAGATTCATCTTTACCATTCCTTAAAGTAAATCGTTCTACGTGTAAATCTTTGATAGTTGTTCGAAACTCGGGAGATGCCAAATATTTTTTCAATTTTTCAATATACTTGAAAGTGAAGTCATCCAATTGTAGTGTTTCCATGAATAGTACAGGTAATTCAGGAAATAGAAGAGCAATTATATCGGACAGCCGAAGATAAGATAGCTGCATTCCAGCTGATTGATTATAATTTGCTTGATCGTGTAAGATCCGCATAAGAGCTTCACGTCGTTCGTAGAGTCGAACAAGAAGTGGATATATGTGAATTAATTCATACGTTTGAATATCTTGATCAGCCGATGTTATTAGTAGAAGTTTCGATTTATCGCAAGGATTTAAACGTTTTAATTGATTCGATCGTTGTTGAATGATATTTTCCAATGTTTTCGTTTGAAGTTCTTTTAAACGCAATTCCGGCAAATTAAAACGATCCTCTTCACCTTTTGCATGTTCTTGACAGAATTGTAAAAGTTCTCTACATGTCTCAGCCAACGAAGTGGAATCGAGAAAGATAAATATGGCCATGAGTGATTTCAAATTATCAATAATAGATTGAACAGTTAAATGACCCGCATTCGATGAACACAGATCGTAGATTAGCTTTTCGACATTGGTCCACATTGATTCATATGTTTGTTGTTGAAAATAATCGGTTAAAAATTCTAAAGCTTCATCTTTCCCGGAAAATTTTTCCTCCATTAAGGATTGAACTAAAGTAACGAGACGATTTCGTTCGTTATCTGAAAAATCATAAGTAGTGTCACTCGCATATCTGATCGTCTTCTCAAGCATATCAGGTGTAACATCGATTGATTTTTCATGTTTAAATCGTTTTATATTAAAGATATCAGATTTTTTACGTTCGATAGATTCAGCTGTGATTTGTCGTTGCAATTGTTTTGGTGATTTTCGCCAATGCAAAAGCCCGAGTTCATTCAAAATTGTCTTGTTACGTTTTATTTCATGCAATTCCATTAGTAACATCACAATAGCATATTGTATTCGTGATAGGCCATTTTGTTTGGCTAATTGTCGTAACTGTTCTAATTCTTTTTCCACTTTTGTTAATTCTTCATTTTGACGATCTAACATTGTTTCTTCAGCATTTCTTTTAATTATGGTAGTTGGTGGTTGAAATGAAGATGATTCTGTTGGTCGAACAACTTCAGGGATGTTAGTGTTTTGAATGATATTATCTAGTTCAGCTTTTGTAATCAATTTAAAATCATCGATTTCATTCGTTGTTAATTGTTCAACTGTTTTAAATTGCGAATAAGCAACATGTTTCAGTATATCGTCATTGTACAATTTCATAGTTTCATAGTATGTTTCAACAGATATTTTTATACCATATGTATCGACACTATCCATCGTATATTTCATGATGTTGATCAGAAGCTTTGAAATCTGATGCGATTTCTTATAGAAATCGATTTCATTTGTATTTGTTCGATAGCGTAAAATTATTTGTAATAGTTTCGCTTGAATCATATGTAGACGATCGATTAGGGTTGATATGAATACATGAAATCTAGTATGTGGATCGACTAAGAATCGTTTCAATTGATTCAAAACAGGATATTGAAATTGTTTTCTTTCGACTATGTTCAGTGTTCGTGCTTTCGCTATTGGTTCTTTTGGTATGCACATTTCTAATGTATCCTCTAGTTTTCTCTCTAACTTTGTTATGACTTGTCGACCTAAATCTTGACGTGTTTCGTTAACTAACTTGGCCAGTTGTGAAATATTGATAGGCGCCGATGGTAATGTTTGATTTGCAATCGTCTTTACTTGATCAACAATTTTCAATAGAAATTCAATGTCTGCGTGAATTTCATTTTCAACAAGATTTTGATAAGTATGTTGTTCATTTCGAATGGTACCTAGTTGTACTTGTTTTTGAATCCAATTTTGAACATCGAGATCGAGTTGTTGTAAATAGGTAGGTTCGATCATCGAGTTGAAATCATCATTTATATCAGAATTATGAAAAATATGTTGTAATGCATATGGTAAGATAAAGTATGCTAAATCATTATCAATGTTCACCGTAATGAATTTTCGTTCTATATCGATATCAGTATCAGTGGATCTTTGTTTTATTTCATTCGTAAATCGATCAATTAACTGAACAAAATTTTTGTCGACTGTATTTGAATCCATTTGATGTTCAATCGCAAAATAGCGAAATGAAATCTTTTGACTGAAATAAGCTATACCAGATTCATTTGTTAAGTACCTATTGTACGAACGTTTATCGATCAGTATAAAATTCGTCAAACGAACGTTGACAATAATATCGATTGCATTAGTTGTTTCCAAACAATTATTAATTGTTAAATGTGCATTATCATCTCTGAATACAAACAGAAGAATATTCTGTTCGAACAGTTCAGGATAGATAAGTTGCATCAGAGTAAGACTTGCACGCCCATGTGCTGTATTAATCTCATCAAAATTGACTTTCTTAAAAACATGCTGCCGAAGAACGTCAGATTTTAACTGTTTTCGTTCTTCGTCGAGTATATTCGATGATGAATATGTTTGACTTGATTCGTATTCTTTCAAATAGATTTTCGATATGGTGCAGAGTAACTCATTTATAATATTTTCTTGTCGTCTACAGCCATAGTCATGAATAATTTGAAGCCATCCATTAGCTTCGAACTTTTTCAATTCTTGTCTTAATGGTAAGAATAAAGTTCTGATATTCTCATTCAGTTGTTCGATATTTTTTAGTGCTGTATCGTGTCTGGCTTTTGTATCATTCAATGTATTTTCTTCTTGTTGAACTGTATCTAGTTCTACGTCAATATTTGATGTTTTATCTGATACTGATTCTAGAAGACTATCAATTTTCAGATGAATTTCTGTAATTCTTCTCTTGACGTCTTCAATATTCTTGACTAGCATGTGCTCTTGAGAGCGGTATCGACTTTGAATATCATCGAGCTGAACTTTACACGATGCTACTTCTTCGTAGATAACATTAAGTATCGTATGAATGAAATACAAAGAATTCAAGCTGGCAAGTAAATTCGATGAACTCAATAACGTTTGTTGTTCGTCCATTTTCTCTATAAAATCCGATTTAATCATAAGATTCATCGAAAATTTGCATGCAACATTTAATTCTAATTTCGATGCGGCTAATAAAATAAATTGATCTTCTTTCATTATTGAAAGATACTGGCATAACTTTAATATGATATCCAATCGTTGATCAGCTGAAGATACTATTGGAATTGATTGTACTTTTTGTAGATGTACGTTGATTAGCTTCAATGCTGCATGAAAATCGTTATCGTCATCGTCAACATTCGTTTGGTTTTGTTGCCGAATGAATTCTTGCGTTTGCAAAAGAATGTGTAGATCTTTCTTCGCCATTTGTTGACATGGAAACGAAACCCATTTCATATATGTTTCCGTGATGAGAAGTTTATCGAGATCATTCTGAATCATAACGCTCCAATGAGCTATAATTGATGATCGCGATAGCTTACAGATGATTTGCAATTTTTTCGATAATGAGGAGAGTTTTTGAATTGTGTTGTTCAATCGTTGCAATTCTGAAAGACGATACGGTGCATCGATGAATGACGTTTGCTCGACAAAATTAATAATTTGCTTATAACATTCTTGAACAGTGATATCTAATAGATGTAACGAATCTTCAGTATTATCAAGTGAAAGTAAAATTCTTGTGGACAATAAATATTGATGAATTTTAAGAAGCAATTTTTTCAAATCAGCACCTAGTACCATTGATTGAAGTGCATCATTGAGTAGAACTCGTGATCGAATAGTTGAAACTTGCGAAAAGAGATCATCTGAGATGGTTTCCTCTTTGGATTTTAGTAATGGTTGAAGATAATCCAATAAAAACAGACCATAATCGATAAAGTCTTCTTTGAGGCACGCTTCTTCGTTAATGTACTGATTGATAACTCTCAAGTGAAGATCTAATGTGCATTCTTCGATTGATGCAATTAAATCGTGTAGATTCTCTGCTGATCTATACCAGGCCATTTGTTGATGTCGATTTTCTATTCCAACCACGGATGAAAGCATTGGTAGAGTCGTGTAAGTTGTTTTATTCAGTTCGGCATTCGACAAATGTTGAATGAAGCTTTTGATTAAAGATATTTTTCCACTAGGATTTAAAATCGGATCGAGATAACTTCGAAAGATCGATGGTTTTAATGCAAATACCGGATCGCGTTCATTCATTGCGTATGTTCGTAGGATACGTGCTGACCGTTTTATATTTTGATAAGATAATTGATACGATGTAATAAATTGTAAATCTTTAGTGTTCGATAGCTCTTTTGCTGACGCATGCAAACGTAGCAATGTATGCGTGAGTTCTTGGCCCCCATTGATTCCTTGAAGTTCACCTTTGACAATTTCCGATAGATCATGTTGATCAACATTATGAACTGTTAATTCATCATCTAACGGTTGCATTCGTATAATTAAACATCGATTTCTCCAAGCACTGGATAGTTTATTTGCCATTTTTCGATTATTATTTGCGATGACAAACAATCGAAAATCACTATGAATACCGTTTCCACGGCTGTACTGTTGAGATGTTGCTGATTCGTATAAAGTTAATGTTGGTTCAGCTTCAGCTAAGGAATTCAAACGTTCGATAACATCTCCACGAGCACAATTAACATTATCTAATAGAATCCAATCACCACGTTCCATAGCTTGTATTAAAGGTCCTTTGTTAAAAGTAAATGTCAGTCCTTCGCCAAGGTTTTGCACCAATTTATAGTCGTCTTCAACTTGTTCAAGTATATCGAGATATTTTTCTATTTCTTGTGAAATCAGTTCGACATATGTTTCGTGCGAATGCTGTAACGCATTTTCCAATAATATTCGACATTGTTTGTAGGCATCAAGAGCAAGATCATTCTTTTCTATAAGAATCAATAAGAAAAAGAAAATTTTTAATTCTAGAAATTATAGCAATATGAACATTTACTATTGTTAAATGTGAGGTTTTCATGAGAGCAATCATTTTGTCAGATCTCTATACAAATTAGCTATAGATGGAGCGACACTGTTTTTGCTTATTTAGATTCAGAAATTAGCACTTCACACACATATATGAAGTCATCTTGGTAATGATCGTATGAGAAAACGAGTATAATTAAATGGTACTTTCAGAATAGGAAATATCTGAATTGATCTGGGAGGGGTACTCGAGCAGCTATGTCCAAATATTTTCAATTTTGACGCCGCAACAGTTGGATGCGCATTGACATGAGCAGAGTGGAGATAGTTCATCAGAAAATGTGTCCTTTTATATTTCTATCTTACGTGCACATTTCCTATCAATGTCATAATGTTGAACTACAGCTGAACTCAATGGGTACGAATGGTTGTGATTGTTATAGATGGAACTTCTATGATTTATCTCATGTCTACAATAGGATTCATCCAACACTCACATTCAAATCCATATGATATGGATGTGCAGTGCCGGTGTACTGACCACCCACTACGCCAACACTGTTCCCCAGGGAGTACTGACTACACCGGGAGAGTGTGCAGTAGAACACCGACCACACTGTCACCGGTGTCACTGAAACACTGAAGATAGGGACACTGACGGCACCGACACTGCACACCTCTATCCATATTGAGACTAGCGTATCTATGGTTCTAGCTGCATCAGTCTGACTTCTTTATCATGGTTCCCGATTCAATCAACTTCAATTATTAGTGTTTCTGTACATAGTAAACAGTTAATTATAACTAACCGTGTTCCCATTGAAAAAGCATACGTGCAATTGTACGAATCAATTGTTCGGATTCGTCAAATTTTTGTAACAATGGTATAAGTACAGCCAATGCAAAACGAATGATGTCATTGAGTAGTTGTTTACTATTCTGTTTGCGACGTTTATCATAAGAATGTTTATTGATCACAGTCCACGAGCCCAGCAAATCTGATGTTGTTGTTTCATGATTGAGATTCAATACCAATAAGCGTCGCCCACATATGCGAGCTAATTCACAAACAGTAGCTGTTTTGCCCGAACAATCACCTCCTTCAATCAAAACTGTCGCTTTACTCACTGTAGCTGCTGCTAATAGTTGTAGTCTTTCCAATGTTCGTTTGCTATGAATGCATGGCCTGTACGTCGACGGATATTCTTTTTTCTCGATATAGACGAAGCCGAGTCGTGTATAACCTTGCAAATTTAAATCACTATCAATCAATTCTTGGCAACTCGCTGCTCCAGTGGGCGTATCCAAAGTAAAATGCTGTCGTATCATTTCACGAACTAAAGTTTGATCGGCAACGTATTCGAACCGAGAGGCATAGACAATATCCAAGTAAACATGTAGACTACGAATTATGTTCTGTTCTTCGATTTTACCAACACTTTCATCATCAGTTGTATTTGTTATTGGTGGTGTTATCGTTTCTGAAAGACTAATATGAGCTCGATGTGTTACTGAATGTGCTGCAATTAAATTTGATAGTTTTTCAATATCTCGAAGATTAAAATCGTACGGTCCGCCAAGACGACCAATCTGTCGAAGTCGTGCCTTTTCGCTTATTTCAAAATGAAACATATTTATCTTCTCAACGAGTTTCTCAGTTAGATAGCCTGCATCAAGATGAGGACGCAACAATGAAATGGTGATGTGCATTAATTCATGAACTTCGAATGATGCCAATTGAACTTGAATAAAATGTGTTTGAGTTGAACGAGGCAATTTCTCTCGGCCACCACCAATCGAAGCTGGATTCATAGCAGCAACAATAATTGAACCATCGATTTGAATCGATTTTGCTAGTGCAGGTATAAACAATTCTTTTTCGTTGCCAAATAATGGTGACAATTGATTTAATAACTCTTTACGTGCTAAATTTAATTCATCGAATAAAATGACCGTATTTTGACGATCTTCATTCAGTGAAATGTACAACGGCCCTTCTTGAAATTCAAATGATCTTTGTCCACCAACAACCCGCGGTACGAACGACCCGATAAGATCTTCAAATGTAGTATTACTACTAAAATTGATACGAACAACATTGTATCCTAACATTTTCGCTAGAACTTCAATGATTTTTGTTTTACCAACACCTGGCGGACCGGCTAATAATTGTCGATTGGATGAATGTAATGAAAACATGATTCGTGATATATTATTAAAGACAGATTTTGTTAGAGCAAGAGGAAATTTAAGTTTGTCTGGTTTAGTTTTTACTTGTGGTGCAAATGGTGCTATCAAACCATTCGATAGAAGACGTAAACCCCAATGTTTTCGTAGTTGTTTCGTCTCTTTATCAAATATCATCATATCTTCTACTGCACACCATTCATCAAGTCGTGTATAAACACCTGCTTCTTCGAGTTTTTTATCAGTCGTAATACAATCATTGGTGCAATTAAATTCTTTCAGTACATTTTGCCAGACTACATCTGCTGTTTGTAAATTCGAGATAGACGATTTTTTGACTTCATTGACACCGTCAAGAAATAGAAATTTAACGCAAAGTGCAGCTGCTTGTTCGATAGGCATATGTTCAAGATGTAATTGCAAACATTCACCAAAACGAACAAAATGACGGGAATCCAATGAATCGATTTTCATTGCTTGAGCCAATGTTGGAGCAAGTTTATTAGCTAGAATATCGACCATTTTATTCATTTCTAATTGAATATGTTCATTTTTGACATGATCTAATCGCGATTTTGTTGCTAACTGTTGTAATTCATTGTTGTCATAAGGTAGAACACGTATTTCTGTCATTCTTGATCGTGTTGCTGCGCTCAATTGCAAACGATTTTCTGTTTTCTCATCTGTGTGTACAGTTGCAAATACTTGAAATGTCGATAGAATCGGAATTTTAGCACGTTGTGGATTAATACCGGTTTTTGCTGTTGTTTCTTGAGCAGTAAAGTCTTCGTAGAGAATAAATGATGGTTCAGTTTCAAATAGACTGTTGAGACGTTCAATAACAGCCTGCGACGGTTCATTGATATCTTCTAAGATTAAAACTTTACCTTCTTTTACAGCGGTAGTAACTGGACCATCTTGAAATAGAAAGATGTTCGATTTTCCTTGTTCGATGGCTCGTCGAATTTCTGCAATGATACTTTCACAACGAGCTTTTATTAGTAGAACACCATTCTCATTCGATGCAAGTTTACATATATAATCGAGACGTTCGCAAATAGTTTCAAGTTTAAGACCAACAACTTCGAATGCTTGAGGAACTAGATTGGCACCTTGCTCATCTGAGAATGCGATTGAAGCAGAAGACGTTGTCATTTGTTGAAAATCATGCTGTGTAGCATCATGAAATGCCAGAAGATTTTGCTCTTCAGTGAGTTCGACTGGTTGTATCATTGCAAATGGATCGATATCTTCTTGTCCTTGTGTTCCCAATGGCATGCTCGCAGTATTTTCATAATTAGTTGAGACATTACTATTTTGTATCATGCTGAAAGGATCGATTTCTTCTTGTTGATTGTTGACCATTGCAAACGGATCGATCTCTTCTCGTTTATCGATAAACGCTGCAAATGGATCAATTTCTTCTTCTTCTTTATGCGTATCGTTCGACATAATATCTATAAGTTGTCCAGAACTGCAAACAGCTTCAAAATCATCATCATCATCATCATTATAGATTATGGATGTGCTCTTTGACATGGCTGACGGTGATTGTGCTCGCGGAACTGAAACTGTCGATGGTATATATACATACTCTTTCATCTGATCTTCAGTATTTTCATTCAATTGTGTTTCGTTCTCGCCGTTCTCTAGATATTCGCTTGTATGTGCTATTTTTGTTCGATGTTTTCTCGGCGTTCGTTTTTGTTGTTCTTTTATTTTTCGTACAAATGTATCGATATCTTGAGCTAAGCTATTGATACTTCGTCGGAAATCATTAAAGTCATCGTGTTGACTTGAAGTAATTGTTTCCGAGAAACTCTTTTCTATACGTGTACACAGTTGATTTAAACAGTTAAACAATAGATTTAATGCATCAGCATGTGTGTAGGGTCTTGAAAAACAAACAATTTTATGAATATGAAAAGAGAGCTGATCTCGATAGAACTCACCTGATCGAACCAATCAGATCATTTGTTTCTGTTGATGTTGAACATGTAATTGTGCAAATGTCAGATTCTTTTCCCATTAATTTCGACCATAGTTTGATCAAATATGATTTATAACAAGTTGGACCAAGTAGAAGAACTGGTTCATGTTGATCTGTAGCTGCAAATATTCGCCAAAGTGAAAGAAGTAAATTTTGTGGTGCCGAAGACAATTGCAGAGTTTTAACTGCATCGATATCGACAAAAGAATAGGATATAGGCAAACGAGGTGCACAATGAAGATCAATATGATCAGGTTCAATTTTGATTTTAAACGAAGGATCGATGAGTTCTGGAAACGCTTCCTTGTGCTGGAGACATTTGATGAATTCAGAATAGAATTTTTTCGGTACACGCGATTCTAACAGTCGTAGCGCGTGTTCTTCCCAACTGACATCAGATTTTCGTTGTTTTCGATTAATCCATTTGATAACTTCTCGCATTGTTAAGCCGAGTTTTGCTGCACCAAATATCGGTCGTTGCGAGTCTTCAACATGACGATTCAGAATAGTCACAGACGATGCTATAAGTGGTGCAAAAGTTTTTAAATCATTATTGAATGCTTCCGATGCTGTCGAAACAGTTGATGTCGATTTTCGCTGTATAATAATAAATTCGAGTTCTTTTTCAGAGAACGAATGAAATTGAATTTCTAAAAATCGTGAGCGTAACGTTTTCGGTAATTGTTTTCGTCCAACATAGCTTGTACCGTTTTGTGTTGCAAAAAATCTAAATCCATCACGTGCAACTAATGTTTGCCCAGTATTGGGAACAGTTAGTTGCTGTTGACCTTCTAAAATCGGATAGAGAACATTCATAACAGCCGGCTCGGCCAAATCGAATTCATCGGCAACAAACCAATTTCCATCTAACATCGCACGTGATAGAGCTCCATTAAGAAATTCACCATTGGGCATATATGAACCAAAATAATCTTGAATCGTAGTTCCTTTCGTGTTATTGACACGATAGAGAACTTTTCCATTACATTGTGCAATATATTCAATTAAACTTGTTTTACCAGTGGCAGCAGGACCTTCGAGAAGAACCGGCCGCGCACAAATGATGGATGCACACAGACGTTTCGCTGCTTCGTATCGTGTTGGTGTCGATTCAGAATCAATGATATGTTCGCGATGCTTGTTACGTTCTTCAATTGGAGCTGATAGATCGAAGAAATTTATTGGTTTGTTTCTGGCTTGTTTTTGTAAATATATTTTAATATTTTCATTTTCGCTTGATGATGTTAAATCAATATTGAATACTAGTTCATAGGCTGACAGTAAAACTGAAGATAGATCTAAGTTAAGTCTCTCTGTTGCTTTCGAATGCTGTAATTTGAATGCACAATCGACGAATTGAACTAATTGTCTTGTTGTTAATTTTTGAGATTGAATTTCCGCGCAAAGCTTATTTATGATGAGTTGCTCATCGATCGGAAAATAAGAAGTAAACACATTCTTGTAGACATCTAAGGACGATAAGTTTAAACCTTGATAATGAATAATCAAGAATCGATTATATAATGCAGGCGTGAGCTCATGATTTGTTTCAATCGATGCATTTTGTAGTCGTCCAGTGGGCGGTGACATCGTAGCAATGATACGGAAATTCGGCGACACAGAAACTGGCTCTGTTTCATTATTTTCTACTTTTACCCATTGAACTGGCTGTTCAAGAACCGGATTAAGACGTTCGAGAACAGCTGATGATGCTTCAGAAAAGTTTTCAAGAATGAGCCAATGACCTTTCGCGATGGCTTCACTGACAGCACCATCATGCCATTGTGGCAGTTTTGGATGTGGAACAAGAGAGCCGACAAGTGCTGCTGGTTCCGTTTGCGGAGTTAAATATAAATGTTGGCAATGAACATTAGTCAACGTGGCTATGGCTTGAACAAGATGGCTTTTACCGCAACCTTCAGAACCAACGATTAGAATAGGTTGTGATGGAGATGATGATAAAATAAATTGTGCGATACGATTTGTCTCATCATCGATATAAAATGATGAGCGAGCCGATGAAAGTGATGCAGCAGCTTCAATTAAAGTCTCTAAAGGTTCCCGAAACTCCGTTCCAATATATTTAATAATGCTCTCTCGTTGATTTCTATCTCGACATAAGTTTGCATAGGTTTCAACGAGCAGTTCAGGTAGTGTACTCATATCAGATCCATATCGTCGTTCTAGTACTGATCTGAACAATTCATACGAACAATCGTAAATTTGTGTTATCGGTCCATCATGCAATCGTTTAAAAATAGCACTATGAATTTTAACGATTTTTTCAATTTCTTGAGTACTCGTTGGCTTTAATATGTGCGATGGCCAATCGTTGAGAACACGTTCGAGTGTAATCATTGGCATTTGTAATAATAAACGCTTTTGTGAAAGAAATGAAATTGAATTAGCGCTTCGAAAATCTACTACTAATTTTGATGTCGACAGAGGATTGATTTGAAATAATTTTTCAATTGACGAAGCAATTTGAATTTGACATTGTCGTTCACGAAATCTTAGACCATAGGTGGCAAAAGCTTGCTCACTGATTATTTGACCGAATGTATTTGCGTCAAGACTTTTGACTGATTGCGAAACATTGTTCAACATCTTTTCATAATCACATAAACTTTGACACCATCGAAAAAGTTCTCGAATTGTTATTTCTGTATAGCTTTTATTTCGTTCCTTGAATTCATTGTCTTTAATGAGATTCATGATAGTTAAATGTAATTTGACCATTTGTGTGGCTTGTGTAACAAATGGAAATTTTTCGTTTTCTAATCGATTAGCGACAATGCTAGCTAACTCTTCAGTTTGTGGTCCTTCAACAATAAAAATACTGAAACGACTAAGTAAAGCAGTTGATTGAGCATCACGTGCTCCTTTATATTGGCCAGTTGATGGATTTTGTGTTGCAAAAAGACGAAATTCTGGATGCACTTGATAGACACGATAATTTTGTTTGGTTTGATTTTGCTGTTCATTCGTATTTGCATTATCGTCATCTTCGATATTAGGTAATATTAAAACACCTGATTCTAATGCTTGTTCAATAGCTTGAAGAACATTTGGCGGTGCTAAATTCATTTCATCTAATAAAAGCCAATGGCCATGGCGATATGCAGTTGTGAATGGGCCTTCTTCGTAGTCCAATTCGATGTCTTGTTGTGTTTTATTAGTATTGGTGACTGTTTTTAATTTAACCGATCCAAATAGCCCACCAATATCAGTTTTTGATGATAGATTAAAACGAATCAACGGTTTTTTAAGATCGGCAGCAACATCAAGAATCAAACTACTCTTTCCGACACCAGTTTCTCCTTGTAATAATAAATGAATTGGTGTTCGTATACATTCAATGATTCGTTTACGATTGTTCAACATTGTTTTGGTTTGTACTAGCGACGGTAATGTTCGACGATTAGGTATCAAATGACGAAATTCTTCAGGACATGGCCTAATCAAATGTTTTATACCATCTAAACTATTCGAATCTGTTGATGAGCTATCTTCCATCAGAGTTGTTTTCTCTAGATCAGCAGCCAATGCTTGAAAATCGGATCTTTTTATAAGACGAAATGGTATTTGAGATTTTGAACGTTTCAATTCACGTTCTAAAAGATACATCGACATTGATTGATTTTGCGCTAACATTGGTTGTTGATCATGATTTGTATCCAGCGATGGTATGGATGATGTTGTTTTCGTAGTGAAATCTTCGTCATTCTGATCTTTCAAACTAGCTAGTAGTTTCATAAGATCATCGAATTGAATATTCAATGCACGACCAACTAAACGGGCAGTTGACACTCGTACATTTGAATTTTTATGTAAGAGGCCCTGAAGAAACATCGGCAATGATTGTTGAATGAACGATGAGAGGAAACTAAATGATGGCATTGAAATCAGATGTACAACTTGATCGAGTTTTTCTCGTAATAATTCAATAAGATCATGAATATAAATGTCAAAATATTCGAGCGTAGTTGATGGTCGAAGATAAAATGAAAAGTGTGCTTCATTCGATGGAATATAATCAAGTTTTTCTTGTTCATTTAAATTCTCATTGGTAAATGCCGCCATTATTAATAGATTATTGAGCCATGAATGAATGAGTGCTGGTTGTTTTAATTGAAGAATAAAATTGAATAATCGTAACATTTGTTTATATTCAATTGAGAGTAGTACTGTTGATTCGACAATACGCTTCAAATCAACGGCATCAATGATCGAAGTCCTTGTTGCTGTTTGATTGATCAAATGAAGAATAACCGAAATGGTACATGAAAAAAGACGATGACGAAATGAGGAATTCCATGCTGGTTGATCATTATTATTGGTAGAAAATATACGATCAAGTAAATTACCTATCGTTTTAATGGTACTAGTGAAATCAATATTTTTTAAGCGTAGTTTATGTTGCGATTGTGAATCAAACGCTTTTTCTAGTAATATGAGAAGTTCTAATACTAATGTTGGATTATCAATTTGATGAGCTTGTATTAACGAGAGAAGAAGATTGAAACTTGTAGATATTTGCCATTGATCAAAAGCGTATTGACGACATTTTTTCAATAATTCAACAAAATCAATGTGTGCTCGTTGTGCATCAATATTTTCGAGTATAACTTTAATCCAATCTTTTTTCACATGCTTAATGATGAATTTCAATCCTGGAAATGAATTTCGTAGTGTTGAATGCATCAATTGAACGAATAGTGATGTTTGAATTTGTTGACTAAATTCAATGAAATTTTTATTCGTAATTGTCTGTGATAATTTTAATCGATCGAAATTATGATTGAGAATGTCGACAAAGAATTGGAACCATAATTGATAACGATCGACTGCTTTTGATACTTCACTTAATTTCATAGCTAACATTGTTAAAAGTAAACAAAGATCATCGATCGGCCAATCCAATAATGGATTCAAGCATGCAGTTAATAGAATTTCGTCAATATACGAGGTTTCATTTGTAATCATCTTTTGTAATATATTCCTAATAATTGAACATGATATCAGTGGTGGCAAGCTGACATGATTCGATTGAGGTAAATCTTGAACAAAGCTAATAAATAATTGTGCACCCATATGTCGTACTTGTTCATCATTGTTAAATAGAAAAAAAAGGAGAAAATCTGTCAGATTCATCTCTGCTAACTGATAGTTTGATTCTGTCGTTTCTAAAGTTTTTGTAAATAATTGATGAATCTTTTGTAATAATAATATCCAGCGTACTACAGCATCGACATCATCATGATTTTGTTGCTGAACGTGTGCATACTTCAATATTTCAGAAAAGGGCGGTAGAAAGGATGGTCGCTCATGAATTTTACTACTATGATACATGAATTCTCTACCATCAGTCCATTTGACTTTACAATCAGCTAGAATGACTTTGGCTTCATTATTGTTCGAACTAGGCATGTAGTGCAATTGATTTAACATTTGACTTTTAATGGATGTTAACTGTGATTTTGCTGATAAATTTGTGACATCTACTAATTGTACTTCAAGTATCCGTTGGCGTTGTATGGCAAAAGAAAGCATCAATGATAGACAATGATCGGCATTTGCAAATGCTTTTAAAATAAATTCTAAATGAAGTAGTAGATTTAAAATATCCTGTAGAAGAGCGAGTTCATCCGCATTTGTACGTTGCGATTGTCTTGCTTTTTCAATGAAAGAAACGTACTGTTCAGTGATATCCAAAGGAAACGTATTATCATCAGATAACGCATTACATAGCTGCGAGCCAGGTGCAAATGGAAATGGTTTTCCAGATCGGTAAGAATACGTATTCGTTAATGAACTTTGACCAATTTGCTTACCAAGCCAAGCATTCTTAGACCATTTGCCAATACTCATAATTGTGGATTCTGGTGGATAAAGCTTTGAACGCGAAATAATAACGGCGATCGAGAATAGATAGTTTTCATTGTTTGATACGGATTGATGGGATATAACTAGATAGAACAATTGAAAGAAAGGCAACGAAAATATGTTGTGCGTCGAATAGAACCGATAACAGGGAACTATCAATGTATCAGTGACTAATGAGACGAGAGCTGCATCATCACCGGCTACGCCACTGTGTTGAACTTTATCTTTTAGGTACTTGAATGCTTTGATTAAGCATTCAATTTCAGCTTCATTATCACTTGTCGTTGTCGATGCCGTTGGCGTTGACGACGTTGATGAAGCTGTCAGCGAAAAATTTCGAAGAAGTTCAAGTGCCTTTAATAAAGGCGATGGATTTACATCGGTCAGTAATTTAACAAAGGAATATGAAAGCTCTCGAACTGGAAAATCTGCATTAGGAGAGCTACCGCTTTTAGCCTGTGACATGTGTACAATATCAAAGAATCATGTATTAAAATACGTATTGAATATTTATATCTACAAAAAAAACGATCGTTTTAGTAAAATTTTGAACATGACAACAGTCTAAATTTTGCAAAAAACCTGCGATGCACCATTGAAGCGCGTGAATAGAAAAAATTGTTCAATTTCACTTCTACCATATGCAAGTGTAGCGTCGAATGTGGATTCTTCCCTAGTCAAACCTTTTTATTCATGCGCTTGCTAAGACTTGAGCTCAATATGTGTTCATAGTGCATGACTTTCTTGCTCAAGACAAGCGCTTGAATGCTTGCATAAGTTACAAAACAAGCTTGTTAGCGCAGCTCCTACGGAGCTGAAATGTGGAACTCATGTATGCCTTTAGCTTTGTTACCTGACGCATCATCTGTATGCTGAAAGACTTCTCGTCAACCATAGTTATTTTCCTTGAGGATCGATGAAAAGAGCGGAAATTTATTATTTATTTGTATATTAAAAAAATATATTAAAAAATAAAATATTGTTTTTTCATTTAAGCACGCTTGATTTCATTTATAATTATTGCTATATACTCGATAACAATCTTTCTTTTTTTGCTTTCTAATTTGAAATTATTTTTCTCCAATATCGACTATTTGATGAATACGGTTGTTGCAGTCTGTAATGAGAGGTGTCATAATATCCACAACTTGGGTATCGAGATGAATACCCCCCCCCCCCCCCCCCGCCCCCCCCCCCCCCCCCCCCCCCCCCCCCCCCCCCCGCCCCCCCCCCCTCGCAAAACCTCGAACTTAAAACTTACACTCACTATTTTCTTCGAAAATATATGTGAGTGCCACAAAATGCAACTATAAATTTTTATTACAAGTTGAGTTATTTTGAACGTAAAATTGAAATAGTTCTTTAATAACAGAAACGCTTCGATAAAATCTCAAGTGCATGAGCAAGAAGTATAAGAACTTGAGCTCACCGAAAGGCCTCATGTCTTCCCTCAAGATGTGTCCATAGTTCTTGACTTTCTTGATCAAGAAAGTCAAGAATTGCATGCGCTTGCAAAAAGCAGTTCGACTAGGGTTACTAATATAACTCTATCATTGAAACAGTCTCATTTAGGATTCAAAAATTTTCAAGGCGAGGTTCCAATAGTACTGTCTTTAAAATGAATAGAGAAATATCAAGTATTTTTCTTCTAAGTATTGATCCGACCTCCATGAGATACCTAGTTCGAATTCGAATATAAATGGATACCCAACTGCATGGTGCCAATTCGAAAATAAGTGATAAAAGTAGATTTAGTTTTAGATTTAGTTTAAGATGGAGTGGGTGTGGGTTGCTGGAGGTTAAGGGATAACTGTGGGTGGCGGTGCGAGTGAGGGGGTGGGCAGGAAAGATACCCGAGGGACTTCAAATTTTGGTGTGGGTAGTGGATACCCTGGATGTGTGCTCCAATGCGGATGTGGGTATGGATCAGAGACTGGATACTGAGTACAATTACTCAGTATTTTCGTACTTCTTACTTAAAAATCGTAAGTACAAAATATACTTTAGAAGTACAAGTAAATTTACTTGTACTCCTCGAATGTACTTAAGTGCCGATACTTAGTAATTACAAATTTACTTAAGTACAAGTACCAAGTACTGATGTCTCGATGATCATATAAATGTTTCAAATGTACTTGGTAATTTTACTTAAGTACCGGTACTCAGTACAAATGTACTTAAGTAATTGTACTTGAGTAAAAGTCCAAAGTACAACTAGTAAGTGTAACGAACAACTTGATTAGCGTAGCTTGTGCCACTCTCGGCAATGATGTTTATTAGACTACTTCAAGTTATCCAGAGTGTAACGACAAAACTAGAGACTGTCGCCTATGCCCGTCGGCATGATGGTGTATTGTGTCATCTGACATCTCCAGAGTGTAACAACTTCATACATAACGCACGTATATATAGGAGAGAGATTGAAGAGAGACAATAGAGAGATACATTAGAACAATGGAAAGAGAACAGAAAGAGAAGGAAGGAGAATCACCGAAGCGTGTCATCAATATTGGCACAGTAAGTAACAAGTATTTTCACTTGTACTTGCTGTACTTGTACTTGCCCAGTCTCTGGTGTGGATGCGGTGACCATATAACTACCCACACTCACACCCACCAACATCCCCCAAAAAACCTCGAATTTTAGTATTCATGTATCAGCTTGTACCATCCCATCTTCCCCCAAAAATCTAGAATTCTAAGTTTTCGGGGAGGGTGGGGAGCAGGTCGAGCAATCCGACAGTAGGCACCTATCGGAACCCGTAGCTTCTCAAAATAGATACTTTTTAATTAGCATACAGCTATTTAAAACTGTCTATAGCTATTTAAACTGTCATGACTATTGAAAGCGCCATACCTATTTAAACTGCACAGCTATTTAAAATTACCAAAGCTATTGAAACTGTCATAGCTATTTAATCCATATTGATGTATACTTTAGGTTATCTAACAATTTTATGTCAACTACTTTGAGGCCATATTAAAACTTCGGTCCCTGAAATTTTCAAAGCAGTTAAATATTTCTTTAAGATTACCAGTCATCGATGAAATTTTTCTTCCAAAAGCTAGTTTCTTTAAATAGTTACAAATCGTTAGTACTGATCATTAAAAAAATATCACACAAAGGTGAAGAAATCTTTAAAATAATACAACGAGGTTGACGAAGAATCATCGATAAAACTATAAGATCAGAGGAAAAGCATAGCTTGGTAAATCTGTTAACATTGCGAATTTTCAGATCGAAAATTACTGCATAGAAATAATAAAAGCCAAAAAATAATAAATTATTTACAATGTTAAATAAGACAATTTCTTAATTTTTTCCCAATCCTGCTTTTATTTTTAATTTCCCAATCTTGCTCGTCGTTTTTTCCCCCAATCCTGCTTGTCCCTTTTTCCCAATCTTGCTCGTCGTTTTTTTCCCAATCCTGTTCTTCTTAATTTTTTTTCGAGAGCAAGAGTTTAGTGTTCAAGCTTGTCAAAACCGTGAAAGCTGCACATTGCAAAAAAATATTTCGGAAGAATTTCTAAATAACGTTTATAGTCAGGACTTATTTACTTTTTTTCCAGTTTTTTCTTGATATTAGATTACCTTAATTTGTATAACTTGCTCAAAAATAAGACATGTGTCTCTTTCTGTTCTGGCAATTTTAACAGAATAGGATACACGTTCCTGAGAAAATTTTCAATATCATGGCTTCATTGGCTAATGATGATTTTAGTTTATGATAACTTTCGCCTTCGGACTACGCAGCCAAGATGAAAATTTATGGAAGGTGATATTCGACCTAAGTGATAAAATTTTGTCAAAACGTTTTCTAGTCGTTGTTTCTGGATATGTTTTATTTCCACTACCTCAGTCAACTTGTTGTCATTTTAGTAGAATTTGATTTTAATCATAATTTACAGTGAATTCTATCGACAAATCTAAAATTTCATTTAAATATATGCTTCCATTTGACTTACAACATTTTGAATTTTTGTCACAGTTTCTGCGACATACCGCAAAACTCTCAATCGCTACAATTCTTAAATGGAAACATTCTTAGATCAAATTTTAAATCCGTCGACGGAATCCGCTATGAATTACGATTAAATAAAAAACAAAACAATTTCAGAGGATGGTACTTTGAGTTGGTGGGGAATTTGATTTTGCGGCAAAATCAGATAAGAATGTATATATATATATCGAACAAATTCAACCCCTACCAGATATATCAGCCATATCAGTAATGCAACAATATTAATGATAGAACAATATAACAGGCTCATAGATACTGATAGTATTCGCGGTATTGCGGTATCGCGGTATTCGAGATGTTGAAAGTGTTGACGAATCTTTGAATGAAAGATTTGTTAATATGCGAAACAGCAGTATATTCAAGTCTTGAAAAAAATTATCGGCTTCATAGTTATGTCAAGTGCCATAGAAATTTTGTCGTCTTTGCTGATTCGGACAGAATGCAGTAGGGGGATAATTATTCATAATATTAGCAACATGGTCGACTTTGGCTTATTTTCATGAAGCTGTTGGTATTGTTTCGCTGACTAAGAATAGGTGTTTTCCGTATTTGTATTTTTAGGAAGTGGAATGACATTTCTATTACAAATTGATATGTAAAAGAAGGAAAGTGTTTATGGATAGTAGGAGCAGTGGATATAGTTGGTATGGTATAAATAATGTATTGTAAATAAAATTAATGATGTTTCTTGTTTATACGAGGAAGCAATTGTTTGAGCCTATTGTAAGAGGTGTGTCCAAGGAGGAAAAGCGGATCCTGGATCCTGGTGAATCCATCAGGATCCTAATAGAGGGTATTAGATTGCGGAATAGATTGACTGGAGTGTACGGAAATCTATTAGAAGCTACTTCAATCTACTAAATACGTCCGAGTCTACCACAATGTGTCAAAAACTGATTCTTTTTACAGCAATCTTTAAACAATGTAAAAAACATGGATTCTGCTGGATTAGTGGTGTGCAGCTCACGGTCACGAGTGCTGATAAACATGAGCGTTTCTTCTCCAAATAGAATATGCAAGAAATCAGTAATAATGAATTCACTTTAGCTATATTCATATAAAAATACATTATAATATTTCATACAGTTTCTTATCTAATATATTCAATCGATGTATCTAAATACTTGTTACTCGATGAATTGGTAATAAGTGCTAGAATAGACTCATTAAAGTTTGGAAAATCATAGTTTCCGAATATTTGTTTCTTAAACTGCTCATCTTACTACCGCAATCTACCAAGGAACAAAGCGAGGATGGTATTATATATGTCTAGTAGGGGTAGCACGTTGCTATTACCGGTAATAAGTAATAGCTGTTATTTCGAATTAATAGTACTAACTAAAAGTCAGGAAAATCAATAAAGTAATAAGGAAGAAATAAAGAAATAAAGCAATAAAGAACTTGATCGTGGAATTACTTCTATTTATCGATATATTCCTACTTTCTCACCACTAGGACTATAACAGCTCTCAGATCGTAGTTCAGATCAAATGAACGAAAGAACTGCTGAAACAGTTCTATTTACTGATTTGTCCACAATCACTAGATTACCTGCATTCAATCACTAGTGTTATTTCGGCCGCAATTAAGGGTTGTCCTTATGAATTTTTCAGGACCGCTAAGGATAGTAGGTCAAGTTTGAAGATATCACTACTGGACAGAGTGACATGTTAAAACGACGATGCTTATAGAGGATTGACAAAGTCATAGAAACTGGCAATAGTTACAAATAGGATTGTGCCGAGACCGAGACTTTCCATCTCCGTCTCAGTTGTTGCTGTCGAGGTTTTGGTCTCGCTCTCGTTCGCGGTTAGCCTCGATTCCAGTATTGCTGAGTGTTGGTCTCGGTTCATCCCTAGTTACGAATGAATAAGTTATAAAAATCGCCTCTCACGCTGCACATAAGAATACAAGAGATGCCACTATATATGTACTAAAATGTTGCACAGATCAGCCCTGGGAAGTTTTCACATAGTTCTAGCTACCATCCTCGAGTAGGTTCAGAAAGGTACAGGACCATCCCTTGGTAGTTTCTTAAAATTTCTAGGTATCATCTGTAACTAGATCCCAAATAGTTAAAGAGACCAACCATGGGTAGGTCCTAAAACTTCTGACTACTCCCTCTGACTAAGTCCTTAGAATTTCTAAGTACCACCCTTGGTCAGGCTCAAAACACTTCTAAGTATTACCCTTATATGATTCTTAAAACGTTCTGAGTATCACCTATAGGTAGGCTCCTAATAGCTATATGGACCAGTTCTGGTCTGATCCTGGAAGCTTCTAATACGATCTCACGGTAGGTCGCAAATAGCTATAAGAAATTCTCTTGAATAGATACTAAAAAATTCTAAGTAATATCTTTGGGTCGGTATTTATTACGATAATAATTATTACACGTTATCAATTATCAGTTGTTTCTTTTATTAGTTTCAATCTTTTAAACTTCATTACTCGTAATAAATAATAAAAGTAATAATAATTAGGAATATACCGCTCACGCTCATGAGCATAAGCTGTACACTCCTATGTTGCATCCTACTTGATTTTTAAGTATCGAAAAATTCATCGGAGTCTAGCAGAATTCATCGGAATTGACTAATTTGTCAATCTTCTCAGTTCACTCATGCTTCTTACTCGAAAATTCTACGACCAATTCCTCCTTTTCCCGATCAGACTTTTTGGACCCTATTGGATCCTGATGGATCCGCTTTTCCCCCCTTGGGTGTGCCTACTTGGGAATTATTTGAGCTAAATTAATCCAAACTTCAATTTCTCATCGGGCATGTAAATAACTTTTATATTATTATTTTCACAGTTGCGTTGATTGTTCAAGTGATTAAATATATATTTAGCAATATTTTTAAGAGTGTAATTGAAGCAGTGTGGATGTAATAGAAGTTTGTTGGAAGACACTGCTGATTAACTCTCAAATCAGTTTTGTAGTTTTAATTCTATCAGGGAATTACTTCCCTGCATTATTGATGATTGCAAGGAGTCATTGAGGGCGATACCGATAATTCATTGCTCTTCGAATATTTATCGATCAATTCCAGTGTTATAATGAAGGTTGATTTCCTTTTTTTTTATTTATAAATAAGTGAAAGATCTCATATATCGATGTGTAGATTTTATTTTTCTATGCTGATAGAAATTGAATAGAGGATTCCACAATAGCACACATAGGCATTTATACAGGTGAATGATTATTGTTACACTGTAAATTTTTTTGAAATTCTACGTTTTGGAAAATCGATCTCAAATAAGCTGAAGCATTTTACAAATGTTTGATTTTCCGATTTATAGAAATTTAATTTGATTTTCGAAAAAAATCATTTTCCAAAAAATGGAAAGGGTGGGTGTGGGTGTGGATATGTGTGCCAGTATAGCACAAATATCTATCAACACCCACACTCCGGATACAATAATATGATGCAAAAATAAAAAGATTATTTATGCGATGGTATAAATTTTCAAAATACATTAGAAAAATTATTAGTTATGGATGAACGGTAATCAATCTCTATCATTAAAACGCCATCGTACAAATGGAAGTGAATACCAATGTGATGATAATATTAACCTTGTCGATAATGATAATGAAAATTCTTATCAACAACCAAAAACCTCAAAATACAAAAGAAGAAATAATTACCTGAGAAATAATCAACCATTAACAACCAACAGTCGAACATACACAAATTCCAATTCCAATATAACCGACAATAGGAATTTTCAACAAGGTAAAAGTCAAACAAATGATATCAACGACTCAAAAAATAAACATTATGACAATCGTGAAAATCCTTTTCATATTTCCTATCAAGCACTCACCTATGCAGCAGCAACACATCTGCAACGTATCAAATTAGAATATGTACCAAAAATGAATGATCAAAAAGAAGCAGCTAAATTTATTCAACATTTCTTCAAGTTTATAGAAAATAATTTTTACTAACAGAACAACTATCATAATAGACCAACAGGATCTGATCAATGATGGATTGACAAGGAAGGTAGTATTCAACGAACAACAAAAGTAATTGATCTATATGTATTTTTATGTAACCCACATCGTTATCCAAAAGAGATTGATAATATTAAAATCTCACCTCATCCACGTAAAAATTTACCACCTCAGAGATCTGTTATTTTAAAATGGATTAAAAACTCAATCTCATGCAATGAACTTAAAGAAGAATTAGAAATAAAATTTAAATCAATTCATTCTATAGTAGATATTATTGGAGCTCTTAATACAAGAAACAGACACTTTAGAATTGATTTTCAAGATGAAACCGAATACAATACAATTTTAAATAGTGGAAAAGTATCAATTTATGGTCAATTAATTGATTGCGATGAGTACCTTCCTGCTCCAAAATTATTAATTTGTTCTAAATGCAACACTCCTGGACATACAAGAAAAGCTTTGTAAATTCTAAAGTTGATCTATGCAGAAGGTGTGGTAAAGATCGTAATGATAAAGAAGATCACAACTTATGTGAAATAAGATGCCATCATTGTGATGGACCACATACATCAACTGATTATTCATGCTTATTTATTCAAGAATATCGTCGTGAACTTGTACTTGAATTAAGAAATCATCCTGATCTACTTCTAGCTGAAGCAAAACTATTCATACCAACTGAATGTCGTGAAAGTGGTAAAGGAACAAAGATTTTAGGAAATAAATCAGCTCAATATCAACAGTTTAAGAAAAATCAAAATCAATGGTACCATCCATTTAATCATCTGAGTTCTGATTATAAAAATCAATGGCCTTCATCACCACACTCATCGTCAGATTCACATACATCAATTTCAAATAACAATTAAATGACACAATCAAATCATTAACGGACGAACTAACTGCGTTAAAAGGAAATTATGCTTCTGAACAAACGAAAATAGAAGAAAAATACCAAAATTATTTGATTTCAATGAATCAATGCTGACTAATTATGCGACAACAAATTCAAACGCAAACAGACATTTCACTTCAATGGATGGCATTATTAATTCTATAGTCTTTTCTACATACACAAGCTTAATGGAAATTTTATCTCAAATTGTCAACAAATTAAAAAATGATAAAAATCAAAATGAATTTGAACCTCTTCTTCTTCTACTATAACAACAGCTCCTTCTCATTAATGATAAAAAATCAACTTACATCTCTCATCAAATTAAATTAAATTAAATTAAATCAATTAGCTTAAAAACAACGTGAAGTACTTGATTTAGCATTGAATTCAATCATAAATCAGCCAAATGGACTGTGAAAATTTTAAATACACAACACCGACTATAAATATCAATGCAATTAAAAATTTTGATGGTACTGTAAACGAACAATCTATTCTTTTTTCTATCTTATCTGAGTGGAACTCGCGCTTATCTTTATCCCAGCTATGCAAAACTTGGAAAAAAGAACGACTGAGTAATGTAGATGATGACAATTTTTTTCTTCTCTTTAATTGTGAAGGTCTAAGCACACATGGTGACGATCTAGATATTGTTATTTCTTCTCATACTCCTAAAATTACCATGTTAGCAGGTGTAGGTAAAAAAATTAGTAATTTGCGCTCTATTCCGGGATACTATTGAGAATTTTCGGTTGGTGATAATAGTTTCGGAGGTGTTGCACTTTTAATTCATCATTCAATAAAAAGTAAAGTAATTGAAAAAGCAGAGAACTTTTTATTTCTAGAAATTCAAACCACAAATGATACAGCTGTACACTGGGAAAAAAATAGCACCACACAGAACCATTTTTGAAACGAATTTTAAACCCTCAAAAAGGTTTCGTAAAAGTCCACGATAGTCTCAAAATTAAAATCAAGAGTCCAGGAAACTTTTCTGTATGGTGCTATTTTTTTCTAGTGTAGTAGGAGGAGAGTACGTCCCCCTAGAAAACGACCCCCTTTTCAACTTTTCGAGAAACATATGGACAAAAATTTTATAATTTTTGGGGATTTTCATGCTAAACATATTCAGTGGAATTGTACTAAGAATTATACCAGTGGAAATCAACTAAACGATTGGCTATATATATATAAATGGATACTATACGATTAACATATTAATCCCCACTTCCGAAAGATCCGACTCAATTATAGACTTTGCTATTACAAATGATAGATCAGAATGGAAAGCTGAAGTGCTCAATGAAGGAACCTCAGATCATTTCCCGATTCTCTTTTCATCTCCAATAAGTCTAGGAAAAACTAATACTTTCGTAAAGCAAACTGGAAAACCTTTTCTTTCTTTTTAAAATCTGTTTTTGAACATTGGAATACTATAGTCTATAGATTTGATCATGAATCATTCTTTATTTTATTTGCAGACTTTCTCTCATCACAACCAACATTTTATGATCATTAACATATAGTTTTAATCAGCTGGTTAACGATCTTTTATTATTACTTCCTTCGTATAGTTTTATAGATTAAGTTTTGGTCTTCCATCTTAGGTAATTATCAAATCAGTGTGTATTTGTCACAAATAGCTATTATATACTAGCAATAATATCATTAAGACATTTTTTTCAACATCTTATTTTCGACTGCGTCGACAGTTAATTGAATGCTCCAACCTATATTGAAATATAGTTCTTTTAATCGTAGATATATTCTTCACTTTTGTTTTAAATTAAAAGAAAAAAAAAGTCACTAGAGATCGAATGTTTAAGATGACAGCCAAGTAATATGACATGCAACGCTGAATTTCGTACAACTAACATAATTGAAAATATGACTCTCATGTAAAAGAATGTTTATACCACTGATTTTAAAAGTATTGTGCTTAATATCTCATCCTTCAGAAGATGGGAATAATAAGACACCAATATTACTACTAATGTAATGTTTTCTAATGGCCGAAAAATGCTTTAAGATTAAAGATAAATTCGTAAATGCTACTGGCGAGCATATGATGGAAAATTTGATTTTGCGAGAAATTCATCATCTCTAATACAAAACTAATTTGTAGCAAAATTAAAAAGAGGAAACAGTCAGAGTATTTGCGGTGCTTGCCGTCCTTGCGATGTTCGCGGTTACCACAAACACTGCGAATACCCCAATACCGCGAATACCGCGAATACCGCAAGAGGTGCTAGTGTTTCACCTTCTTGATCTTGCTGCAATTTGCTTTTGCGTTTGACTTAATGATTTTGTCGCAAAATCAAATTCCCCATCATATGGGTACTTTAAAAATGTTTTTGTCAATACCAATTGCAATTTTTAAAAACGTTTTTGACGAAAACTCATCACTAGGGTTCAATCCAATATCACCTTCCATAAGTTTTATTTTGCTTCCATGCTCTGAAGTTGCCAGCCAACATAAATCATAATTATCGATACATCACTGCATCGCTTTTTTACGGCAAATTTCTCTGCTGAGCTAGATACGAATACGAATTGCATATATATCGTTCTTTCCAGCCTTTGCGGTTTAATAAAAGGCTTATTAAAAAAGGTTCCCTATTTCAGAAATATGCAAGTGGATCTTTTCGTCGATAATACATAGAGTACTAATCATTCCCATCCCATGTAACTTTTTTTCGAGTCGTAACGCGTCTCTGAGCGTTTGTGAACGATGGCGCTTAACGCATCAGGACGCATCTAGAATGCAACATTTTCGGGGGTGCAGACGCGTCCAGGGTAACCTGATGCGTCTACACTCGTTCGGTATCTAAACGCATCATAAGTCGTTTGCATTGGAAGACGCGTTAGGACTCGTCCAAAATGCAACATTTTCAAGCGTGGGAACGCATCCAAAAGTAAACGCGTCTAAATGCGTCTGGATACAAGATGCGTTAGAACGCGTTTACTTTTTTCCCCCAAAAAAATTAAAAATTATCATCACTCTGTGTCGGAATTGAGCCGACGCATCATATAAGATAGTGATTACGATGATAAATGAGTCAGTTATGTTTTTGTTCTCTCAAATGAGCAATAACGATTATTTGCCTTTTTGTTTTCTATTGTATTTATTGTTGGTGAACTAGAATGAATATCCACATGTACAAATAATCCTCATTACTGATTTTTTTTTGTTGATCTTGTGATTTATTGATGATTTGTATTTGTATTTGTATTTGTATTTGTATTTTCTATTTTATTTGTAAACTTTGTGACTAAATGATGATTTACATATTATTTTTGATTATTATTTATATGTATACATGCAAATAGAAGTCCAGACTATGAAATATAAACTATTATTTCTTTTTTCTAGATATATTTATATATTTGCACTTTGCTGCACTTTGGTTCTTGAAACGGAGTGCAACATCTCACTTCGCCTGCTGAGAAAGAGTGCGGGATCTCACTATATTTTGAATTCTCATTCGGAACACTGTTCAAAGACGGATGCATATTTTCTATTATTCAGATCAGATTATCGGATGTTTTCAGGTGGAGAATCTCATTGGTTTTCTTTTATTTGTATTATATTCATTCTTTTCTACATTTCAATTAATTTTTATTTACTCTGAATTTTAGATTGAAAAAAAAACATGCCACGATCTTCAAGTCCGTTTTTATATGAACAACTTACAGGTGAAATAATATTTTCACATTTAACAGCTAGTATTTGTAAACATATTATTTTACCAAAGAAGAACCATCATCAATCTCGTCATTTCTTATCAAAAGATGCTGAAACACAATCAATTTTTAAATACACAAAAAAATTTTTAATGATTGACAATCATCCATTGACAGGTTTCGATGAACTTGAAGCAGATTTGTTTTTTAAATTTTGTTTTAATGAAAGTATTTGTTTACATATACCAACGAATTTGAAAAACGATTTATTTATTATTGACAAACATGAACAACCTATATATACCGCTGAAGAAAAAATTATTGATGACATATTATCCAATGATTTTGATTTAACTAGTATGATCTTCCCAGATAAATCACCATCAGCAATTGATGATGATAATCAATCATATAATAGTGAGCCATCAACAATATTTAATAAGCGTTATTGTCTTTTTGAAAGTACAATTAATGTCGAAAATCTTCAGAAAAAATTATTACAGTTGGAACGGCTTTTAGCTTTTTTTTACATCGCGCCATTTATTTCGATTAATACACTGTAATAAATTATTATTCATGGAAATGTTACCATCTAATCTTCATGAATTGATTGGATGTATTAAATCAAATAATCTTGACAAACTTACTGAAAAAAGTATCTCAACCTTAATGTCGATAACACTTTCATGTATTGGGTTTGCAGTCTTTTCAATGCCAATTAATCTTGAGTCTGATATTATTCAATTTCTCAAGAATTCGGATGTTTCTCAAGAAAATGAAGATCATTGCCGTTTTTATTTCTTGGATGCGATGTTTAAGACAGGTAGATTATTGTTTTATCGTGTCGATGATACGCAAGAAGGATGGCGTCGAGCCATATTCACCAGTATGGCTTTATTATCTGATCGAATATCAACTATTGAAATTATCCAAAAATCTATGCAAGTTGATTTAAATGATGTTCTAAATAAAACAAAATCTCAAATGCGATCGATTGATAAAATTCATCCATCATTAGATAGTATTAAGAAAAATGAAAAAGTTATGAGTATAAAAATAAATAATCTTGAAAAAAACATCAATAATAAGATTGATCAAACGCAAGAAACCACAAAAAAATGAATTAAAGAAAATGCAAGAAACTACAAACAATGAATTAAAGAATATTATTAAACTATTAACATTCAGTGAAAAAAAAACTGTCGATCATGTTCGTGTGCATTATTTTAATTGTGTTTTTTATTGTAATTAGAGATTTTTTTTCTTTGTCTTATTATCTTCATTTTTTTATGCAATTTATTTAATAAACATTTCTCTCATTACACAATTAAGAAAATCTAATTGAATCAAAATAAAACCCATATTGACTATAAAGAGTTGATTTGTTTAACTTGCTCTAATAAGAAAAACTACTTCTCCAATGATTTCTTTGATTCTGTTCGTGTTCTGGATCTTTTCTATTTTCATTATGATTCTTTTTTTCTCCCTCAACGAATCAATATCAATTTCAGTAGACATTTTCTATGTAATACAAAGCAATGTAAAGCTGCGCACAGTTATTTGAAGTTTCCTATAGCTATTTAATCTTTATTGTACCTATTCAAAGTACTCTATATCTACTTAATATTTGCTGTAGGTATTTAATTCTAGTACTGCTATTTAAAGTTATTCATAGCTATTTGAAATGTCATGTAGCTATTTAAGCTGGAACTCATTAATTATAGTGCGAAAGCTATTCATATTTTTAGATAACTGTTAAATATTTCGTGACTGTATCGAAAGTTTAGAATGGTCAACTGAAGTTTAAAAGATATATTCGAATGTGGTTAACATTTTAAAGTTCAATTTCGAGATTCACGTGACATTTATTTTTTTAAGTATGAGTTTTTTTAGTATTTATAGACTATCTGAATTCGAAAAGTTTTTTATGCATGAGGTTTTCAAACAGTTCTTCATTGCTATGCTATATATTTAACATTGAATAAATATTTGCACGCTTTACCATATTTCCTACAGCACTGTGAAAATATTTGGGATTGGTTTCTGATTCAGCTTCTTGAAAGATAGTTTAAAGCTCTAGTTAGATAAAAGAATGTATTGGAACGGTTGGTGCTTTATTTGTGATCGGCGAAAAGATCCATTTGCATATTTCTGAAATAGGGAACCTTTTTTTAATAAACATTTTATTAAATCGTTAAACCTTGAAAGCACGATATATATGCAATTCGTATTCGTACTTAGTTCAGCAGAGAAATTTGCAGTAAAAAAGCGTTGCAGTGATGTATCCATAATTATGATTTATGGGTATGGGTGAGAGTGTGGCTGTTGGTGCGTGTTTGTCTCTTTGGAAAACAGCTATATCCACACCCACGCTCACACTCCTAGGGAGCTGAAATCTTCAGAACTAAAAGATCCTGATTAGTTCTATATGTCATAAAAATTTCAACTCTCTCGATCAAACAAAAGCATGAAAATTATCATTAACACTGTACTCTCAGTTATTATCAAACACCATCTTTGCATCAGTCGCACATCCTCAGAAAAGAAATTCGCCAGAAAAAAAGACACATATACATGTTTTGGCAAAACAAATTATGCTAGGTTGTACTTTATTACAAAAGCTATCAGAATATGTATAAATCTCAAATCGATTTTTTTCGAAAAATTGACCTTTCTGAGGGAGGGGGGGGGGCTTGAAATAGTTTCTAAGATATGATGCTTAAAGATTCTTTGAATTTTGCAAACTCATGCGTACCAGCTTGATCACAAGTGTCCCAATCATCATCATGATTACTACAAGATAAATTCAAAAGTTTGCAATTTTCAATAGATGCTTTTTGTGAAGTTGTCATAAAATCACTCATATCTAAATATTAATAAATAATTCGTTTATGGAAGGTAACTAATTTGTTTTTGTCGCTATCTCCTTTTTTATAATCTCGAATTATTTAAAACAAGCATAACAATCAGGGAATTTAGTTCTTATACACGACATAACTTACATCACACTGACGACTATCGTTTTCTATTGAGAGTAATAAATCCTCAGCAATTTCGCTTGTTAATCGAATTTATTCGAAGTGTGCAGGTAAAACATTATTTGTTTCCTACTGCTGCTTTATCAGAAATCAACAGAAGGAAAAAATTGTCTGCTGCAAATGCATAATACTTATCACCAGCGCAAAGGAATTCATTCGATCATACTGTTAACAATTCAGAAAGAAAGTGACTCAGCATGGTTAACAAGTACAGTTTGGCTCAAGTCGGATTACTAAAAACTTTTTTGACATCAGATCGACTAACAATAAATTAATTGATCGATATCAAAGTTGATATAAGACAGCAATTTTAGATACAACAATGGTTTTACTATTTTCAATTTTGAGAGAACTCGTATAGATCCAATCAGAAGGATTTATATTCTTTGAAAAAACCTTTCTTTGATAGGTCAAAATATGTTTTTGATCTCGCATGTGGTTTTGAATTTGAAAAGATGAACTGTACTAGATTCTATTCTGTTAAGGAAATCAACTTAATATTCCTTTTTAAAAACATTTACATGCTTATTATTTAATTGATAAATTATCTTGGGTATGGGTGTGGGGTGCAAACATAGGAAGCACCCACACCCTGATCGAACCAAATATTCCTATTTATCTTATTGTCCAGGAAATAGTAATGGCGATGTCGTGGTCTTCCTTTTTTTATCGTTGTAAGTAAACATTTGTATAAGAAATTCCTAAATCTTGTCTAGTTGGGTATTTTTATTCAACGGATGAACAATTTTGCGGAAAAAGATGCTCTCTCAAGTTCGCTTTTTCGATATTTCATGGTAAACATGCTCATGATATTTATATTGTTTACTTTTACACTAGCTTGGACCATTGCAGTAAGTTCTTTTTTATTTGTATGTGCAATGTTGAAACGTATACTTGTGTTTATTTAGGGTTCTGTATGGATATTTCGTGCCAAGCCGACTGTCCAAACTATCGATAGTACTCGACCTTATTACTGTCATTCAACGCTTTACTAGTATGCATTTCCCTATTGTATATTTTACTATGCTATATCAGTTTTTTATATGATCTGGAACTTTTATAGAGTTGAGAAAATCGAGAAAAGAGAAAGATGAAATATATGTTTCATGCTAGTCCACTATATCAGAAATTATTTTGATAAGTTTTGAAGTATAAATAAATAATAAATAAAATGCGTGTATTAGTAATAGAGAAAATTTCTCGTAAGACTTGACCTCAGATATGTACGAACCAGAAATATTATATACTAATTATTTGTATTTCATTCATATGATCCACCTGTAGACATGTGTATTTTTACACATCAATCTTTTTACCGCCTACTAACGTTTAACGTCATTTCACCATCAATTATGATTTTCGAAATTTGAAAAAGCAGGATACAAAATACTATTGATAACGGTCTAATTATATAATATTTATGAAAAGAAATCATTGACGCAAAAAACTTATGTTCAAGGCCTCTGAGTAAAACTAAAGAGATAAGTCATGATTTTTCTTTTTCTATACGAAAAAAATAGATCAAATGACGAGTATATAAGACTATGAATATTGGGTGCGAGTATTATGTGTTTGATTTAAGTTGGTATTAATATAGCTACTCTTCAATTTTCGAATATGTATGCAAGACCGCCAGTTACTGGTCCTCAGTAAATATATATGAATTTTGAAATCGTTTATTTTATTTATCTCAATTATTAATGGAATAGAAAGCTAAGCAATGGTTTACCACTATTGCTTATGTGCTGTCTTTTGTTCATTGTTCTACTAATAGCTTCGACTATTGTCCTTGCGTTGATTCCCGTGTATTTAGAAAGGAAAGATGCAACATTAGGTATAGATCAAATTTGTGAGAGAATTTTGTTTGAAAAGAAGTTGACTTTTTTTAAGCATCTAGCAAAAGCTACTATGCAGTTGGTGATTTCGATGGTAGTCTAGGTAATGATGGTCAATTGGATGCATCAGCACGTGACACTATTGCACGCGCGGTAAAAACTTAATTTAAGAAACATATTCGTATATTCATCCGTAATTTTTAGATTGAAAAACAATTGGGTCTTCCAACTGGCTCAATTGTTGTTGATCAGGGTACGGTTGCAACATCAACCGGCAGACGTAAACGACGATCGGCGTACGTATACGAAGCAATTCGCATAGGATCTACTTTCATTTGATTTTTGCAGAAAACTCTCACGATTTGGTCGTGGCCAAATATCGCGTGGTTTACAACGACTTTACCTAATCTTCCATATCAATCGTGTTAAATGTCTTGCGTGCCGCATAAGCCCAGTGACCATAATCATAACTGTTACCATTGTTTTCAATGGACAAACAATTACAATTGTTATTGTTATACGAATCAGCGTGGAAGGTAAGTTCAATATATGATGTATATAAAATTACGAATCGAGCCAACATGAATTTTTTACTTTTTAGTCATTAAAATACCAGCCACTTTATCTCCTTCTACTGCAGCAACTACGACGGCCGTAGCGGTTATTGGTACTGGCAGTGCATCAGGTTAACTTTATTCAAAAGATATATTTTCTTCTTGAATAATGCTGCTGAAAAAACAATCGTCTTTATTTCCATCAATAAATAACAACATTTCGATGCCTACGTCTACTCTTAACTATTATATTTCTGTTTTTGGTTCTATTTTAATCCCACAATAAAATATTTTTCCTACGCTTAATATATCTTTTCCTATTAATTACACAGAATCATAGCTTTTTTCATCGGCGCAAAAATAGAAGCAATCTATTTATAACACTATAATGTATTCATACAAGCGTTTATCGCAAAAGAAACATGTATGCTTTGGGTGATACCTTTTATCATGACTACTGTGTCAAGTGCACGAAGGACACTTTTTTCTTGTTCTGTAAGAACCTTATTGATTTTTATAGAATTCGAAATAAGAAAAGTCAATTGCAAAATTTGAATATCTTTCTTTTATCTATTCTTGTCATGTTTTGATCATCGCATTACCACAACGTATAATAATAATAAAAAACAATTGTACGAATAAGATTCTAACTAAATAAAGTTACAAGTTGAATGAAAACAAATTCTAATTATTTTCGTCAATCAGAATTTTCTTCACTTGTTTTATCATTAATTATTTCTCGAGTGTGCTTAGTCAACACTTCTGGAGCATTGTGAGCAGCAACACAAGCAACCAAAGCTGCACCTTTGCCACTACCTAGAAATTAGTAATAAATTATTACATCTTTTATTTAGACGAAAAAAAAACACAACTTACCATCATCGGACAAAGCAAATTTGAACTAAAGAAATAAAAAAAATGTTTTAATAATTTGCATGGTGATCATTGATTGTTAGTTAAGGAGTAGTCACTGCACTCCGTCTAGATATTTTCTATCACTCTCAATACCCAATTCGAATTAACATTTTTTTCTACGGAAATATCTGATAACAAATAATTTTACGTACTTTAAGATCTTTATTAACTAAACCTTCCATAGATCGTTCCATATTTCGTTTAAATCTTGGATGATATCGATAGAGTGACCCATCAACACCTATAGTAACAGTCGGTTTTCCCATGCGATTGATCAATACAGCCAAACCTTTGGCAAAATAAATGTCTATAATATCTAATGAACAAGATCACATACCGGCGCCAGCTAAACGTGCCGCTCGTTTTGATACTTGCCGGCAAATATGTTGAACAATAACACAATCGTCAAATGTTGGATTTCGAATACCAATATCTTCAAGTACTCGACGTGTATTGGAAAATTTAATTCCTAGAAAAAAAATCTTTTTTTTTGCCTCTTATCAAAATAAACGTTTAAAATAACCTTCATCAGTTTCGACTGTTGAAACAAATTTTGTATAAAATCCACCACGATTATAGATTGGAGTCTTATAATCGCCATATGTATCACGATGGCCAAGAAAAAGTAATTCTCGTTGAAGTAAATCAAGAATAATAAGTCTTACTATTTCACCCATATACATTCCTGAAATCATTTTTTCAAAACTATAAAACAAAAGACTTGATAAGTAAACAAACAAAGGTATTCGAATTAATTTACGTTTGTTGTCCAGGATTAATTGATGAAAGATCGACTTCTTCGTCATATTTTGTTCGTATATGATTTAAACAACCGTTATCACCAAATGCACCCCATTCCATATTAATAATAACTTGTTTGGGTTCATCATGATCCCCATTCCAAGTGCCAACTTTATCTAAATCTTCAATATAACATGCATTTGTTCCGGTACCTAATATAAGACCGATAGATGTCGCTGGTTCTTTATATGCACATGCCATTAATGTCCCAATTGTATCGTTTACGAGAGCTGCACATTTTACATTAATACCCTAGACAAGAAATTGAATTTCCTGATCAACAAAAGACGACAACATACTTTTTCATCAATAGCATCTTGCAAAAGCTTAACAACATCTTCGTTAATAACACCGGCGCAACTAAAACCTTTTGTCCATGTTGTTAGTCGAGCTGATGCAAGACTTTCCTGTTTGCAAGGAAATGAGAATGTAAAACCTAAATAAATCTCTATTGAATTCATTATTTTCTAATTAATATTTATTGATACCTAAGGGATAACAGATTCCTGACTGTGATAAATGTTCTTTTTCCATAAATTCTGCTAAACATTCTGCTAGATGCCGAAATAACTAAATTCAAAAAAATAAAATAAATTCTTTGATGAGAGCGTTACATACACGTTTTCCATCTCCAATCATAACAGATTGTGGCACGAGAAAGATTTTCGATGTTAATTCAATATGAGAATTTCTGCGTAATTTAATTGAAAGAACACGAAAATTTGTTCCACCCAAATCAAGTGCAAGTACTTGACCTCGTTCTGTACCATCTGGAATGTGTCGCACAAATGATGGAAACATTTTAACAGTTGCTTGTTTATGTGTTTCAGATGAAAGACCCGCATTCATTTCTTCTTCTAAGCAATGCATAATGTGTTTTAATTGTTCATAGTTTAATTTCAATGAAGAAACTACTTTTTCAATCTAAATTAAAATCATCAAGTTATGAAATAAAACAAGCCCGAAAGTTAAATTTTAGATCATCGTTGTAACTTACTTCATCATTAAGTTCTGGATTTCGATATCGTTTCGAAGAGTGATTATCGGGTGAAGCTACACTATATCCAATATAAACAGCAGTACCCAATACACAAGTTGTAGCCAGGCCATAAGCAACTTTTCGTAGTAATGACGATATTGAATCATATGGTATTGCTTCAACGAAAACCAATGACATAATTACTAGAGAAAATAAAATAAAGAATTTAATTTTACTGAACTTGTTATTCAATAGTTAAAAATCATGAAATGAATGACTAGTTGTATACTATTCTTTTATAGAGAGATAAAATTAAAGAAAGAAAAAAAAGAGAAGAAAAAAAGAGATCTTATCCGTTCTACATATCAGACGAAATATTTTAATCATTCTGTTATTTGTTAAGTTTAGTGTAAAATGTCGACGGATCAATCAATCAAAAAGGTGGAGGAGAGGGTGTCAAAGAGTGTGTATATGTATCCATACGAAGTGGACGTCAGATACACGCATTCTTATTGCGCATATACAAACTACGATAGGTACACAACCTAGACTTCTGCCAATGCGATGGAACGAAAAATACATCTCCTATGAGAGCCTTATCACAGATGTCGTTTGAACGAAGCACTAAAACTGAACTACATATTACGTTCTTATTACCCATTGGTGGGCAAGTGCCACCTGGAATGTGTTTAAATAAACAAAAAATTAATTGGATATCCAGTCGAATTTTCTACTATATTTAAATATGAGATCCACTAATATTGTACAGATGGATCAGACACGAGGCATTGTTCCATTCGGCAATTTCTCAGTTTTATTCGGCTAATTTATGGCAGAAATGAATAATTTCTTAACTATAATAGGTTTTATTTTCTTAATGTGAATGGGTAAAAAATGTTGCATTTATCTTATTTGTAATAAAATATCATAGGAATTTGTTATTGTTTTTTTCGATTAGAAAGAACAAAGTATTCGCTTGAAAAAATTTCTCTTGCACAAGAGCGATTAACATTTTTTTAACCCGAACATATATTTATCAGAGCTCATTCATTCGTTAGTAAAAAAACTCAAGGTGGAATTTACAACGCGATAAAAAGAACTTGTTTGCATATCTCGCAGAGACTATGTGCGCACTAATCCAAGTAATATTAGCTGGCAGAGAGCTGATTGTAGTGCTGTTTTGTTTTCATTTTGAATTTTTAGCTTCTTGCGACCTCTCTCTCTCTCTCTGAACACAGTTCATTCTAGCGATAGAGAACAAGTCGCACCACGCGCTGTCATATACAACAACAATTTTGTGTTTAAATTAACATCATAAATAAAATTTATTTCGATTAAATTAAAAAGAAATAATCATCGTATAGACAAGGCAAATATGTAAATGCTATTTAGCGAAATGTCCATAATGGATCTAGCCTATTGATTGGATCAGATAGATCGTTCGATGGTGACGATTTTGTTCGAAAGAAGTCGTCTCGTGTTGTTTTTGGTTTTATATGACTTTCTTCTGGGCGTAAATTAAAATTCTCTTCGATAGCTGTTAATGGTTTCATGGGTGGTTTTTCTTCGATCGCAGTTGATGAAAGAATTGGACCAACATCATAATTTGGTATTGATTGAACAATTGGCTTAGCCTTATTCATGATTGTTTGCATTTCATCATCGAGCGAAAGTGTATTAATATTTGATGAAGTGGATTTTGAAGTTGACGTTGTTGATTGATGATGCATCATGGAGCCGACTTTTAATACTCCACCTTTTTAGAACAAAAAAAAATTGTTGTGTATTTAAAATAGAAGGAAATCTTACGTTTCACAAGAAAATCTTGAGCATAATAAAGTAGAGTTTCGTACACAAATTTTAATTGATTCATGTCTTGTATTAAATGACGACGTTTGGAACGAAGTAAACGAATTATTTTATTCAAATCAGGAAATGATCGACCTTCATCGATATCTTGAATACTGGTGAATAAAGATAAGAATGGACCTGTACGAGATACACCACTCCTAAAAAACAGTTAAATTATCTATATAGTGTCATGAAGAAGCTTCTATCGTCTAAACTATATTTTTAATGAATGCTGGGATTCTCTTAAAATCAGGCGAAACATACAAACAAGTAGCCAGAATTGCACTGCGATGATTTCGTGTTTGAATGAGAAAATATTGAACTTCTTGAATAAATTTTAATAATTCAATTGGATTATCTGGCATTTCTCTATAGAAAAAAAAACGCAAGATAAAATATGAATCTCATCTGAGAACAAAACTTACTTTGGCGGCCAACCAAAATGTTCGAGCCATACAACAGTTCTCGATTGATTTGTCTTTAATTAGAAGAAATAAAATCAGAGTTAAAATTTTCAAAAAATTTTCAAAAAAAACCAAACTTGTGAATGATGTAAACGTATTATTCTATGATTAGTCAATTGAGTTGGACTCTTCGTACTCAGTAATGTTATTGTAAATGATGAAAATTGAAGTTCTTCTCCGACTTTTTGTGGATAGACATTCTACATAAGCCACCAAAAAAGAAAAGGAATTACTATATAAAAAAAATAAAACTTCATACAATCGATTGCATTTCATCAGGTCTGAGAAGTACAGCAACAATAGCTACATGTTGCTCATAGATCATTGACCAAAACTCTGCTACAGTCGTCGATAATGGATATTGAGCAGTAAGTAATGATACATCACGAATTCGCTAGAAACAAAAATAAATATATAGAAAGAAATCAATCTCCATTGCTTACTCCGATTGATGTTGCATTTATGTAATCGTTAAAATTTTTTTGTTGATTAGGATTTGTTTGTACAAGACGAACACGAGAATTATCATCTACCAAAAGAATTTCGATCAAAACGCAATTGAATTATTCAAACTTACATGGAATTAAATCTTGAAAACGATTTAATTTCGGATTACATTTTCCTATTGCACAAGTTTGTGTATGCATATCTTTTTCTTGTAAATCCGATAATTCCTATGAATAGATTTTTAGTTAAAGCCTAGCGATATCTATATAGTCTTACTTTCCATTCGACTTCGAGTGGTATCGTACCATTAAGAGTTTTTTTTGTCATTATACTAACATGTTTTTCGAAACGTTGTACATCATTGACTAATTGATCAAGTTTATCTTTATCATTGTATGGATCTTGTGGCGGATGTAAAGTAGTTACGGGTGATGTTGAAAACGATTGCATTGGTTGTTTTTCTTCAGTAGCCACCGATAATGGTTGAATACAAGCAATAGGCTTACCATTACTTTTTACTTGTATATCTTCATCAATTGAATGGATTGATGGAATTTCTGGAGTTAAAGGTTCAGTAGTATTTGTTACTACTGTTGTTTTAAATTGTTGTTCAAGAGCTAATGATAATAGATCATCAGAGATTTGAGGTATATAAGACTGCTTTGATACTGGATTTGCTGGTGACTTAGAAATAGAACAAGTCGGAACGAGAGGCGCAGGAGGCTGTGGTGGAGGAACATATTGCACAGCTTGGTTTGCATCATAACTGTTATTATTCATTGATGATGATGGACTTTGAGGCTGGTTTGTTGAAAAAAAACCACCAGGACGATAAACGTCTTGTTGATTGACACGATTTGTTGGTGGAATCGGTTGCTGCGGGGACATCATCTGTTGCTGTTGCTGTTGTTGAGGTATCATTTGCTGTTGTTGTTGTTGAGGTATCATTTGCTGTTGTTGTTGTTGAGGTATCATTTGCTGTTGTTGTTGTTGAGGTTTCATTTGTTGTTGTTGTTGCTGTTGTGGAGGTATCATTTGTTGCTGTTGNATTCAATTCTGAAAATATGAAATTTCGAATAGCTATAACCAATTATTCATGAAGCGGATGAGGTGTTAACCCCCAACAATCGAAAACTGTAAATCATCAGCAGGAATAAACTTACGCTGCATGTATTGTAGAATGAGTAGGATCATTGAAAGGCTGAGCTTGATGAGTATTTGGCTGTTGTAAAGTTGGTTGCTGCGGATATTGTTGATTTGTCATTGACTGTGGCATTTGATGTTGTGCCGGTGGTTGATTATAAAATGCAGTGTTTGTTGTCTGATACATAGGTTGCTGAAATGATGATGCCGGCTGATAAGCTGGCTGTTGAACCGATGGTTGGAACGATTGCTGCTGAGGTGGTAGTGGCTGATAAGCTTGTTGCTGATAAACTGGCTGCTGCACTGGAGATGGTTGATAAATGGGTTGTTGTGCTGGAGGTGATGGCTGATAAACTGGCTGCTGTATTTGAGCTGATGGCGGTGGTAGTTGATAAAACGTCTGTTGGGTTGGAGCGTTAGGTTGTGAAGGATAGAATTGTTGATGTTGAGCAATTGGTTGTACAGGAGGAGTAGAAGGAGGATTGTAAGTCATTTGAGGTTGACCACGATAATTCTGTGGAGGTAAATTTGAATTAGGGTCCATTGAGCGTGACTGATTGTGTGTCGGTTGTTGATAGGACATTCGATGTTGTGTTGCAAACGATGGAGATTGTGTTGGCGGAGGAACATAGGACATTGTTGGTTGTTCAGGGGCAATTGACGATTGCACTTGATACTGATGTGGATTGAATGTAGGCAATGATTGTAGTGTGTTTGGATTTGCATAAAAATTACTACTATCACCGATATTTGATCCCGGTAGAGGCGTATACATATTTTCGTCACGTCTGGAAGAAGACCGCTTTGATGATCGACCTGTATTTGAACCCCATGTATCAGGCTTCATAGCAGCTAAATAATCTTTAAGGCGTGGACGATCCGATATAGTCGATGGAAGACTAGTTGTTGAAAAATCATCTTCATGTAGATCTTGATTGGACCAGGCAGGCGATGGACTGTGACGCAACGGTATATTCGATGGGAGCTGACGATGTAGTGAATACTTTGGTGTCATTTGAGGTTGATTTTGAGATTTTAATGCAATTAGACGGTCATTGAGTTTTATTAATTTAGCATTTTGCTAATAAGACAAAATAAAAGTCAATTAGAATGTTTTACAAAGATATGAAATCAGTAGGCAAGTTACTCTTTTAGTCGAATATTTAAAATTAAAATTACCTTTTTATAAAATTCAATTCCTTCATTAGCTTTCGATAGAGTCTCTTCAAATGATTTAAATGAATCAATATATTCTTGAATCAATCGATTGCGACTAAGAACAGAGAAAATAGATAACTTATTTTTGATAAAGATAAATTATCTGATTTATTTACTTTTCATATGTCGTTCCCATTTTTGTTCTTACATCAGCAATCTCTGCATTAGTTTCTGTTAATGCTTGTAAAATATTATCTTGTGCTGTACAATTTTGTTTAATGATGTTAACAAGTTCTTCGTGCTTTTTAACTTGTTCCGTAAATAAACCCTAAAGAAAAACAAAATAATACAGTTGCAAGAAAGTTTGCACATGTATTACTTTATGATTCTCTTGTCTTTGCATAAGAACAAGTTTTGTGATATCGTCTTCATGAATATTTTTACGAATATCATTTAATAAAGTCTCTCGTTGTTTTTTCATTGTTTCAACTTTTTCATTTAATAACGCCAATCGAGCTATTTTCGGTTTATTTGCTTCGTCTAAGCGATCCGAAAAAAAAACGAAGTATTATTATTTTCAATAGACATGAATTTTTTCGTACCATCAAGCTCATTGATAATCGGCAATGTTTTTTCTAATTGTTCAAGCGGTGAAATGAGAATTTTCAAATGATGAACCTTATTAGTCATATGTCGATGTAATTCGATATTGCTTTCATTTGCTTTTATCATCATATCACGAACATTTTTCAAATTTAATTGTAAATCTTTATATTCTTTATTGGATTTTATAGAATCATTTGTTTCTTCCAAGGTTTTTAATGACTCTTCGAATTCATTCACTTGTTCAGCTACTTCATGATGTTGACTATTCAATTCTGAAAATATGAAATTTCGAATAGCTATAACCAATTATTCATGAAGCGGATGAGGTGTTAACCCCCAACAATCGAAAACTGTAAATCATCAGCAGGAATAAACTTACGCTGCATGGCTGAAACAAGTTCTTTGGTCATATTCGGACGAGCTGCAACAGCAGCACAGCAATCCAGTAGTTCACGTGGTAAGCGAAGATATTCATTATTTAATGGAACACGATTCAATTGTAAACAAAGCATAAACGCTCTATAAATAGAACTTTAAAAAAGATCGACACAAAGTCAGCAGACTGTCTTACTCAAGTTCTCGATTTTTATTTTCTGTTAATTCAATAATTTCACGTAGAAGTTTCGCTTTTTCTTCACTATATTCTGATGCAGCTAAATGTGCATCCTAGAAAACCAAAGGTTCGTTCAAATTTTATGATATTAAATACTAACCAATGGTACTAATTTTTGAAAAATATCTGGTCCACATACTTCCGGATCATGACAATCAAAAGGTTGCGGTTTAGCAACGATAGCTCCTTCGAAATAAAATGCCGAATGAATATTTTTCTTTCGTCTAACAATAATATACCTTGAACAGCTGGTAGACTTGATAGTGCTGGTACTTTTTCAAAATAAACACTATCATTATCACGTTTGGCAACTTTTTGTCTAAAACCAAATTGAAATTTTCATGACGGAATTATTTTTTTAAAATCTTCATTGACTTACTTTCCCATGAGAACATCAGTCGCAAATGTATGAGTTTCTTTGAATATATTTGCTTTATCGGATGAAATTTTTTCTGCATTTTTCCAAGCTTCTTTAAGTCGCTCAATAGCCGCATCATAATAACATACAGAATGACCATATTTTTTGCCTTCTTCAGCAACTAAACCACAGCAATAATATGTTAACGCAAAATAATACGACAATTTATATGTTAAACAAACACGCCATTCCTAGAATACAAAATAATTAAATATTTATCGTCTTTAAACATTGTAAATCAATATTATTAGATTAGAGATTTTTAAGATTATGTTTAATTAGACATTTTCATTTCGCGATCTTGATTGGTTCACATGGCATGAATATAGAAACTATGTGAAACCAGTACTAGGAATCGCATGCAATGTAAATCTTCCACACGTAAGATTCGAACTTAACACCTTCGACGAATTAGACAACTGAACTAGCGCTTATTAACGGATCGAAGTATGTAATACTGTGAAGTTCGAATTTATCATTCCTCTTATCTCCGGTTGAGTCATAGTGAGTAATAACAAACTTTGAATCTTTTTGATACAATCGAATTAATTCCTGGCTTCATCAGATTCAAAAGTGCCATTTGATAATATTCCGATATTTGCATTGCAACATGAGCATTCACAGAAGGTGCTCGTTGATCAAGTAACGACTTTTCAAGTACAGCTTCGTGCGCTTGTGCCTAAAAAATCATTTTCAATAATTCCAAACAAACTAAAAAATAACTCCACTTACCAAAAGAATATGAACTTGACATGTTAATAAATCGGGAGTTAAATCAGATGTATATGTCGTATATTGATCGCGCACTTTTTCGAAACATGCAGCTGCACATCGAAAGTATGTACAAGCATTTTTTATACTCTAGAAGAAAAAAAATTCTTTTCTTTTTAATGAGAAAAACTAGAATCGATTTTCGTACATCGTGTGTTCGTCGCGATTCATTGGCACCTAACCTTGAATACATTGCACCAAGATTATATAAAATACATGCTTCTTCAAATCGAACATCATTATATGTGTTATCTTCTTTTTGAAAAGCATCTTCCCTTTAATTTTAAAAATGAAAATTTATTTTAAAATTTGTCAAAATTTTTTACCATGTAAATCGAACAGCACATTCCGTATCGGGTAACATTGGAAAACGATTTCGTAACAATTGTAATTGACAATAATATCGTTTGAGTAATTGAATACCAGCTTCATCAGCAGAAGAGTTAATGGTAGTCTAAAGAATTTGACACATTTTATTTGAATTAAATAAAGAAAAAGATTTACTTGTCGAAGACGATTCATTTGTTCACATTCATGAGAATATTTACTTCCATTTTCTTGATAATTTGCTGTGATATACTAAAATTTATATATGTAAAAATGATAGATTTTATTAGTTTGGGAATGCTATCATACATTTGGAATCTTTTCACATAGATCAACGGATTCAATCGATACTTTTGGATCGAAACCAATCGCAGCTAGACGAGGACAACCTTTGAACAAAAATTTTCAAAATATATAACAAAAATAAACTTTTCTGATTAATTTACCTTCCATATTGGCAACGAAAAATGAAATAATCTAAAACTGACGATGATACAATGCAGTTTCCTTTTATTATTAATGATGCCTTACCAAAAAAACGTAAGATTTAATCTGAATATCTAAAAATAACAGCATGTCATCCTTGCTAATTAGTCATAAATATAAACAAGAATATCATTGGTTGGTTTATATCTCTGCTGATGTGTGAAAGGAAGATGGCGCAATCTATTCGTCGTAGAAAGACGAGTATCATTCTAAAATTCAATGCGACAAAAACAGAGACTGCCATTTAGCAGTTGATTGTTGTGAGATTATCAAAAAAATAATATTTTTCGTTTCTAATGTTCAGAATACCATCTATTTATACACCTCATCTCAGGTGCATCCAGTATTTTTAATAGGATTTCGAAGCACAGTGTACACGTACACCCTGCTAAGCCAAAAATTTTATTTTCAGAGTGTACTTCATAGGAAAACAAAGTGTATTCTCAAAAAGCAGAGTGTACGTACACTTTGTTCTGCTCGGGTACACTAATCATTAAAAACACTGGGTGCATCTATGCTGCTAAATCATTATAGGACACATTCATGAGTAAAATGTACTTTTTATTGTTAAAACATGTCTCAACTGCATATGATTTTTTTTAAGCCAAGAGAAAATTAAAGAATTCGTGTGGAAATAGGGCGCGAACTTAGTTCTTATCATAACGGCGGGAAAATGAATAGGTGGATCATGTTTTCAACAACTATAATCTGGCCTTCGATTGGACTTTTTAAAAATATAGGAATCCTTAGAGGATCAAGGCTGTCAAAAATATAGGATTTTCGATAAAAAATGACAAAAAAAGAGGACGTTTTATACACCATTTCTGTTCAATTGTTTCGGTGTTTGTTAAGTGCTCTGCTCGAAAATCGTTTCAATAAAGCTGTTATAAACAGTTCAAACGTAGCAAAGATCCTCATGTAATTTTTTCCACTGAAATAATTCGCCAATTCGAGGATCATTATAAAAGTTTTTCACAAATCGATAAATAACAATAAAGTAGATCGTAAGCTTTGAAAAATCACTTTGTGAATGTTTTTTTCTTTTGAACTATTTTGTATTTTGTACTTAGTATTAAACAATTTCTCAGTCAGTCCACTAAATAGGCGAAAGGAAAAATACTGTTTAAAACAAACGTCCCTATAATACAAGAATTTGTCCAAAACACATGATTATACACATTAAAAGTTTTTTTTCGTCTAAAGACAATAGCAAAATTAAGGAGTTTTCGGGAATTTTCTACTTTTTTCGATAAAATATAGGAAAATAGGAATCTTCAGGAAAATATAGGACGAAAACAGGACTTTTTTGAAAATATAGGAATTATAGGAAATATAGGTCGAATCGCAGCCCAGTAGCCTATGATGATAAAGTACTTGAATTTCAATATATCGCATCGTATGTTATCTTACTGTAAATCATCGATCGTCTACCTCAGTATCAATTCTTTGGAGATTTAATCTTTTGATTGTCCAGTTAGCTATTATTGTTGAAAACCGAACATTAAATGAAAATTCGAATATATATCTAGTTTTGATTTATTTCCAACATGTTGCTGACGATAAAATCTGAAATGTTGCAGGAAAAGAGAGGACTCCAAGCTCGCTTAGCTGAATAACCGAAAATTTAAAGCCAAAATTGAATGAAAACACAAAGTTGATTGAATGGCAGCAAGTTTCAAGTCGAAATTCGGTTTCGATATATTTCCACTCTTTTTATTTGGAATCAATCATCCTTGAACACTCTAGATAAAACAGAATGCAAGCAAGTGAGACTAAATATGAAATCAGCTTAAACGAGTCAAATATACTTTGACCAAAGCGTCTTCATCAAGGGGAAATCTTCAACTTTCATGTCGATAATTTTGGATTGCTCTTCATTAAAATAATTGCGCCAGTCACCAATCTCACCCTTTCTGATAAATCCTGGCATGTCTTTCGGCTGTTCCATGCCCCAACGTGGACTATCTGTCTGCATTGATGTCAAAATATTATCATTTTGCTGAATAGACATCAATTAATTTAAAACTTTCAAAAATATTTTTAAATATTCAATAGATCTTACCAATGAATTCGTCT